TGCGCATACATTGTTCAGGCCTGTTCCCTGATCCCAGACTGCAGGGGGGGGGTCTTTAAATCCTATAGTGGCATTTTTTTATGTTTTTATATTTTGTATATGCACAGCTGCAGCTGTCAACCCCCCGTATATGAAGCGACTTCGCGCGGCAGCTTGTGCCGACATGACAGAATGTACAATCTTTTGACATGGGTTTCAAAACCTGATTTTAGCTTCGTGGAGTTTTGAGCAGCGGTATTTATTATTTACATTCTCCACTTTGTTCTTATTCCCTCTTCCTTTCTCCTTCTTCTCTGTTCTTCGGAACACTGGTGCCTAGGCGGGCCTACGAAACACTTAATCCGGGCCTGCTGGTGGCGCTTCAGGGCCCCTCGAAAAGAATAATTAATGTGTAAAAGTCAGACTTTTTAAAATTAGTTTGGTATATTGATTTCTTTAAAAAAAAATCACCCGCGGAATTTTATGGAAACTGAAAAATCGCATGATAAGAAAGAGAAATATCCTGCAAAAAATGGACCTGTCACTTCCGAAAACTTCCGTGTGGACTCGTGAAACTTGATCACTCGTTTAAGCATGAATATTCATGGGATAATTTTGTGGCAGACAATTTTTTTGGAACAAACTTGAAGGATTTATTTTTTATTTACAAACAAATCTCAAATGACCGTTGATAAGAACTGTATTAAAACGTGATCCAAACGAAATCTAGAATCCATCAGAGTAGGTAGGTATAGGTTTTCCCGGCCAATTTCACCAAGTTTTCATTCAATTTACCGCCTGGCTCATTCGATTTAGATTGAAATTGAAAGATCACGAAGATCGGCATTCGACAATCAAAAAGAATCATTCTATTTCACTATCCGAGCATTCTATCGCCTTTTATCTTCACTCGTCTCTATCAAAGATGCATTCATACTAAAAGTATCGCTTTGTTCATTCAATTTCGTCTTAACCAGCAGTCTTCAATCCGTAGATGCCTTTTTTTTTCTTAATTAAAGGGTATGTGCAATGAATTGTTCTCATGTATTCTTTTTGTGCAACTTTTATGTAAAAAAAACTACACATTTGACAACATTTTTTGGTCAATCTTATTGCAAAAGTGCACTTCTTTAAACATTTAAAAGTTTCCATGCTTTTTCGGACTACCTATGAGTGTGCTGTCACTGTGATGTCATTTCAGGGAGACACTGTTCAGTTTAGTGGTTTTTCTTTCAAATTATTCATCCAAAACTTGCTAATTGAAAACTTTCGTGTGAAAGCATGCATTAGCATAAAAATGGAGAGGGCACACAAAAAAACACCCTTCAAAATGGAAAATAAAACTTGCGATTAAGGTTAAATGTTACACAAAGATGTATTTTCAAGGTTTGCGTTGAAAACTTACTTTTGCATGGGCCCTTTGAATACGGTAAATGTTCGGTCGGACATACACAAGAAAACATAAATAACGCAAGAGAAGTGTTCCCGATGGTTGCCAAACACACGTGTCCCGATGTCTTGCACGTCAAAAAAGTCCCAACGTAAAGATACCCCTTGATCAAACGTTTAAACAAGTAGACAAGATCAACAGTGAAAAATAAATTATCTTAGTCACTTTCAATTAATTATTTTGTTACATCTTGTTTCCCTCATATCAGTTAATTTGTAACATTGTACATTTTACAGTCATCAAGATTTTTTTTGTGGGGGGGAATGAACCTTGGAGGAAAATAAGAAAACCTATCGATTAAAACATCTTATTAATTTGAATGACCATACGATGAAAGCGATTGCCCATAAACGAATAAGAAACGAAAAGCACGGTTATACGTTATAAGCGCACAGATGTTCGCTAATTTGAATGCGTCAACCGTCAAAAGGTTGCGAAGACTTAATTTAAGACTGCTACAAATTAAGCGTTGAATGCATCAAAACGAAATAGCATGCCCGAAAACGAACACGAACTTTCAGAGCAAAATCTTGGCTGCCTAAAAATGAAATTGAATGAACCCAAAATGAAAAAGAAACCCCAATTTGACCACATGTGCAAAACTCACGTGAAATTGAATGGCTGATAATGAAACTGATTAGAAAAATTCGGAAATTCGCCGGGAAAACCTATATTAAAATCTTCGCGTCGTTATCATTTTCGTTCTCACGCAAGCACGCGATGTGAAAACAGACGCGATCGAACAAGGAGACCTACAATCCCGGCAAAAATGGTTGGGACACTTGGAAATAACCTTAGCCTTTCACGGTCACCCACTCCCCCGCTCCCCCGGTCAATGTTGTTCTTTCCAGCTGATGGAGCACACACCGCGCAATGAGAGACAACATTGACAGGGGGCCGGGGGGTTGTGGGCCCAGCGAGATTTGGCCAGGATTGTAGGTACGAAAATAGGTCGTTGGTAAAATTCGCTTTTACCCATTTCCGACTGATTTCTCATCTATTCTGAGGCAATTTTGTAAGTGTTTTTAATAAAGATCTTATAACTTAACCCGTTAAAACAGTTGATAAAAATATACACAAATTGATAGATGTGGTTTCTGAATTTCATGATTTATTTCTTCCTGTCCTTTCATCTTTGCCGTATCCCAATAATTTTGGACTCGCCAGCCGGGCTACTTAAGGAACAGTTTGACTAGCCCGCCGCTGTTTTGACTAGCATTTGTCTAGCGGGCTGCCGCTAATTTCGAACCCTGGTGAATAACGTTTTTCTTACGGTGATGGCTACTTTCAGTGTTCCTACCCTGGTACTATGGCACAGATAACGTCATCAAACAAAGGCGTAGAATTTTGTGTTCCGACGTCTCGGGAAAATGCCTTGAACAATGAAAAAATCCGGGATGCTCGAAATTGGAACAGCATTGAAGGTGAAGGGGACCATCGGACACTAGGTGGCGCTTTAGGCTACATGAAAATAGTCTGGTTCCCAGATCTAAAGATTCTGATAACTATAGGACGTGTCCAAATTACTTGGATACGGCTGGAAGTTACACACGGGTCTATGGTATTTCCAGCCGTAGCCTAAAATTGTTTTTAGGGATAACCGCGGCAGATAAATGCACACAAAGCTATGCGGACGTGGCATTCTCTGCAAATTTTCGTGCAATCGAAAAGAGATGGAACTTTCGTTGGCACTTAAGTTTTGACACACAGGACACCTACACTTGGCTGTCCAAAACGTTTTTTTGCAAAATGTTATACGTCAGAACACGATGATATCTTCAATTAGTTGCTGGTACCTCGCTATGCTTTTAAACGCATACGATGACATTTTTTATCCAGAAAGAAAAATCGGCAAATCTTGATGTGCACATGCGCAGTTGGAATACCGAACTGGCTTATTCGGACGCGGCCCGATGATAACTTATTCTGACTAATATTAGATCAGGTAGCCGCATTATATCACGTGACCAAACCGGGCAAAACAATATTTGTGCGGTATTACAAAAAAAATTGTATTCTGTATCTGCTGATGTCTACATAAAAAGTTATCTTGTGATTTTCAGGCACAAGTTGTTGAATAAGTATTTTTCTCGAAGTCATGGGCCATACATATATGTGACTCCTATCAAGATTAGTACAATTGTCATATTAAGGGAATGTGTGTTCGGGAGGTATTATAACACTCTGTTTAAGACCGGTGGAAGTCTGGATAGGTGATAATTACCCAAGGCGAAGCGAAACGTTAAAAGGTACCGGATTTCATGGGAGTCCAAATTTCATGTGACACTGGGAAAGTGTTTAAGACCAGCTAGCCATGTCTTTATCATCCGTTTAAGACCGCCACGTGACGGGCTCTCGACCAATAGGAATGCGTAAACTGTCTTAGGTATTTATGGATATTTTTAATGTCGTGCACAAAGAATGGAAAAGAGGTCTTTATCGCATTACTTTCTGTCTTTTGTTGTGTATAAAACAGCGAAAACGTGGATGTCACTTCCGTCCTTTTTATGATGCCTTCAAGGTTGCTAACATGAAATTATACTTCATGGCGCGGCTTGACGAATCTTTTCCTACTTACTCTTAAGAGGATAACAAATGTCATAAAAAGTAATTTAATTGAAAAGGTATATCCATAGAGCAAGGAACTACCCATGAGCCCGAGCAATTGGTAGAAATTGAGTTCGGCTGCCACTCCTTTGTAGTATAGTTTTTTTTTATTGCAAATGCATGTGCCCTTGTAGTTCTGAAATGGCAAAAGGATGTACGTAAATGTGCTATTGAATTTGCGATCCGAGTGAAAAATGCAGTAAAAAGCATTCAATGGCGGTGGCCAGGGAGGAAGTGAGGTTGTAGCCTATGTGACTTCTTCAGTGTGCTGATATTTTGACACTTCAGAGCTTCCGAAGACTTCGTTCCCTGGAACCCGACTGGGTGTCGCCCTTATAAAATCCTTGCCCTTGATTGAACGAAGCCATTGTGATCTGTAATAAGTGCCACCTCCCCTCTCTGTCTAACCCCGCCCCTGACCCTGAGTACAACTCGTCTGTCTGTCATCCAGCATAAATAAAAAGAAACACCTATAGTGAATGAAAGAAAACAATTTGGTGCATCATAATATTTAAGTTTAACTTGTGAATGACATTTGAAATCATTGCACCAGCGATGATAGTTTATGGCTTGGCGCGCTCCTCGGTCTTTGCACTTGTGATGTTCGTTCCCTAAAAAAAATATTTACGAAAGGATGTCCTAGTAATTTTGAGAAGGGGAGTTGCGAGTGAAAGCTATGCTAAAATGTTACCAGTATAATTGGGCAAGATTTAATTAAGTGCATATCTAATAAGCCTAATTGCACAAAAGGTCATAAATTGTTTTAAAAATTTACAACTTGGTGCTCATTGGCATTCTTGCGAAAAGTTCGTTCAGCAAGATCTGGATTTGACTCTATGTTTCATCACAGTCTTTCAACTTGATATAACTACTTGGATGTTTGTGTGTGTGGGGGGGGGGGGGGACAGTGGAATCCCGGAGTTGGTCTGGTTCCTGTTGTCCTCACAATACGATTCAGGGAATTCTAAGTTGATGGACCAGGATGTACGCTATTTACGCTCATGGATTGCGAGATGAACGCCCTCCTACGCGAACCCGCCCTAATGCGCTCATCGTCGCCCGTAGACTGCAACGCAGACGAGAGGAATCGAATGGCGTACAACTTCGGGATGTACACGCAGGCTGCTGTCAGGTAGGCGTTTAGCAGCACGGCCATACAGATCGCAGCTACTTTCTGCAGGCTATCGCGGGACGTGTAGTAAACCGTTATGGCCGCCAGGCACGCCAGAAGGGTCGAGTAGACGCTGGCCCCAATGAACTTGGACTCGTTGTAGTTGTCTGGCACCCTGCGCGCCAGGAAGGCGAAGACGCAGCAGGCCAGGATGAGCACCAGGTTGTAAGTGCTGGATACCAGGAAGCCGGTGTCGAAGACGCAGTACAATTCAAGACGAGGCTCTCTGGGCCTGAAGGTCAGTAGCTGGGGCTGGCAGGGGTGGACTGCTGACGTCACGATGACGCAGATAACCTGCATATCGAGACATAAACGCACCCAAATAATTCAGACGTATGGAGATGAGTCAGACATTATTGAGTAATTCAGACATATTGAGACACGCCTACCCATAAGAATTCGTATTCTCGAATTTACTTGTATACTCGAATTTACTTGAGGTTCAAAGTTGTACCTTGTTTCGTGGTCCCTGAAATTGTTTTCTCATGAATAACTGTCGATGCTTATTAAAGTATTTTCCAATAAAAGGCACACAGTAATAGTCCTGAATTTTCAACAAGTGAATATTTCTCTCATATGTAAGATATTTCCCCCTGACAATCAATTCAATATTTAAACATGGCGATCCAATTACTTATGCAAAGTTTTTTTTTTTTCATAAAGGCACTGCTCAAAACAAACAAAAAAATTCAATAAAAGGTTGAAATTGACTGGAGCGGAAAATGAACCTGCGACCTCCCGATTGTACACCTATATAGGAGACTCGGACATGCTCAGAACCAATGATATTTGAGGGACGTTTTGTTGCCCAAAGGGCGACTGCAATGTTTCCTTCATACCAAAAAGGTCGTGTAGGTTCTAAAAAATTGAAGAATTCACGAAAACCGTCTCTATCAATTTATAACAAGGACCTGGCAATATTAAATTTTAACCAGGACTGCCATTGACAAATTACAAGCCTGTAAAGAAAGGCTATACATTGATTACCATTAATTTGATTAGGAGTGTTTTCCTGTATATAGTCCATTATCGCTTAATGTTGTTTCTTGACAGTCAGGGGGAAAGGCCTGACCCATCGATCGAGATATCAATTAATGAACGAGATTTAATGAATTCCGTTCTAGGGGATGAGGCGTAAGCTCAATTATCCCAAAATAATTGTAGATAATTTGACAGAGGCATGGCTGGAGAAGAATGTCAATGTCTTTTTTTTCTTTTACAAATTGATTGATTAACGAGAATGGAATTCAATGATTATGTTTACGAAGAGTAATTCTCTGCCAAAAGCCACGAACGGCGCTATACATTTCGAGGGTCTGGTGTGATTTATGCCTTCCCTCCATCCGCGCATTCAACACAACACTTGCTGCCTGTTTTCTTGCGGGGTTGTGATAAAACAGATTGTAAGAGATATATTTTGAATAATAATATTCATCACTGGATACATCTCGATAAGATTATTCAGAGGAAAAGAATCTGATTATAAAATATTTTATGAAAAGAACACTCTTTGCAAATGACATTATGCTTTAGAACCGTGCACTGCCCGTTCCTGAATGTCAATATTGTGTTTTAAAAATACACGTTCTTTAAATTTCAGTTTGACGGGAGAAAATACAGAAATAAAACTAATGTCTTCGGTCTTTTCAAAGGTGATAGCCCTTCCCTTTGTTGGATTGATGTAATGGATCTATCACTCACAAAATTTGTCAACGATGTGTAAATATAAAAACTGACTGTCGGCTTTTTTTTTCCCAGTACGAGTCTGTTTACAGCACACCAAAATAGAATAGGTTGAGAAAATATTATGTAGGTACCGCACACAAAAGATAGATACTGCCATTGTATTTAGTTACCAATTAATTATTTTTTTTTAAAGCGAAAAAAAAATGCACAAAATAGCCAAACTATAGTTAGATCCTACTTGACAAACATCGCACACAACAAGGCACATTGCTGAAAATGCAGTAGTGACAGAAACATAGCCGTTATTTTGTGGAGAAAACATTGTGGTCGACAACAAACCTTTTTTTTTATCATACTGATTTAATGTCCAAGCAAGTCATCTGTTGTTTTTATTATCATTATTAATCATTTCTGGTAATGAAACCAAGGATTCCTCAAAAGCGCCCTAGGCACTGTAGCACACAAGCCTGAAGAAACATGTAGAGAGAAGACAATGACAAGAAATTACGGTTTTAGAGGTGGGAGGAGAAGCCCAGAGGAATATTCTGAGGAAAACCCACGGAATCAGGTAGAGACTGAAAACCCAATCCACATATTGGCCCAGGCGGGATTCAAACCCGGGTCACAGCGGTGGAAGGCGAGGAAAGTACCGCTACGCCAACCTGACCCCCCCCCCCATATTTAGTAATATGCTAAATTGTCCATACTCACACAGCCCCCCCCCCCTCCCCACCCAGGGGGAATTAACTCTCGAATAGCTAGGAGCATTTCAGCCAAAGAAATTAAATGAAATGCTTATTGCTGGGAGGAAAAAGGCAATAACGTAAACTAATTTGGAAACAGAAGACACATGTCGAATTGGTCAATTCAATTCGGTGTCATTTCCTTGCTACGTCCTTTTCAATTAGTTCCACCCGTGTGATTTATTCATCTTCGTCAAAATGCCATCATATTAATGAGTTGTGGAAATTGAATATCAGAGAAAACAAACATGAAAGTCTTATACTCCACCATTCGGACCAATATGATTTGTACCAATCGCGTTGTGACGCAAGGGGCCTTGAACGGTCGGCTCGGCCGGGAGGGAGTTGTTTTTCGTGGGCCGGGATGGGTGTTTCGCGGGTTGTTTCTTGAATTAGTTACCTGTTCAAGGGGCTCTCAAGAAGATGCATATTTGATGTAATAATTGCACAAGAATATGCTACTTTGGAGAATTTCATTCTCATATGCTTGTCTAAACTCAGGAGAAAGGTGTAATTTGGACGGGTATAGTTGCAATCTTTAGTGGCTTTCTTTGGATCTCTTCTTTAGCATTACGCTTACGGAGAAAACAAAATTCACTTGCCAGATTAAATATAAAAAGGCTTATTGTCAAATCCGTAAAATATGCCTGTATACATGCATATTCATGTATAAAGGTTACCCTATGTGAGTAAAGAACACACCAAACAAAATGTCTTGCCCAATTTGTTTTTAGATCAATTTCTTTAAGCAGATTTAATGCAGTTTTGTCTTCCTGACAAATATTCAACTGTCAATTTATATCCAAGTTCACACAAGAACTTGTTCAGTGTATAGAGACTATAAACTGGGTGAAAACTGAACATTGTACATAAGCATTACTTCCGAGCATTATGGATTTCGAGAGGGAGCAAGGGCGGATCCAGGGGAGCCAACGGGGGCCATGCCCCCCCAAAAAAAAACCAACCCCCTTTTTTTAAACTTACGTCGCAATAAAGGCAGGCACTGCGTACACCACCAAAACAAATGGTTAAAGTGGTCAGATATTGCCTCAGATCGCACCACAGAGCATCTACAATCCAAAAAATTTAAGCGGGCCCCGAACCCCACGCCGTAAATTTTTGGACCCACTTTTTGGCGGACCAAATTTTTTTTGGCCCCTCAAAAAATTGTGCTCTGGATCCACCCTTGAGAGGAAGATGTTTAAAACATATTACTATAAAGTGTTGTCAGCATTATATTTAACTATATATGAATAAAAAAATTAACTTTTGATATCATGTTGGTAAAGCAAATCAGTTCGTAGTATGTTCCTCGTTTTGTATGTTTCAACTGTGTTAAATTTACGAGATACCAAGAATTGAAGATGCAGCTTCGACAGGGGTTAGAACATTCGCTCATCGGAACAAGAAAAAAACCCAGTTTTACAAACAAGACTTACTTGTTTTCTACTGGAAAAGTTAAATTGGCAAGTGAGAAAGAGCGCATATAGTTACCTGAATTAGAATCAAGAAGCAGACGATGGTGAGTTGTACCGTGGGAGATATGAGACGTGGCCGGCCCGCCGACTTCCTAGCGGCCCTGAAGATGCGGTAGATCCTACATACTTTGAGCAAGGTTGGGGCGTAGGCTAGCGTGAAGCAGAGGCTAACAGATGCTTGGGACATGCAACAGGTGATGGGAGTGGGTTCTGCTATCAGGAGAAAAGGAGCCACAAACCCAAGAAGGAGGCCCAAGACATTGACGCTGCTTAGCTCACGGCTAGTCGCCTTGATGACGTTGTGGTTGCGGTACCAGGCCAGTCCAAAAGCAATGATCACGGCTAGTGTCAAACCCATACACGACAGGATCAGGATAGTCAGCTGCAGCGGGTGGGTCCATTCAGTCGTCACTGGGGTGATCGGGACGCAAGAGGAGCGTTTCTCGTCGGGCCACTCGGTCTCCTCACACTCGATGCATTCTGTGTGGTTAAACACGATGGCGTAGGGCGCGCAGGCGGCACACCCGAAGCAGCAATTCTCTTTCAAGGGAGCGACCCTAGAACCGGTGGGACAGACATCCCTACACGTTGAGGTCGGTACTACATCGGATCCGTCTGCCCAGATGATATCCGTATCAAATCTTAGACGCTCTGGGGTTGTGGCATCCCAAAGACCCACCGTAACCATTTGGAACTCCCCCTGGACCATCTGGGCATTTTGAAGGAGGTACTTGCCTGACACTGCTCCGTCCGAGTTGAACTCGAATCTTCCTCTCTCCTCCTGGAAACTGACCGCTTTAAGATGGTGTAAAAAGTCTTTTCCTTTCACCGTGTCGGAAGTGGACGAATTGAGCAAAGAGTGCAACGCGTACGCAAATGCATAAACCGCGTCTATGACGGGTGACATGATGGACGACGGGGTGTAGAGATCCCGGTGTGGTATTCCACATCCGTCCTCCACCCACACCGTGCAATTATTGACTGCCTCCCAGTTTTCCAGAAAGATTTCGAACCAGGGATTCTTCAAGATGGCCTCCCTGTCCAGACTGGAGAAGTACTCAAAGAACCCACTAGGTTCTGGGTTGTGAAGAAGCACAAAGACGGTACCCATGGGTGGTGTCTTGCCCGAGCCGTCCCGACCTACACCGTGCGCCCAAGCTTCACTGCCAATCCAAATGAAATGTTCCTCCATACTTAAGTCTCTGGCGGCTCCAACAACAGCGTTTGCAGTGGCCAGTCCGGCAAAGATGACCAGTACGCGCGCCTTACGGGCTTCCAATAGCTTCACCTTGACCTTCTCGAGTTCGGAATGTGAAGGGTACTTTTGGACGGGGAGGGACAGAGCCACGCACACCCCTCTCCCCTCGGCAAGACTTTCCAGCGCATGAGCCCCTCGGATCCCGTAGGTATCTGCTCGGTAGATGATGGAAACGTACTCCCAACCCATGTGGGAGATCAGGTCCACGATAGCTTCGGCCTGCAGGCGGTCTGGTGGTACGGTGCGAAGGAAGTATGGAAATCGGTCCTTGTCGCTCAGTTCGTCGCTTGTCGCGCCGAAAGTGATCATCGGTGTGTCGTACAGGTCTGCCACCGAAGTCACGGTCAGGCTAGCGATGCTCGTCATCGGACCGACGATACCGACGACCTTCCCGGGGAAACCAGAGGATGAATTCCCGCATGAAGACTCCCCGTTGTCCCCTCGGACGAGCGAGAGAGACGACCAGAGGGCCAGGTCTTCATTCCGACAGCTGTCCCTGATATCGAAGCCAAGCGTTACGTTGGGAAGCAGGTCTACCCGGCTGTTGATGTCATCCACGGTGTATGCCATGGCCTCAGCCTGCTGCAGAGACCACATTGTCGGGATGGCATCGCAGTCGGTGAAGTGCAACGGGAAGAGTCCACCGAGGATGTAATCGCCTTGCCGGGCGTAGGCCAGCCGAGCTGCCGGTGGAACTGCGCTCCGCACGGCACCGATGATTACAAATAGTACGCTGGCGGCACATGACAGCGTCATGGCTAAAGACATGAATCGCGGTTGTTGAGATTAAACTATGTATGGGTAGCCTTCAGTTAACAACGCTTTTAAAAATATCCAAGGGCGTACTGGACGTCTTCTCACAGAGCTGTGCTCACAAATCGAAGAGCTGCACGTATGAGCAGACACGCTAAAATTGAAATGGACGGTTCCAAAATAGTAAGAAATAGACTGCATGAATTCAAGACAGTCGAAACAATTTTATGACCGAAATCGAGGCATAACATTAACATCATGATGAATACGTGACCATATATTATTTAGCTGACGGTTGTTTGTGTCAAGTCGTGATATCTGAAAGAACGCCAAGGTTGAATGTCGACCATTAAAATATTCATGTCCAGAATAAAAACACATCGCAATCGATAACTAGGCGCGCACTGGACTGTTCTACCGACTGATCTTTACAAATTTACGTTGGTGGCAAAATTGATGTTCAACTATACGATGCTGAATTAATATCGTGAAATAAAGTTGGCTACCCGTGCTCTTCAACATATTCGATTTTTTTAATCCGAACGATTTTTTAAACCGTACTTTTTTTTTTGAACGGAAAAAACTAATTTATTAATTCGTATGTTTTTGGACGTTTTCAACCTTTTTCAAAATACGCTTCTATTCTGCCGGGTCGTTTTTGCACCAATAATTTACAAAAAGATACGCCCAAACTATTGTCGGCCCCATAAATAATTGAAAATTTGTTATATGTATAATATTCCATAACCTAAAACAAAATATTTTTTTCGGTGTAAAACTCTAACATAGCACAACGAAGCAACTTTAACAAACGAAAACATAAGAAGAACCATTTACCAAAAGAGAACCATCTTCGCTTTAGTCAGCGTGTATCGTTGGCGCCAATTTCAATTAACGACACAACTCGTGCAGCTCTTTCAAGTGGCTGAGTGATGAAAGTGACAGTAAGTAAGCGGCCAAAGTGCAGCTCCGATGTATATTCCCTGGATAGAAAATGTAGTTCAAAAGCTTCGGTTTTGAAACTCAGGCTCCTCCAAAACATTGTCTTGTTTATTCATATGTTCTTCACTGCATCGGCGTTCAACTTTTCCAGTTGTGTTGGCCCGTGCGTTCTGCATATTTTGTAATAATGTATTTCTTCATTATCGTTTGCAGCATAGCGTGGGTATACTGCAACTGAAATTGCGTCAGTATTAGATTATTTTCGAGTCATTTTAATGTTCATATTATTTCGGGGTCAATTGGGTTTTTTTAAAGGTAACTTAATAATGCGGTTATTTTTGTTCAACCCAATGTGTGACATAACTAGTGTTCAACCCAAATAGATGACATATTTAATATATGTCATGCGTTTGGGTTGAACATAGTTAAGGGATGTAAAAACATAATTAAGGCCAAAAAAAAAGTCTCCGGTTTCTGGTATGCGCGCGCGTCGCCGTAGCCATGCGCGTCGGCAAAATGAAAAAGTTTTTTTTTCAATACAAGATGATGTCTCAAAACCGCCAAACTCACTGGTTTGACTGGAATCCTGCTGCTGCACAATTTTAACGTGTTTTTAGATGGGGTTATGATCGAGAATAAGCTTTATGTGGCCTCTCTGGACTCCCATAAGTTTAGTCGGGCACCATTTGCAGTCATCAGCCGACATTTGAAGCCAAAAAAAAAAAAAAACAGGTAAAAAAAAAAAAAAAGCCGCGTCGCCGCACCACTTTTGGGGCAAGCTCCATACCAGAAACCGGAGACTTTTTTTTTTGGCCTAAGGGATGTCATAATTACGATGGTATGGTAGGTGCACAAAGGGAAATGTCTTGACTGAATGGAATCTTTTCGAGTATTTTCTTTTCTAAATGTTCATAAATTATAAAGTTATTCATACCGTACCTTATATTTTGCTCACGAATTCGCATTGAAGCCAACTGACTTGCAATTTGACAGAAAATCACAATTTGGAGAAAACCAAATATTTTGAAATGACTACAGATTGGAACTCTGACGCCGAGTGATGCATCATGCAATTGAACTAGCTGTATCCGATACTTCTGGACACAATGTACGAATTCTATTGTGCTCGTTGTATTACTAAAAAATGGCATTCAGCACGATCTCAAAAATCAACTCTGATTTGGTCGAGTGATAGTGACACGGCGTGACATTTTAAAGCTTAATAAATGCTGGAATGCCATTTTGAGCGAGTATCAAACATTTTAATGCATATCTATACGATAAAGGTAAACATGTTCGTTACCGTTTTGACGAAGTGACGAATCCGTCCAAACTACCGAGATTTTAAGCAATCTGATATTTTTTTGATATTCTAACATATTATGATGTGCTCTACACGTGATTACCAAATTTCGAGACACAAAATGCTATCTTTCGTTAATTACGCTAATTACACAAAGGAATGAAATTGTTGCGAGTGGGTTCTAATAAGGGGTTCAGCAGCCCCCCCCCCCCCCAAAAAAAACCCACCTGTTCTAAGAAAACAATTTGCACTCCGTTGTAGGCATATTTACTGAGGATTTTTTAAAATGGAGAATACGTTTTTACAACCTTCTCGACATCTGCACACCCCTCAAATTCCCTGAAACCTCCAAGAACATTTTGTGTTAAAAGCCAGTAATGAGCAAAATTTCCCTTCCAAGGACAAAGAAGGCGAGGCCAAACCGCGACCGACTAGTCGACGGGCACGCAGACGCTTAAAATCTAATGAAATCGCGAAATGAAATCACCAAGCCAAGGAATCGAACGCCCCCCCCCCCCCAAACTCTGGCGACGGGGAATCTCCGACACTTCAAGTTGACCGAGTTGGAAAGTACTGGCCCCTTGGCCGATAAAAGGTTGTCATGGAAATCGCGTGAAATCAAGAGGTCTGTAATCATGCAAAGCGAAACACTGCACTTGAGAACTAAACCATAATCAGACCGAATGTATACAGCATGCATTGGCCAATTAGCCAGATAAAAAGAACCTCATTCAAAACATTTTTTGTTACTAGGACGATTTCTTTATTTATAAGTACTATTGTCACCACTGAGACTTGATAAAAACCAAACCATAATTGAAAACAAAAATATTTAAAATAATACTTATAATTCCAGAAACTTTTAAAAAATAAATATGGAGTATAGCTAAAAAATTGTCTTTACGGTATATAATTGAACTTATGTTATCAGCTGGAAGATTCTTTTTCAGTAAATAATTTTTCGACCACTAAAAAGGCACAATTTCATAAGTGACCTGTAAAAATTGTGCTGCAGATAGGTGCAGGGATTGTGTCTTTGATGATACAAGCATGGCATTTGGCACACAGTCAGAGTATGTCTCGAAAAAGATATTTGGCTATAGGCCCATCGCAGATTTGTCCTTTGAAAAAAAAACTAGGTAGAACATCAATCAATGGCAGCCATTTTGAAAATTTTGAAAATTGTTTGTTACTCTACCTATATTTTTTCAAAGGACAAATCTGCGATGGCCCTATAGCCAAATATCTTTCTTTAGACATACTCTGACTGTGTGCCAAATGCCATGCTTGCATCATCAAAGGCACAATTTCCCCAAATATTTCCCCTATCCGTCCCACTAAAAAAACAGTTTCAGTGTTGCTTAGTAAATTAAAGAATTAGGGTTTATTTTTTAGTTCTATGCATCTGTCGACATCTGGTTGGCTCAGATACTCATGTTTGTAATCTTCTTCAGTTCGAAAATAAAAGTGTACCAAGTTTTAGTGAATTGTTGCATACCAAAAAAACGCATGCATAAATTGCTCAGCCAATAGTAGATAGATAGATACAATACAATATATACACAAGAATAATATTAATTTAAAAAAAAATATAACTAAGACGTCAAAAGATTGTCCTTTTTCTAGCAAACACTCTGAAGATCAGATCCGAATCTCAAGGAGCTTGACAGACAACACTGCTTGGCAAATTGATGTACTGAGCAAAAAACACGCAGGGAACCTTCACATTTTGCTAGACAAATACCTTCTATATATTAAGCATAATACTGTGCTTAACACCTCCGTCAATTTGGCCTGAGAAACTGCTTAAAATACTCAATGTACTGAATTTATGTTAAAATACTTAATGTACTGAATTTATATATTTTTAATACATACTTCACACTGGGGCTAACTGATTTCTAAAACTGCTTGGAGACTAGGCACTTTGCAGATTACATATTTTGAGTTGGATATACTCAAGTACCTCTACATATCATTGTTAGCATTACAGTTCTTTTAATTATGTTAAAACCAAGCACAATTCACACCAATCATGAACATTTACGAACACATACAATTTACAGATCCAGTTGTACTGTACAAGTACATGTCATACAGACATTGTAAAAGGTTCATGAATCAAAGGCAGACATTTCGGACTGCCAGCAATTTGAAAACTTGAACCCACATTTGATCATAAAAAGTTAAACAATTCAAATAAAAAAGTAGCTGTGCAGCTTTCTGATTTAATTTGTCGAGAATGATGCACTTTTGAACACTCAGGTCACTTGACCTCAGTTTAGGCCAAGTTGACCCCTCAGCTTGATCTTAACTGACCCCTCAGCTTGACCTTAGCTGACCCCTGAGCTTGACCCCAGCTGACCCTTCAGTTTGACCCTAGCTGATCCCTCACTTTGATTCCAGCTGACCCCTGAGCTTGACCTTAGCTGACCCCTCACTTTGACCCCAGCTAACCATTCAGTTTGACCCCAGCTGATCCCTGACTTTGACCCCAGTTGACCCCTCATTTTGTCTCTAGCTGACCCCTCAGCTTGACCCCAGCTGACCCTGCAGTTTGACCTCAGCTGACCCCTGGAGTTGACCTTACAAGACGTTACATCCCCAGCAGCACTGGTGGGGGTAGTCCGGGGCGTGGACCTCATGCTCAAAGCCGTAGACCCAGAAACGGGTACTGATGTCCTTCCAGTCGTAGTGGGCTTCGGTCACGGGTACGGAGCGAAGTGTCTGACGCTTAAAGCAAAAAAAGATAGAGACGGATAATTTCAAAATGTTTCCAGAAGGCACTGTGCATAAAGTGACCCTCCAGGACACTGGATTTCAAATGTTACTGTCAACGACATCTGTATTGAAGGTAAGTATGATCGTTTGCTTTCTGTACATTTTTCTTTCTTTGAAGCAACAAAATTGCTCAACATCTTAAAGTAGGATGCGTAAGAACCGACCTGTGCAAAGTTTAACCCAGTGGCTACTCTACATTTAGAGAAAACAGGCAAAACATATGCACAATTTGTTGGCCTCATGACAGGATTCCATTGCTAATACACGTAAAAAAAGTGTGTCCACAGGCACACTTTTAAAGGGAAAATACAACATTTGCAAACATCAAAAAATAAAACTACCAAATCATTTGGAAATACCTTGCTGGACTGTTAGTGAATGACAGTGTAAAGCATGCTGTAAAATCATGGCACCTGGTATACTGTCATTTTCAAGAAAAGTGGTATTTTTGTATCAATTTCCAATGCTGGTCGGCCGACCAGCGTTGGAAAAAACTGGCTTTTTCTTTCAAATACTGGCCCCAATTGACCATCGCACTTGTTTGCAATCGATTACACACCTATGAACGGGTACAAGCCAGCTAGACTGGTTCCCTGACCTTACAATTCCCCAATGTATGTAAACCGCTCTGTTTCTTCTTATATGGAGTCAGGGAACCAGACTACAGGAAAATGATTGTTTTTCTTGGTTTTTATAGCATTTTCGAACCCAAAACCTCAAAAAAGTCAGTGTAACTATATTTGCTATATATTTCCAACCCCCCAATTCCATCCATTTCTGAAAATTACAGCAAAAGCAAATGATGTATATTCCCTTTAAACCAACTTCATCGAGTGTTTCTCCTCTTTTGAGCGTTTCTCCTCTGAACGATACCATTTCAGGAGGAATAATTTCCCAGGGTATTTGGTACCAGTCCTATATCTTCACTTTGAGCAAGGATTTTCCCGTTAAAGTGGTCGGTACGTTTCCAGGTAATTGCAAATGCTACTACGTGCCTTTAACGACAGCTGTGCTAATCCCAAGTCATTAAGTCTCAAGTATAAGTACAAGAAGTACTAATATCACAATTCCCTTACCTGTTGCAGAGTCATAGCATTTGGCCAGGCGGTGCGATGTTTATCAACCAGACGAATGGAATTCTGGTTGACTTCTTGGACGGGGTATTGGGATATAGGCCACACCTGTCCGCACACAATCACAATCATTTCACAACAGGCAATAAAATGACACAAAGATCCCAACGAGCATTTTTGCGAGTTTTTTTTTATCTTGATTACATTCATTCTCTCAATTGATTCTCTAAATTAGACTATCACTGACTGAAGACCCCAGGCCTGCAACTGGGAAATCCCCAAAACAAAAGAGGAAATTCAAATCTTTCCAAGGCTTTGTAAAGTTGTTTTTCTTCTTAAAAACCTCATCACCAGCCTAATTTACTAGGAGCCATACCCATTCTGGCAAATTCCAACACCCACATGGGAAATTGTACACACACACTGTTGGACTTGGTTTCTGAAGGTATGCCAACCCCAGTGTAAAAGACCATCAGTTTAGGGGAACTGCACCTTTCCCAACATATTTAAACAAAATCTGCTGTTGAACTTTGGTGGGTTGAGTTCGGTTAGGCTTAATGTAAAACATGGGGAGTAAAATAGTAGAAAATCAGCTGATCCGAGGAACAGTTGCATGCCTAAGACCCAAGTTTTGGACATTTGCCAGTTAATCATGAAAAAAATAACTTAGAAAATGTAGGAGGGAGAGCTAGACAGTATTTTTGGAGGGGGGGGGGAGGCCCAAACTCCCCTACCCCTAGCATGCTTGCTTCTGAATTAGCTGTGGCTGTTAGTAATGCACATGTCTATGGGACAACGATTCAGTCACTTCCATAGATGCAAGGGTAATGGTAAGCCGTAGTCAAGTAATTCAGATGAAGCTCGACACTTACAAAAGGCAACGTCTGCTGGAAGATGGTCTGCCCGCTGACGCTCCTAATCAGCTCGTCAGGCATGTCCGAGCGTTCCAAGATGTAGTCCTCCAAATTGTTGGTGCTGCAGAGGAGAATTAAATTCAATGTAATAAACAAGGGCCTGATTGCATGGCACTGCTAACTTTTCATAGCACTGCCATAGGGGTGTGCATTTACGGGTAGTACATGAACCGGTTATCCGATTGAAAGAAACACGGGTATCTGGGTACCCGTGAAAGAAACCCAACCTGAAATTCAAATCTCGGAAGTTGCTGTTTAGTTTTTTTCATAAAGGTCCGCACGATAATACTGCCACATCGGTGCGCCAATACAGCATGTACATCGAGCTTTACGGTGTAAATTTCAACTTTCACGAGCGTCATAAAATGTGAAATATGCTTTGTTTCCCCATGTAGCCTGGTTTTCATTTTAAGAATCCTCCACAAATGACATTCAAAACCTTGCTTTTTTATTGTCAGAGAAGTTACTTTGTAAGATGTTAAGTTGGTTGCGGGTACCCGATTCCATAATCTGGAATCTAGAACGGGTTCCTGACATTAACGGTCAGGTACTCGGCTACCTGGTTCCAATGCACAGCCCTACACTGCTAGGCACACCATTTTTCATTAATTTCAGTAACCCTAAAAAGAACAGAATGCTTTTTGCATACCAAGTTCAAAAGGCAAAAAGGTTAGAAGGAAGGAAATACAAAATATACACATGCAAGGGTTGGCACATCAAGGTCTTGAGATATTTATCTTAAAGGGTTCATGAAGTGAATCTTTCTTAGGAACACATTTTGAACAACTTTTAATCTTCTTAATTTTACAAAAACTATTTGATATCCCTATTTGGTTAATTGTATTGAATAGTGCACTTTTTTTAAACATTAAAAAATGTCCATGCTTTTCCGGACAATTGAGGGCGCTGTTGCTGTGACGTCATTTCAGGAAGACAGTGCTCCGTTGAGGGGTTTTCTGTTCAAATCACTAACCCAAAATTTTCTTATTCAAAACGTTTGTGAGAATAGTTTGCGCACCGGCTTACTGCCATGTACTGACACAACAACGTATCACCACAGAAAAAAAGAAATTACGACAGCGAAATATCCAAAATTCTGGCAACTTTTGGTGCTGAAATACCCATTACATTGAGGTTTCTGCCTGAAATGACATCACACTTTTTGCTCATGAATATGGAAATCTCGGTTTACTCCAACTGCAACGCAACAAGGAGTGCTGAGCAGTATTAATGCAGATGCAGAAACCCAAAAAAGCACAATACTACCCATGAAGATGGCAAAACGAAAATTGTAAATAAGGTAAAGGATACACGAATGTGCATTTTCAAGGATTGCATTTTACAAACCACATTGCGTGGCCACTTTAAGCGAAAAAGTGTGCAAACCTTGGGCATATTATGGCGCAGACATGCTGTTGTTCAAATCAACATGGAGATGTTTCTACTACTGTGTCCTACTCTTACTGCAAATTCGATTCTCATTTTTTTGGCCAGTGGCTAACAGTCTCTGTGAAATACACACAGGCTCTATCAGCACAACTTTACGCGATCATTAGCAGCATTATTCGGCCCCAGTTCCATTTAGCTTGCCTGATCGAATCATAAGCTAAACTTCCCTCTCCCCTAAGCTTGGAACTTACTAGGAGACAGTCAGCAGAATGAAGTGACGAAGCTGTCTGTGCCCTTGACAAGTCGGGCATGTGACTCGACCGTCACCCCCGCAACGGCCACATCTGGGAAAGAGCAAACAGATATAAATTAAACTAAACTGTGACATGTTTTAGACACTGAAAAAAGGTCAACAATTAAGAATATTTTTTACATTTTTGCTGTAGATATTGCAGTTTTGCACTATGCTTCAAGTCTGCCACGGAGATCACTTTGTTGCAATTTCTCACTCCCTTAAAACAAGCTCGATATATCAAAAGCTGCGGCCCAACTCTTGGCCTGCTGTAGCCTTTAAGTCATGTATATGTACATGATGTAAACGTCTGTTCTTGCACAACTACTCACGTGGTCGTGACTGTCAATTGAAAAGGATTCCCATTATTTTGTTGAACGTCGGTTTGTGCATGCAGTGTTTTATAGCATGTGGAACACCCAATATGCGTGCAGCACAGTGCTAGCCCCAATGCGAAATGAGTGACCTCGCGACCCAATTCTCCACGACTGCAATAAATTTTTCTGCTGGTCAGTGGAGACCTGATGAAGCACGTGTTGTTGCGAGGGCCTAAGGGACAAGTGATTGATTGCCAAAAATAGGCATTTGCTGAAGTTTGTTACTAACCAACGTAGAGACATGATAATTTCTTGAGCTGCTTTCTGCAGCTAACAACCGAAGGATAGAATATAACTTCCAGATTTCAAAATGGAATTCCTGTTTCAATTTTGAGATTGGAAAATTTCTTTCATGTTTTTGTAGCATCAGTGATTGCTTATTGTCAGCAAAATGTTGACGTTTACTGCAATGACAGGTGTGACATATTTGATCTGGAATTTTGAGGTTTTGTTGTTTGTTTACTTGTTTGTTTTTGTTTTGTTTACCTGCGTCGTCCCGAACCGTGGCACCAGCTGCAACTCACACGATGGGATTTACCGTCACGGTGGACAGTCCTACGGCCACTTCCATGACATGAGCTGCAACGAACCTAAACAAATCATGAGGAATTATTAAAGATATAGTCCATCATTTGTAATTTGTGCATTTTGTTCATTTGAAGCAAAAAAAGTGTTCAAAATCTAATGAAAGATACCAAACAACTAACCTGATGAAGTTTCAGCTCAGCTTCAGCTGTATATTCCGAGAAAAACAGCATTCTAGGATCTCAATTTCAAATCCAAAGTTGCTGAATCATTTTTTGAATTGTTTTGAATTGCAGCTATACGTGATGTTGCGCTCTGATCCGACGAATTATAGCAACTGCGCGCACGCGTGCGTTGTGCCAATGCTTGCGCGTGCTTCGTCGAATAACAAAACGAACTACTAATTTAAATTTCTTATTGTGCGTCTTTAGACGCACCGTTGCAAAGGCCTTCTTTCGTTGATTATATGACAGCTTGCCAGAAAGAATAATTTCACAGGGAGTTTAGTCCCCTTACTACCTTTCAACCAAGTATGTTTTTCAACAATAATTACGCCAGTTACTTTTCGATGGCTGCAAATGATGGACTATAGCTTTAAAGGGAGTGTACAGCGTTTGCTTTTGCTGCAATTTTCGGAAATAAATGGATGTGCAGGATTCAGTATGTTAAAGCAAATATTGTTAAAATGACTTGCTTCATGTTTTGGGTTCGAAGATGCTGGAAAATCCAAGAGAAGCAACCATTTTAATGTAGTCTGGTTCCCTGACCCCACTTAGGATGAAACAGAACAATTTATAGACTTTGGGGAATTGTAAGGTCAAAGAATCAGTCTAGCAGGCTTGTACCCCTTCATCACAGGTGGGTAATCCATTGCAAAGAAAATGGGGAATAATGAAATATGAACCATTAGGAGCTCTTTTTGAAAAAAAAGCCAGTTTTATTCAACACTGGTCAGCCGACCATCATTGGAAAAATACAAGTTTCTTGAAAATGTCAGCACACCAGGAGCCATGATTTTACAGGATGCTTTTGACTGTCATTCCTTACCAATCCAGTAAGACATTTCATTATAAGTTGATCACTTCCTTTTTTTAAATGTTTGCAAATTTTGTATCTTCCCTTTATGGAATTCAATTTGTACTATTTCCTCCATCTTGCTTATTTCTTCTCTATCTTGCTTTGCAATCTATATAGGCATTAAAAAACACCTAAAAGCCTATCCAGCGGACAAGTAAGCTAAAAATCAAGGACATCTCTTTGCTAGGTTCTTTTTTTTTCTTAACGCAGAATTCACAGGCTTCAAGTTGGACTATATGGAACAATTTTAAGTGTGCGTCAAGACTTCTTGAGAATTTTGTTAACTTACCCGTCCCCGTCCATGACAGCGTCCGCACATCACAAAACCACATCCTTGACACCGATGGCATTGCTGTCAAAAATGTAAAAACCATGAAATATTTGCAAATATAGGCTCATCTTGTTTTCTTCGATGTATCCACAATCGTCATGGCTATCCCTTACTCCCTCAGAATTTTGGTGTTAACCTGAAATTTTGGAAAATCACATCAAGTCAAGTATTCTTTGAATCCCATATGGGTAATTACAGCTTGCTTGAAATAAAAAAAAAATTAAATGTAAAAATTGTACAATTTTTGTAGAAGGTTGTCTCAGCTATTAATAACCCTAACCCACCTCACTCCTCCAAAATCCTCCTAGCGGTTTTGGAGGATTCTAGAGGATTGAAGATGAATGGTGATTGAATCAAATGAGGATTCTGGAGGATTGAGGATGAATGGTGATTGAAGCACATGAGGATTTTGGAGGATTGAGGATGAATGGTGATTGAATCAAATGAGGATTCTGGAGGATTGAGGATGAATGGTGATTGAATCAAATGAGGATTTTGGAGGATTGAGGATGAATAGTGATTGAAGCACATGAGGATTTTGGAGGATTGAGGATGAATGCATTTTGAGGCAGGACTGTCTGATGATTTTGAAGGATTTGGCGTTGGGTTATCCTTCATTTAAACACGAGTGCAAAATTTTGGGATGAGGAGGATTTTGGAGGATTGAGGATGAATGCATTTTGAGGCAGGACTGTCTGACAATTTTGAAAAATTTAGGTGGAGTTGCAAAATTTTGGAGGATTTTGGAGGATTGAGGATGGTTGTAAGCAACAAGGGCCTAGGGGGTTAGGGTTTACCCTAACTCCCTAGGCATTTTTTTGCTAGAATGCAGCCTCAATCCTGCAAAATCTTCTGTTTTTTTCTTGAATGTGGTCCTTGGAGGGGTGACCACTGCCTCAATCCTGCAAAATCCTCCAGCAATCACTGTCAGTATGTGGAAGCAGAGCCAGTGGCATCCTGGAGCAGAGCAGTGGGTAGGATTTCAAGTAAAATCTAGGCCTAAATTTGTGCACAGCTGAGCATAAACAACACAAGACCGTGACACAATGCATCCTCCAAAATCAGCCACAAATTTTTGCCTCAATCCTGCAAAATCCTCCATTTCGCAAAGAGGATATTTTGGAGGATCTGGGAAGGTTAAGGAATGAAAATAACATTAAAACTACATGATATCCAGCCCTTTTAAGTTAAAATCAGCACTGAAATAAAAAAGGAATTGAATTTTTATTGTTGCACAAGGAATAGTGGAGGATGGATGTTGGTTTATCATCACGTTATCATCTTGCAAACTTACCCTGACAATCGAAGTGTGAGGGACTTCTAGATTCTTCTTGTGAGTGAAGAACTGTTGGTCCGGCTTGCAAGCCATGGACCACACAGGCGGGGGCGCACCGTTCTCGGGCCCGTCTACGTAGCCGCCAGCGTAGGGCTTGAACTTCCGACTAGTGGACCTCGCTTCATTGAAGGTCTCCAGCTGGTACTAAGGAACGATGATTCAAGCGAAAAAGTCAGACTACAGTCGACTCTCATTATAAAGAGCACTTTATAAAGAGGTTCTGCTTATAAAGAGCAGATTCTGAGGTCCCAAATCTCAGGTTCTCTTTGTGTTTCTTTGTTTCGCTGTCCTTTTATAACACCATTCCTGTTATAAAGAGGTAATTTGGCTAGTCCCATCGACCTTGTTATAACGAGAGTCGACTGTACATGAAATTATTTTGTCTAGATTTCTGTTGGGGTTTGTGGTAGTAGTGGGAGAAATCGGAGATATGAGACTCCGGCTATCCTACTTTTTTTCAAACCGAATAATAGTTACCCGATATCAAGGTAAGCTATTCACCTAACGGTCATGCCAACAAAAGCTGAGAGAGATGCCACATGCAATGCCCGCAAGGGCTGCATTGGTGAAAAAAAATGGTTGGGAACTCTCTGATCAGACGAATGGGCAGGCTATTCATGAATCAAGATGACCGCTAGTGAATGTGGTTACAATCAGAGACCATGCAGCAAATTGGGGATTGTAAACTTCTAGTTGTTTTCTTTACTTCCAGGGCCCAATTTCACTGCGCTGCTTAACAGTTAGCAGGAAAGTTGCGTTTAGCATAGCAGAAAAATGTGCTAACCTTAAGCACTATTTCACGGCGTGTGTGTGCTAACGGTCGCACGTGCATGGAGATTTCTATTGCTATGTCACTAAGTTAAGCAAATTTTTCCTCTGAGGTAAGCATGCCTTTTGCTGTGTTTATGATTACGGTTTCCGTGAAATAGACGGAGGCTCTGTTAGCAGAAAATCGTGTACTTAGCAGCGCCATGAAATTGGGCCCAGTTGTTTTCTTTAGCCCATGTCACAAAAAATAGAAGGGTGTTTTTTTTTTGTTAAGGTTGGTTTCAAATATCCAGTTTCCAAAATACAAATCGAATAGTAGAATTCAAACCGAATTTTCAAAAATCTGGATATTACTCCTACCACTAATTTGAGAGTACATTTGGTACGTTTTTTAAAGGTAAAATGTTTCATTTGGGAATATTTGTGTATGCATTTGACAACAATTTGTACCGGTTACAAAAGTGCCAGAACATTTACATGTATAGGAACATTTCCAAGTTTTCTCCTCCTATAGGGCCAATTTTCTGACGAGCTCCCAACATGTACTTCACAAAGAAAGGCACACCACTTTTTTTTCAGTCTACTTTCAAGTTCAATTTCAGTCGTTTTTGTTGAGATGGAAAGAAATTTCCAATTGTTTAATAACTTTTCAGAAGTACTGAGAATTATTTTTTGGAAAAAAACAAATCATGAATATGCCCAACAAACTTGACAAATACAAAAATATCGATTACCGTATAAAAAAAAATGGCGAAAGTTTGGGGATTTGGACAAAATTTCCCCACCTTGCCCCCCCCCCCCCTTCTCATATCTACCTTTTCCTATCAAACTCATAATACTAAAGATGCCTACTTACACAATATACATGAAGCGCTTGACTTGGAATGATCTTGCTGATTATTTTGGGGAAAAAACTCCTATGCCCAACAAACTTGACGAACACAAAAATATTGATTACTGTAAAAAAAGACAAAAGTTTGGGGATTTGGGCAAAATTTCCCGCCTCCCCCCCCCTTTCATATCTGCCTTTTCCTATCAAACTCATAATACTAAAGATGCCCACTTACATGGAGCGCTTGACTTGGAATGATCTTGCTGATGGTCATGTTCTTGGCCGGTCTGGAACCGTAGCAGCAATGTTTGTCAACGAAGGCCAAAATGGCCGCCCTTACTGCCTCCTCTCCGATACCATCTCTCCTAAAACATGCAAAAATATGAAATTGAAGTTAAAAAAAAATCAAGGACGGACATGAGAAAAGTAAAACAGTCGTGTGGGGCTTTCTTTAACATACTGAGGTACAGTGGAACGCCACTATAACGAACATCGTTGGATCCACAGAAAGTGCTCGAAAGTAATTAACGATCGTTCGGTATGGCGATTTTGAACCGCAGGTACCCTCTTTTGACCGGTAGTGAACTGGCATTTCTCACAAGTGGTTTTCCCTTTTATTCCTTGGGGAAATTAAATAGCCATCTATCGCTCTTCAACATTCAAACACGATGTAACTATAGGTCGTTTGAGGTTTGGGAATTAAAGTGGCCCAAATAGTGTTTAATACAATGTACAACCCGTAGATTTTTTATTAATCTGTTGAATTTTTTCAACAACAATGTTCGGTACGTTTTGTGCATTAAAACCGGGAGCCAAGTATGATGTTCGGTATAGCCGAATGTTCGGTATAGCGGTGTTCGGTATAGCGGCGTTCCACTGTACTACTAACATCAAGTCATGCCCATATCGTCGTGTCCATGCAACAAGGTCTTATCTCTTAAATGGGCAGTACGACCTTGTTGCACAGAGGGTATTCACACGAGATGCCACTTTGTTGCAGAATGGGGTTATGACCTTGACGCACTGAAGCGATGATATGGGATGCACCCCAGCTGTCACATCTATGTCAAGTTTGGATGTAAAGCTCTAGTCCATCATTTGCAGCCATCCGAAAAGTAATTATTGTTGAAAAACATACTTGGTTGAAAGATAGTAAGGGGACTAAACTCCCTGTGAAATTATTCTTTCTGGCAAGCTGTTATTTTGAAGTAATCAACGACAGAAGGCCTTTCCAGCGGTGCTTCTTAAGACACACCGTAGGAAGTTTAAATTAGTAGTTCGTTTTGTTGTTCGGCGTTTTGTTGTTCGGCGAAGCGCGCGCAAGCATTGGCATGACAAACACGCACGCGCGGTTGCTATAATTCGTTGGGTCAGTGCACGACATCGCATAGCTGCAATCGGCTTAGTGAGAACGTGTCTTAATTGGACGCTGAATTCAGGCCCAATTCAAAACATGATTCAGCAACTTTTGATCTGAAATTTAGATCCTAGAATGCTGTTTTTCTCTGAATATACAGCTAAAGCTGAGCTGAAACTTCATCAGGTTAGTTGTTCAGTACCCTTCTTAAGATTTTGAGCACTTTTGGTGCTTCAAACAAACAAAATGCACAAATTACAAATGATGGACTATATTTTTAAGTTAAAAATTAAAAAGGACGGACCGTAAATTGGAATTCCAGTGATTTAGTAAAGCTCCTCAGCGGTTTACTTACGAGTCAAAGACTTCTTGAGGGCGATCACTTTCCGAAGGAGGTTCGTAAGCAGGGGGAGGCACTGGGGGGCCTAGGATAAAAAAATGAAAGAATTGTTGACTGTTATTTTACTCTAACTCTCAGAGACCTTTCAAAAATCTACCAGGTTTGGGAAGATTTTGGACTTGCTTTTCATTCACCAAATTCTGAGGATTTCCAGAAATTCCAAAATTTTGTCTATTTTATCTTCTCTCTTTACTTTCTTTAGGTTTGCAACCACAGATGAGCATGTACATGTTTTTACTAGGAATACTCGGTTTTTATGACCCAAATGAAACAATCTACCCCACAAAATATAACACCAGAAACTGTTTTTGTAGTTAGCTCCTCTGACAAGCTGTCCATGAATATTCAAATGAGTTGGGAGTGGTTTAGCTCATACAAAGGTCAGGGCTAAGCAGAATATTATCGCTTAGCAAATTTGTTTGCTTAGCACAAATCATCCGAGTACCAATCACGAGTAATTTACTTTGCATGACATTTTGGCTGGTAACCTGCTTTTGCAAAGCAACTATTTTCTAGGCTGAGCAAATGTCTGTGCTCCACGAAATTTGTCCAAGGTCTTGAATCTTACCATCCATAAATGCCACAGTCTCATATCCCGGCACAGGTTCCAACGAATTCACATCGGGATTTTCGTCGCCGCCCTCGGTCGCGTTCTCGTTATCTTCCGGGTCGGAATCGGCAGCATTGTCAAACTTGTGAGGAGGGGCGCCCTCAGCGACAGCATTGGGAGTCCAGGCTGTTAGAATATTGAAAATGACTTCCGTGAAAAAAAAAAGAGAAAAAAAAAAACACCAGAAAAAAATCCAAAAGGAAAGTGGTGCAATGCTTTGGGAGAAAAGTGAACATCAGTGTGATGCGATCAAGCTAAATGAGTCGGCCCTCGAATTTTGGTGTTTTTTTTTTACATTTTTGAACAGAAAATAGAATATCTTTCAGTTTATATTTGGTGAAAACCCCATGTGAATACGACCTTCCGTTCAGAAGTTATGGGCAGAGGCAGATCAGAAAGAAGAAAACAGAGAAATCAAACAGAGAAATCAACGATTCAAACTTCAAGTGTTTACTGAGTAACAATAAAATGCTTTATTTCAGGTAATTGGATATTAACTCCTTATCAAAAATGTCACATTTTAACTACTTTATCGTGAGTTTTTCTCAAAAATAATAGTTGACATGAAAGAGGACATATGTAGCCTACGGATTTTACAAAAAAGTCAATTTGAAATTTCCACCCCTACTGACCTATTTTGGGCTATATCTTAAAATAATAATTGCCGACAAACGACTCTGTGTGTCCATGTTGCCCAATGTTATTGATTTTAGCAGGTGAATATAATTTTTGAAGTTTTCTTTGAGGCAGAACACTTTTACTTGATAGCACACGGTTAAGCATATAATTCTTTTTTTTATTTGGCATTAAAAACCAAACATTATACCTGCAGACTGAGCCCCTTGTTGAACAGTTCCTGGTGGTGCAGGTGCCCCATAGCCTTGCTGTGGTGGAGGTGCACCATAGCCTTGCTGTGGTGGAGGTGCACCATAGCCTTGCTGTGGTGGAGGTGCACCATAGCCTTGCTGTGGTGGAGGTGCACCATAGCCTTGCTGTGGTGGAGGTGCACCATAGCCTTGCTGTGGTGGAGGTGCACCATAGCCTTGCTGTGGTGGAGGTGCACCATAACCCTGTGGAGGTGCCCCATAGCCTTGCTGTGGTGGAGCACCCGGAGCTGTCCCATAAATAAAACACATAAAAACCCGAAACCTTGAAAAGAAATACTGAGAAAGCACAAATTGCGGGTGAACTCAACTGAATTGGGGACAATCGTAATTGTACATCTATCGTGGTCGGTACCTTCTTTCGACACAAACTGTGCTGAACACTGGTGTAGAGAGTGTAGCTTCTACCAACATGTAATTGTTTTTTTTTAAACTCAAAGCAGTTTAACTTGGATTCCATATGCAGGGGGTGATTGGGGGAGGGGGACCTCATTTCCAGGAGGGGGCAAAGCTAATGCATTGGGTTCTTTTTGGCCTCCCTCGAAGTTCAGGATGGGGGGGGGGAGAGAGGAGGGGGGGGGGGGAGAGAGGAGGGGGTGGTCGGGAGAAGACAAGGTGAGCATGCATAGGCCTCGCATGAGAGAAAGGGGGCCAGTTCCCCCATTCCCCTTCATATCAGTGATGATTTGTAAGAAACAAAGGATCAATTTCAATCACCTATACTGACAAGTAAGGTTTATTAAATCACAAGATCACGGCTTCGTTTGGGCTCAAATAAAAAAAAAAGTAAAGTAAAGTAAAAAAATAAATAAACAGTTTCTCGTCTGGGCTTCTTGAAAAAAATTACGTTTGCCCAAGATGGAGGATTTTCCAAGATGGATGGATTCCTCAATTTTCTCGAATCTTTTGCTGATCTGCAAAATTGTGTTCAAAGGAGCCGTCACCCTTTCTACTTAGCTACAATTCTGTTGCAAACAAATAAAAGACAATTGACAAATTACTAAATATAATATTGCAAATGCATGCACGTATGAATTTTAAAAAGCAAAAGGAGGCAATTAGCGGGTAAAAAGAAGCGGGCAGGGCAAGAAACTGTTTTATATTTTTACTTGGCCTTAGTTTCATTTTTTTTAACAAAGATACTTACGTGGGTAACCCTGTTGTGCCATTATTTTCTTTCACTCTGTCCGACTGCTTGTTGTGTGGTGATCCGAATGCACGCTTATAAGATGATCTGAATGCCAAAGAAATAGATTAGTAGTATATCTAGCTGTGCTAGATCATCGCTAGATATGTTAATCTTTCACTAGCCAGTACATGTACATGTAGCATGACTCATGCAACATTCGTGAGTCATGGAATTTCTATGGCCTCCATGAATTAACATTTCCATCAAATTTTAAATCACATGAACTAGGCCTATATTATTATAGCCCCATAAATGTTTTTATTTTGGCAGTGGACATTTAGCTGGAGACGGCAAACCTTTAGTAAACGTTAGCTTGCCGGATATGCACTGAACATGCGCAGTTACTGGGTTTTTTTTTTACAAATTTTAGTCTAAAGTGCTCCATGCCAACATTATCGTTGTAACTTCATTATTCACAAGATGGGAATCAGACCATTTTACAATTTCGGACTTTAGGCCAAAAAAAAAAAATTCGGTCAGACCAAAGTTCCGGAATTGACGCGGCCACGCGGCTTCTTTTTTTTCTTTCCTTCAAGCTTGGATTGTACAGACAAGGTGGGTACTATTTTGCTTTTTTGGTGTCCTCATGTACATTGGTGTCCTCCATAATTTGCCTTGGTGCTTTCGATCGTTTGCCTTGGTGCAATTTCCCATTCCTTGGTGTTCTTTGGTAAAAAAAAATTGAGGAGGTGCGGAAATAGAGGGCGCTGTTGGACCGACTTATTTTTTTTTCCGGCCTTATCATGATTTCCCTTTAAAAAAAAATCCTCCAGAGCCACAAATCTGAAAAAAGAAAATGTAATACTCTGCAATAAAATGTTAATCGCCAGCGGGGATCGAACCCAGATCTTCCCGCTTGTGAGATACGTTGCTCATCCACAGGTGCTACACAACCGTTGGTGGTAATTTAATATAACTTATAATTCAGCCCTATCTTAGAGAGTACAGCGCCCTCTGTTGATAGGGATTGCCGCCGGCAATAATTCCACTAGGCCTATCTATATTTATAGCCCCATAAATGTTTTTATTTTCAAATTTAGACTTTATTTGTAATTAATTATTTACGCTTTAGAAGCACACTCACTCTCTTTAAACTTTTATTAAAGCCCCTGTCACACCTTTGCCTATCCTAATTCCTTATGAGTTCCTTATCAAAAAATTTCAATACGCAGCCGTAAGCTCAATTAACGTAGAAATGTTTTGATCACCTCGACTTATGTGCCACGCACATCTAGCGTACAAGTCAACGAATTCAGCGCATAAATTGCGTATGAGATGCGTACGAGTTGCGTACGCAGTGCACAACATTATTTTTCGGGCTGCGAATAGGTCAGTATGCAGTGCGCATGCCGAGCGTATTCCGGTCGCACCCGACTTATGCCGACCGCATGCTGGACGCACTTCTGAGCGTATTCCCACCGCATTTCCGCCGCTCGCCGTTCAGCGTGCGTTTCATCTGCACTGCAAATACGCTATGTATACGTCCAATACATGCGGCTCATATGCTGACGGGGTGCGTCACGAACACATAGCGTACTCGTAACGCACTCGACCGATGCGGGACCGATGCGCTGCGTATTTATAACTTATGACCTGCGTCACAACGTACACAGCGTAGTTTTGTGCATGCCCAAAACTATCCTGCATACTGGGCCGTACCATGCGTATATCTGCGTACATAAAACCTACACGAAACGATAGAGATGCATATGAGGTGCATATTGTGCGTACGACTGCATGCGTATGAAAGAAATGTCAATGCGCAACTCATAAGGAATTAGGATACGCAGAAGTGTGACAGGGCAGTGACAGGGTACTCACTGAGGGCCCTGTCACACTTCTGCGTATCCTAATTCCTTATGACTATGAGTTGCGCATTGACATTTTTTTCATATGCAGTCGTACGCACAATACGCACCTCATATGCATCTCTATCGTTTTGTGTAGGTTTTATGTACGCAGATGTACGCATGGTATGGCCCAGTAAGCAGAATAGTTTTGGGCATGCACTAAACTACGCTGCGTATGCTGTTACGCAGGTCATAAGTTATAAATACGCAGCGCATCGGTCCCGCATCGGTCGAGTGCGTTACGAGTATGTGTTCGTGACGCACCCCGTCAGCATTATGAGCCGCCTGTATTGGACGTATACATAGCGTACTTGCAGCGCAGATGCAACGAACGCTGAACGGCGCGGCGAGCGGGGGAAATGCGGCGGGAATACGCTCAGAAGTGTGTCAAGCATGCGCGCGGTCGGCATAAGTCGGGTGCGTCCGGAATATGCTCAGCATGCGCACTGCATACTGACCTATTCGCAGCCCGAAAAATACTGTTGTGCACTGCATACGCAACTAAATGCATCTCATACGCAATGGATGCGCTGAATTCGTTACTTGTACGCTAGATGTGCGTCGCGGAAAGATTTCCATATACGAAGTTCACTCAACACTCTGTGTACAAACCCTATGAGAGTGGACTAAAAAATTCTAAGTGTTTTCTAAGATTTGCTTGTATTTTCTCACTGCTCAAATTGACTTTGATGACATGAAATTGCTATCTGGGGGCTTGTTAGTCAATACAGAGGAAAATTAGTGAACTTCGCATATGGTAATCTTGCCTTAGAGGAAAAAGAGATGTCTGAAAAAAGGGGGATGGCGATTCACTGCAAGCGCCGCGCCTAGGGTTGGAACGGAGTCCGCGGTTGGGCTACGCCGCGCCATTCATGCGCCATTCATGCCATTGGGCATTGGATCGGAGAAAATAAGATGTGCTTGTTGGTTGATTTACCGTTTAAAACACTATACTTACGTTTTGTATTTTTCTTTTTATCGTAAATCACGCGGAAATATATTCTGGATCTTGACACACAACACACTGCTTTTGTGAAAACATGAAAAATGTCATTATTCTGACTAGAAAACTCACCTGCTAATCCGTGTATGACAATCAGTGTCGTCCAAGAACCAGTCAATCATTGTCTTTTTTAACGTGTAGTTCGCGCAAGGGTTTTTGGCATATTTTATGTAGTTTAGGATAATCTACGATTCGAACTCAACTACACGCAAGTCACACGAGCAACGTATGTCAATACACGTGCTTGACAACACACACAAATAACTTTCTGTTGTACATAATCTGTTAGGATAATTCTGTATCTGTATCTAGTCTGTATCATAGTCGGCAAAGCATCCCGTGAGAAACACTAACTTGTACCGTTCGCTTTCGTCCCCTATTTTTGAACCAGTTTGTGACATAAACACTTTTATACTTGAAAATGAAAGACCAGTCCAAAGTCCAGTTGTAATTTTTTGTTGACACAAATTGTGCAACTACAATAGCAGACGGTTGACAACAAATGAACACATTTCTCCAGTTTTCTCTCGGATCGGGAACACTACGTCTTTTCCAACCATTTCATTATTTTCAAAGATCCAAATTCACAAATTAATGATAAATAAAACAATACACAATTTCAGCTCTTGTATTCACCTTTATGGCGCAAATTTATATTGGAATGCATCAAGCAAGTTATTGTTTTTCTCTTCGGAGAACTATTTTTCCTTTCTTACTTTTGTGGTCGGGAATATAGCAAAGCAATATCTAAAAACAAAATGGATGTGAACAACTAGCATTCAAAATTTAAAAAGTTTATTTTACTAATGAAGCATCGCTTATAAACACAATGAGTTTGTCGGGGAATATGGATATAAGTCGATTCACATCTTTGGTTAAGGACTGTGTTTACCGTGTCCGTTTACTCCACAATATCTAAAAATGCTACACATTGATTAACTGAACTGGTAAAAGTGAACCAAGGAAAACAGAACTGGATGAACTGACACTGATGAACTGCTCATGGGGCAGTACTTATACAGGGTGAGTAAAAAAAAAAGGAAAACCCAAATGGTGCCCCCTATTTTTTTTTTTTATAAAGAAGTTCTGCATGATGCTCGTTCAAGATCAAGGATAGGAAAGCCCAGTTAATAAGCTTTCATTTAGTGAAAAAAAAATCAATTAAATCGCTCATATACTTTTCCAGTTATGGAATTTTGAACACAAACACAAACGATTTTTTTAACCTTGTCCACGGATCAAATTTAAGGTACGTGATATTTCAGTAAAAACGAAACCATGTCGTTTCCTGAAAATGACATTGATATCAAAACTCATAGTCTTGACTAACCATGTTATTCATGGAAGCAGCAGGTATTTAATAATGTTGTGATAAGTGCCTGCAACAATGGTAATGAGAGTGTTCTCATGTGTTTTTTTCTTATATGTGAATAGTTTTCGTTTTGCTGAAATATCAATGACCTTTATTGTGATCCGTGGACAAGGTTAAAAAATGTTTGTGTTCAAAATTCCATAACTGGGAAAAGTACATGAGCGATTTGAATGATTCTTTTACTAAAAGAAAGCTCATTAATTGGGATTTCCTATTATTAATCTTGATTAACGCGCTACATGCTGAACTTCTAAAATAACATATATTATAAAAAAATAGGGGGCACCATTTGGGTTTCCTTCTTTTTTTTTATTACTCACCCTGTATAAGTACTGCCCCATGAGCAGTCATTCAATCTTCAGTTCAATTTTGATACAATCTTCAACTCGTCAGTTCAACGTATCGATTCAATAAGCCTCTGTACTTATGACGTAACACTTTGTTTACGTGTGCACTTTCCTATGGAGCCAGTGGGGGTCCACGGTCCACTGAGCACCTTAGGAAAGCACACACGCAAACAAAGTTTGACGTCATCAGTACAGAGGCTTATTCAATCATGTAGTCAGTTCATCCAGTTCTTTTCCTTGGTTCACTTTTACCAGTTCAGTTTATCATCTTCATCTGAATGCAACAGGCCAAACTTGGCCCATGATGCCAATGTGTATTAAAATATTGTTGTGGACTAATTATAAGTAAAATAAAGTTTTAATCAATTAAAAGAATGCTACTTGTTCACATCCATTTTGGTGTTTGTTGCATAATTGCTTGCAAAAGGTCATTGATATTTCAGCAAAACGAAAACTATTCACATATCAAAAAAAAAACACCACATCGGAACACTTTCATAACCATTATAGCTGGCACTCATCACAACATTTATTTAAAAACCTGCTGCTTCCAATGTTAAAATAATATGCTTTATATTGTCAAGAGTTGTGATATCAATGTGATATCATTTTCAGGAAACGACATGGTTTCATTTTACTGAAATATCACGTACCTTAAATGTGATCCGTGGACGAGGTTAAACAAAAACGGTGGTTGTGTTCAGAAGTCCATAACTGGAAAAATACATGAGCGATTTGAATAATTCTTTCACTAAAAGAAAGTTTATTAATTGGGCTTTTATATCCTAGATCTGGAGAAGCTAAATGAAGAACTTCTTTAAAAAAATAAAAATAGGGGGGACCATTTGTTTTTCCTTTTTTGTTTACTCACCCTGTATACTGTGGAAACAGGTTGTCTTTGAAATAATAAATAACACCTTAATAACACCTTAAAACAATGATGTAGTAAAACTAGGTTGTACTGAGCAAATTCCAGTGTCAAATGACCAGTCACTGGGCAGTGAAGGGCAATAGGGATTACACACTGCATTAGGCACACTGTGTGGTGTATGGATACAAGGAAAATTATGATGAGTAATGCATTACAATAAGGATGATTAATCGTTTTACAAGAATGACCATTAAACAAGTTCAAAAAGTAACAGTGATAATTAAAGTGTGATAATTAACTAAAGATTAAGATGAATTGATAATCAAGAACTGGTAATCTGAAAACGCTACAAGTTTTTAAAAAACTAAAGGTACAATATTAAGGTTTATGAAATTTGAATATATGTTTTTTTAAATAGATATTAAAGGTTATTTTTAAAGACCAAAATAATGTTACTGCAATATAAAACTTCATGTCAAACAAAAATTAAGACTTGTTAGGATGTACATGTTTAAACATTCTTTTTATAAACTTATATTCTCTATATTGAAGGATAGAATATTTTGTTTCAAAAATTATATTTCTTCTCTTTTAACAGTTGATAAGGCGAGTTTCTTACAATTTCAGTTGTCGTGGCAATGATCACAAATACAAAGTAGCAAATTACTTTACATTACATAGTACATGTCGTATAGCACCTCAAATATTGTTACATACATATTTGATTAATACAAATTTCTTTCAAATGGTAATTTAAATACCATTACGTACAACACACCTATAAAATAAGCATAAAATATCAACCAATTATAAAGTTTTGCTAGACAAAATTTGTTCTGCGTTTAGCATAATTCTGTGCTAACAGCAGGTCCGTGAATTGGGCCCTGACACAGCTTTAAATACTCAATTTACTGAACTTAAAAAAAAATCTGCAATTTGCTCCAGGGCTAACTCTAAAATGGTTAGGAGACTTGGCATTGCCAATTACATATTTTGAGCCGAAAATACTCAATAATTGTTAACATTTCAGTACTTTTAATAATGTTAAAACCAAGCACACAACAAAGCAAAATTAAGCATAATGTATACATACAAACACATAGCAATTTGCAGATCCAGTCATGCTTTGCATTCAAAGGGAGACATTTCTGACAACCCATTGCCATCATTTTGTGAACTTGAAACGAAAGTTAAAGAATTCAAATAAAACAGTAGCTGTGCAGATTTCTGATTTATTTTGTCACAAATGCCCAGGCACTTTTGAACTCTCAGGTCACCTGACCTCAGTAAGTCAGTATGGCCCCAGTTTACTGCACAGGGTAAAACCAGCTATTACTCCTCAGTTTAACCCAGCCGACTCCTTCAGTTTGACCGCAGTTGACCCCTCACTTTGACCTCAGCCGACCCCCACTTGACCTCAGCTGACCCCTTATTTTGACCCCAAGTGACCCCTCACTTTGACCCCAGATGATCCTTACTGTGACCCCTCACTTCGACCCTAGTGGACCCCTCACTTTAAACCCCAGCTGAACCCTCACTTTGACACCTCACTTTGACCCCTCACTTTGACCCCAGCTGAACCCTCAAGGCTTGTGTTGACCTAGCCTTGACCAAGGCTACCAGCTTGTTCCCGCTACCGCACACCGCGCGCGCAGCGACACAATGTTGTACTATACCGTTAGCCCATAGAGCTATATAATAAGTTCTTTATTATACAGCTCTATGCGTTAGCCCCAACGACCCTTGCGTGTGCTTTGTGTGCATGTACATACGCCCACACACACTTCCGCAAACAGCCGTACAGTAAGTCGAGGCGGAAGATACTTCGACTTATTGTACGGCTGTTTGCGGAAGTGTGTGTGGGGCGTACGTACATGCAAACAAAGCACACGCAAGGGTCGTTGAGGCTAACGGTATAGTACAACTAGTGATTGTGTAGCGGCGCGTGCGGTGTGCGGTAGCGGGAACAAGCTGATAGCCTTGGTCAAGGCTAGTGTTGACCTTACAGGACGTTACACCCCCAGCAGCACTGGTGGGGGTAGTCCGGGGCGTGGACCTCATGCTCAAAGCCATAGACCCAGAAACGAGTGCTAATGTTTTTCCAGTCATAATGAGCTTCAGTCACAGGTACAGAGCGAAGTGTCTGACGCTTATGTACAAAACAAACAAGAAAGTGATGTGCACAAGTTAATTACTGTTAACCAAAGCTACATTTAAGGAAGGCTATATAGGATCGTTTGCTTTTTGTATTTTTTTTTCATTTGAAGCAACAAAATTGCCCAAAATCTCAAGTAGGATGCATGACATCTAACCTGTACAACTTCTGGCTCAGTGGTTATTACACATTTTGAAAAAACAGACAAAACATATGCAAAACATTTTGGTCTTGTAACTATAGACTCCTTTGCTAATACACCTAAAAAGATTGCTTACTGCAATGATGGTTTTCTTCTGAATGATACCATCTCAGGCAGAATAATTTTAGCAGGGTTCCGTTTCTGGGTAGTAACCAAAGTCACAGTACGCCTTAGAGTCCTTGTGAGTCAGTCACAAGTCATTCTGCAGTCTCAAGTATCTTAATATCTTTGTCATAATTCCCCTACCTGTTGAAGAGTCATAGCATGTGGCCAGGCGGTGCGATGTTTTTCAACCAGACGAATCGAATTCTCGTTGACTTCTTGGATGGGGTATTGGGATATAGGCCACACCTGTCAAACAAATATTCATATAAGCACATTTACAGGGCTATCATTGGCAAAAAAAACCATTCTGGGAGAGAGACAGACATAGCTAAGTAATGCAGACGTAGCTTGATCACTTACATGAGGCAACGTCTGCTGAAAGATAGTCTGTCCACTGACGTTCCTAATCAGCTCGTCAGGCATGTCCGAGCGTTCCAAGATGTAGTCCTCCAAATTGTTGGTGCTAAAATGAAGAAATTTACATCACGTGTCATTTTTGCAAGAGATGACATCCCAGCACAAAATTCCTTTATACGAAAATTGACTGCAACACCCTTTCTATTTGAGATAAGAACTAGTACGCCTACACTAGAGGGGTGGTGGAGGTAGCAGGAGGTCTCGGGTTCTATTCCAACCTGAGTAAGCTTGTTAATTCCTTTCTCGCTAGTCCTCCGACAGCACCAAGTAAATGTGTTGAATGGAAAGATCCAATGTAAAATTGAAATCCAAGACATCTAGTAACAGTACACCACTTTCTGTTTAATAACAGAACCCTTTGTATTTCAGTGTTATAGTCGCGTCCATCACAAGTCCTTTCATAAAAACACGATAACAATGACAAGGGAATGCTTTTGTAACAGTTCATTTGAATAGCTAGTGACTTGACTTGAGACTAAAGGACTTGTGATGGCATTGTGATGGACTTGTGACAGACCGGTGACAGACTTGTGATGGACTTGTGATGGACTTGTGATGGCATTGTGATGGACTTGTGACAGACTTGTGATGGACTTGTGATGGACTTATGATGGCATTGTGATGGACTTGTGACAGACTTGTGACAGACTTGTGATGGACTTGTGATGGACTTGTGATGGCATTGTGATGGACTTGTGACAGACTTGTGACAGACTTGTGATGGACTTGTGTGGACTTGTGACAGACTTGTGACGGACTTGTGACGGACTTGTGACGGACTTGTGACGGACTTGTGATGGACTTGTGATGGACTTGTGATGGACTTGTGATGGACTTGTGATGGACTTGTGAGGACTTGTGATGGACTCGACTGCAACACTGGCGTATTTCACAGGGACCGTACAACAGTACATCATCATCATCATCATACTTCGCGCCAGGGTTTTTTTTGCCGAAAACTTTGATTTTTCGCAAAAGGCAAAATTTCCCTGCCAACTTCTGATATACAGTTAAAGACCACAAATACTGATTCGCAAGAGTCGTTTCAACAGTATTTGTACGATGTTTCCTGCCAAAACCTCATATTTGTTCACTACTCTGGAGCGTTAATTGTCGAACAACAGCCTGTCCACAATGGCCACTTCAAGATCAACACATGGTCCGCCTCTACACATACTTCACACTATCACAGACTTTGTGTTTTGTGTACAAAGGGCATGTTAGACGTCATTAGCATGTTAGACGTCACCCCGAAGGCGAGTCACTGAGGCAATCTTGACATTTTAACCGTCAGCCGTGCCTGTGTATAGTGCATATGTTATCACGTCCTCTGACGCGAACAGATTAGATGCAAGTGTATTTCTATTGTTGCGTAACTATGTTTAAGCAAATTGTGTATAATTAAAGCATGCTCTGCCTTGTGCTTACTGCTTACAGTCTCAATGAAATGCCAGAGACTCAGTTATAGCATGGAGGAATAAGAACAGCAGACTTCATGCACTTAGCAACACCATCCAATTTGGCTTGTGTTACTTTGGTTTGCCAATTCTTGAGTTAGACTCGATCCCTTTATCCCCCAAAATAAACAAACTAAAAAAATATTTGAAACCTACTAGGAGACAGTCAGCATAATGAAGTGACGAAGCTGTTTATGGCCCTCACAAGAGGGGCATTCGACTCTACCGTCACCCATACAACGGTTACACCTGAGGAAGAAAACAAACAAACATAAACAACACTGTGATATATGTTTTATACTAAAACAAATTCTGGCATGGTTAGAAATCACATTGTAAAAATTTCCTACGCCCCCCCCCCCCCAAATAAATACAAAGCACAGAAGTATGCTTTTTAGATTTCAAAATTGAATTAAATTTCTGTGTTTTTGAGCTTGACAAATTTGTAAAACAGAAAATCTCTTTTGTGGTTTTGTAGCATCAATTGTAAGCAGCATGTTGGTATTGCATATACCTAACCTGTAACAACAGGTGTGAATTTGTTTGTTTTGGGGGTTCTGCTGTTTATTAATTGTTTGTGTTTTTGTTTGCTTTGATTTTATTTTTACGTTTCTCGTCCTGAACCGTAGCACCAGGTGCAAGTAACAGTATATCTTTCACCACCACGGTATTCAGTCCTAGTGCCGCTTCCAAAACATGAACTGCATGAAACCTAAACAAAAATAAGGAGGAATTATCAAATTAGTTAGGTTTTGATGGGATTTTATTTTTCAAGTGAGCTTTTTCATCCATCTGGCTTCTTTCTTCTTTTCAGTGTTGTAGTCGAGTCCAACACAAGTCCCCACAAGTCTATCACAACAAGTCCATCACAAGTCCGTCACAAGTCCATCACAAGTCCTTCACAATTCCATCACAAGTCCATCACAAGTCTATCACAAGTCCATCACAAGTCCATCAAAAGTCCATCACAAGTCTCCAAAAGAAGTATGGCCATCACATTAAGTCCATCACAATTAGAACATCACAAGTCGACTTCTGAAACGACTTGTCTACAAAAGAACTCAACTACAAAACTGCTTCTCTATCCTGCTTTACAATGCAATCTAGGTATAACTCTACCCTCTAAAATCTAGGCCAAAAAGATTTTGGAGGATGCAGTGTGTCAAGTTCGTAGGATGTACCCTGCATTGTTTTTGTTCAGCCATGCATAATTCAGCCCTTATGGTCACTATCATCCACACTGCTTCTGAACGTCATCAACAAAGCCTCAACCCAAAAAAACTGAGTAATTTGGAGGATTTTGAAGGATTGGGGCAATGCTTTCACCCCTCCACTGATCAAAAAAAAAAAAAGAGTTTGGAGGATTGAGGCTGAATCTAATTTTTAGTTGGAGGATGTTGCAGGATTGAGGATGGTTCCTAGCCAAAACGGCCAAGTGGATTAGGATTTAAAAGTGTCAAAAGCCAATTCAGCCCGCGACATAGCAGCTAAAAACCAAGAACCTATTTTTGCTATTTTTTTTCATAAAACGAAATTCAAAGCCTACAAGTTGGGCTAAGGAGCAATATTAAGTGTGTATAGGCGCCCTGTACCCGTGTCTTCCCCAAGCATACTTTTTGACTTTTTTTCCTTACCCGTCCCAATCCAGCACAGCCTCCACATGTCACCAAACCACATCCATTACACTGTTGGCATTGCTGTCAAAATGAAAAAAAAGGTACTGAAAAAAATTACAGGGTTCACATCACCAGAGCGATCTTTGTTTTAAAGTAGGCCGATAAAGTACAAAGATATTTTGCTGTGAAACTGTAGACTTGAAATCAAGTCTGTAATGAGTGGTTTTAATCGCGTCCGCCGCCCGCGACTGCCAAGCTCTGTGCCGGGGGTACGACATACCGCATGCCGTCCTAGTAGCGGGGACGCTACGTACATTTTCGACCCCATGCGTGTGCGATCCCATGCCGCGCAGTGTACGTGTATGTACATCGTACATGTACATGTACATGACTTTTGCATGAATGGTTGTAGCGCTCACGTTGCGTGAACGGCGGTGGCATGGCCGGTATGCGGATAAACCACTTTAGTCCAAGGACTTGCCATCAAGTCTAGTGAAACTGAAGCCTCAGAACCAAGTCAAGTATGAAATATCTTGTCTGGATAATAAAAGCTTTCGTGCAATGTATTAAAAATAAAGAATATAAATCTTTTAAAAGTTAGTTAATAAATCAATAAAATAATAAAGACAAAAAATATCTAACAAATTTAAGTTAAAATCAGCACTGGAACAACAGATTTTACTATGCCTCATACATATTCATGATCGAGAGCCGAATTTTCACTGGTCCATTCACCGTCACGTGCCAGATACTGTTTACCAAGAGCGCGCAAGGGTATTCACGCATAGGGTAAACACGCATGCTTAGTAGACGGTCTAGTACAATGCATGCAATTTACTGTTGCACAGGTGTAATATGCACACGCGAACATCGCCCTAGCTACACATAAAAGATGGTGGCGCACGTAAATGTTCGTTAGCATTTTCCCAAGCTCAAAGATGCCAAACTGGGGAATTTTGTCAACACTAAAGATTTTAATAGGAGTTACTGTGTTGCAAAGAAACTTTTCTGAGGTTGAGCAAATTATTGTTCTGGTGAGCTGGACCAGTTTCTCTGAAGATTTGTATGCCGAGGTGCATACTGCAATATGAAAATTTGGCAACTGAATATGTATGAGGTACAGCAAAACAAATATAACACAGTTTAATTTAGGTGGACAGTCGATATTAGCTCCCCGCTGTATTGGTAGTCGACACACTTGTTCTGAGGGTTCCAGTTGTCAACCTCCAATGCCTCGGGGAGCTAATATCATATCCACCTAAAACCATGTTATACAGTGGAACGCCCCTATAATGAACAACACGGGATCCACAGAAAGTGTTCATAATTATAGCTCCATGATAATAGCAATCGATCGGTATAGCGATTTTAAGCTGCCGGTGCTCGAGGAAATCACTTTTCAATAAATAGCGCCCTTCAGAACTTCACCCTGCTACCCTGGTAGTTACTGAAAGACTACTTTGAACAATTTCCAACTATATAGTTTTTGAGCTTATATACTACCTACACTGTACAGCAATGGGGCTTAAATGGGGCTTTTCCTTCCATTCCATGGGAAAATAATAGCCACTTGTCGCTCTTCTGTTGACATTTTTCAACAACAGTGTGTACGTTTTGTACAGAAAAATCAGGAGCCTGCAAGCACGATGTTCGGTATATCTGAATGTTTGGTATAGCTGTGTTCGGTATTGCGATGTTCCACTGTATTTGTATATTATTGCACGAGGAATGAAGGAGGATGGATGTCGATTTAGCACCACTCTGCAAACTGACCTTGACAACCGAAGTGTGCGGGACTTCTAGATTCTTTTTGTGAGTGAGGAACTGTTGGTCCGGCTTGCAAGCCATGGACCACACAGGCGGGGGCGCGCCGTTCTCGGGCCCGTCTACGTCGCCGCCAGCGTAGGGCTTGAACTTCCGACTAGTGGACCTCGCTTCGTTGAAGGTTTCCAGCTGGTACTAAAGAATGATGATACAGTAGAACGCCATATAAATGAACACGATGGGGGCCACACACATTTTTTTATAGTATCATTATAGCATTGTTATTGTGCATTATAAGAAAAATTGTTTGAATTGTTTTCGAAGAGCAAATGGACTCATGAGCTCTAGACTGCTAGAAAAGCACTTTAAAAACCTCCAACCTTGAATTCTGTTCTTTTGCCCAACAATTTCAAAAATGAATGTTTGACTTTAAAAAATCAAATCCTAACTTTTTTTTTAAAAACAATTATTTTACTTTAAAATAAATATAAGTATACAATGTATTAATAGCTGATGAAACCATTTTCTGAATCGTTCAGAAATAGAATTCGTTTGGGGGAAAAATCATGGATACTTGGTATTAAAATGACAGTTTCTCTGGAAATATTAACAACCTTTTGGGAATTAAACCAACGTACAGCGCTACTATACCAAGCATATGAATATCCCCATATCTTACACAATTATAAAAAACATTAATCATCATAAAACATAATAAATGCCCACTTCTGAAAAGGTGCCCACTTACGTGAAGCCCTTGAGTTGGAATGATCTTGCTGATGGTCATGTTCTTGGCTGGTCTGGAACCGTAGCAGCAATGTTCGTCAACGAAGGTCAAAATGGCCGCCCTGGCGGCCTCCTCCCCAATATCATCTCCCCTGAAAATATACAAAAATATTCAACTGCAGTAGAGCATTTGTCATTCTCAAATGACGTACATGAGACATTTAAACCAGTCGTGTGATGTTTTCTTCAACAAACTGAAGTACTAATCTCATGTCTCGCCCACATTGGATACATCCCAGCTGTCAGTCTATGCCAACTTTGGCTGTAAGAAAAACAAGGTAAAAAGGTGAACTGACTGCAAATTAAACTTTAATTTATAAAACTCTTTGGTGGTTACTTACGAGTCAAAAAAGACTTCTTGAGGACGGTCACCTTCTGTAGGAGGTTCGTAAGCAGGGGGAGGCACTGGGGGTCCTAGGGTTAAAAAAAAAAAAAAAAAAGGAAAATGATTTCCAAAAAAGTGTAATTTTGAGATCCTTCAAAATCCCTAAGATTTTTTTGGAAGATTTTAAATTTGGGTTTTAGTCCCTGCCTGATTCTGTGGATTTTCCACTGTCACTCTGTGGTTGTTGTCTGTTTCTTCATTATCCTAAAGGGAAGATACAACATTTGCTTTTGCTGTAAGTTTCAGAAATGGATGATTTGGGGGGTTAGTATTTTATAGCAAATATTTTTACACTGACTTAAGTAAGATTTGAGGCTTTGCATGGTGGAGATACTAAATAATGAAGAGTTTGCGGAAACACCATGTGCGAATAATTTCTCAAATAAGAGAATGGTTCTGAAAAGAACCAGAGGTATAAACAGAATGGTTCTGAAAAGAACCAGAGGTATAAACTCAGAGTTTATACCTCTGGTTCTTTTCAGAACCATTCTCTTAGTTGAGAAATTATTCGCACATTGTGTTTCGTTAAACTGACTTGTTTGAAGTTTTGTGTTCGTAGATACTGGGAAAACCAAGAAAAACAATCATGTTCCTGTAGTCTCGTTCCTTGATCCCACTTAAGATGAAATGGAGCAATTAATAGACATAAGGCAATCGTAAGATCAGGGAACCAGTCAAGCTGGCTTGTACCTGTTCATACTTTATCATAGGTGTGTAATCGATTGCAAACAAAATGCGGACTAACTAAATATGGTAAATTGGGGGCAGTGAGTATTTTAAAAAAGCCGGTTTTTGTTGAACCCTGGGCGGCCGACCAGCTTTGGAAACTGATACAAAAATACCACTTTTCTTGAAAATGACGGCACACCAGGATAAGACTGTCATTCACCAACAGTCCAGTAAGGTATTTCATAATAATTTGGTAGGTTTGTTTTTTGGATGTTTTCAAATGTTGTATATTCCCTTTAAGATTTCTTCGGTTTGAAACTACAGTGCATGTATATACAGGGGTGAGTAAAAAAACCCAACTAACAATTGTTCTACTGAAGTTCTGCATATAGCGCATGTAGCACTTTCAAAATCTAGGATATGAAGCCCAATTCATAAAACTTTCTTTTAGTACTAGAATTATTCAAATCACTCATGTAATTTTCAAGTTAAAGAGTTTTAAACACAACGGCTGTTTTGAGGTTCTGTCCACGGATCACAACAAAATTCAGTGTTCTTTCAGCAAAACGAAAACAAATCACATAAGGATGTGTGTGAATTGTTTTCGTTTTGCTGAAAGACCACACACCTTTTTGTGATCCATGGAAAGAATTTTACAACGGTGGTTGTGTTTTAAACTCCGTAATTTGAATAGTACATGAGTGATTGCATGATTCTTGTACTAAAAGAAAGCTTATGAATTGGGCTTTCATATCCTAGATTTTGAAAGTGCTACATGCAGAACTTCACTAAAACAATCATTGGGCCCGACATTTTGGTTTCGTTTTTTGCTACTCACCCTGTATGTCCTTATAAGAATCCTCATTGTGGCTGGTAGCCTGGGACCGATTTCACAAACCTCATCTTATCTTACAACTCATCTTGGGACTTAAGACGAGTTCCCGCGCATGTCCTTTTTTCTTATGGCGTTATATCGCCTAACTATGGCGTTAGATTCATGAACAATACCAATTATACAAGTTATTACTCAAAACAAAGGAAACCACTGAACATACACTTTTTAAGGTTTTTGTGAAATTTAACATTTTTGGAGCGCTACTGCACAAAGGATATACAATAACCCAAGATTTTTTTCACCAGATATGAAAAGACCATTGTCTGAACTAACCATAGCCAAGAGAAAATTATTCTGAGTGCCCTGGCAAGTGCCATTTTGGAGGGATAAAAATGGGGGTAAAAAATGCAATTTTGCTAGTTGTAAAAACATGCTTCATATAGGGCCTAAAATAATATAAAGGGAATTTTTAGAAAAGTTTCTATTTTTTTCTTGTAAGGGTAAGGATGATACTTTGTCATGATACAGTTACTTTTGTGATATTACTTCACAGTTTGGCTTGATGACCTTCGAAAATAACGCAAAAAATGAATTTTTGCAGCCTCAAAATTGCCCAAAAATGGCCAAAACACATAATGGCCCGTAACCATGGCAACGGGCAAAATATCGGTTTAAAATGTCTATTTTGGTTACTTGCTCCCAAAGCCCTTTCATCCCACAAAGTATAAAAAAAAATCGATTTAAAAAAAAAAAAAAAAAATATCGAGTTTTTGAGCGTGGACACTTATGAATTATTTACACAAAATGACTCTTAAGAGTCATTTCGTGTAAATACTTCATATGTGTCCACGCTCAATTTTTTTTTTTTAAATCGGTTTTTTTTACACTGTTATGAAGTATTTACACGAAATGACTTTTAAGAGTCATTTCGTGTAAATACTTTATATAAGTGTCCACGCTCAAAAAATGGGTTTTTTTAATACTTTGTGGGATGAAAGGACTTTGGGAGCAAGTAACCAAATTAGACTTTTTAAACCGATATTTTCCCCGATGATTTTACCGACAAAGCCAATTTTTTGGTGGGTGGTCACACCCCACCCTCAACCCCAAGCAATGGCCCCAGGGTGGGGGAAGGGGAGGCTGTGAAAAGGAAGTCTATGTAATTTCTAAAGTGTTCACTTGCATATTATTTATTTACATTTGTTTCGTTATGCAACACACAAGTTCAAAATTCGGTGGCACGGGGGAGTGGGCGGGGCCTAGCCAGGTGTGAGTGGGGAATGGGAGTACAGGACCTACTATTCATCCACTGGTCTAAAAATGATACAGAGTCTGATTCTGTTTGTGAAAATGTGCTTGATTCATGAACAATACCAATTATACAAGTTATTACTCAAAACAAAGGAAAACACTGAAAATACACTTTTTAAGGTTTTTGTGAAATTTAACATTTTTGGAGCGCTACTGCACAAAGGATATACAATAACCCAAAATTGTCTCACCAGATATGAAAAGACCAATGTCTGAACAAACCATACCCGAAGGGAAATTATTCTGAATGCCCTGGCAAGTGCCATTTTGGAGGGATAAAAATTGGGTAAAAATGCAATTTTGCTAGTTGTAAAAACATGCTGTATTATAGGACCTGAAAATAATGTAAAGGAGATTTTTCAGAAGTGTTTCTATTTTTTTCTTGCAAGGGTAAGGATGATACTTTGTCGTGATATAGTTACTTTTGTTACATTACCTCGCAGTTTGGCTTGATGACCTTTGAAAATAACGCAAAAAATGGATTTTTGCAGCCTAAAAATTGCCCCAAAATGGCCAAAACACATAATGGCCCGTAACCATGGCAACGGGCAAAATATCGGTTTAAAATGTCTATTTTGGTTACTTGCTCCCAAAGTTCTTTCATCCCTCGAAGTTTAAAAAAATTCGATTTTTTGAGCGTGGACACTTATATGAAGTATTTACACGAAATTACTCTTAATAATCCGTAATAACGAATTAAATAATCCGTAGTAACGAATTAATAATCCGTAATAACGAATTAAATAATCCGTAATAACGAATTAATAATCCGTAATAACGAACTAAATAATCCGTAATAACGAATTAATAATCCGTAATAACGAATTAAATAGTCTGTAACATATATACTTCCAGTGGCGCTAATGGGCTTTCGTAAGCTTTCGTAGTAACCAAATGGTATAACGCAAACAAATACGGCGTTATAACGCAATTAAATACGGCGATATAACGCAAAACTACGGCGATATAACGCCATAGTACGGCGATATAACGCAGTAGTATAGCGATATATCGCCATAGTACGGTGATATAACGCAATAAAATACGGCGATATAACGCAATAAAATTCGGCGTTATAACGCAATAAAATACGGCGTTATAACGCAATAGTACGGCGTTATAACGCAATAGTACGGCGTTATAACGCAATAGTACGGCGATATAACGCAATAGTACGGCGATCTAACGCCATAAGGAAAAGGGACTTGCGCAGCAAATTGGCGAATATGAGCCACCGTATGATTGCCCTCAATAAACCTTCTCAGCGCTACCTGTATGTACTAGGCATACACACACACATCTTGCTCCACTGTACTCCGTATCCAATGCAGGGTGGTAATGGTTTGGACTTAGAATTTTTCAGCAACTCCCATTCATTTTGTGTTGCTTCGTTCTGAAGCATTGTCCTGGGGACTCCCACTTCGTAGCTGCGTAGCCAGCAACAGGGTAGTTGGTTTGGACTTAGATTTTATTCAGTGATTCTTTTCCAGTGATTCCAACTGCATAGCCAGAGATTTTAGGGGTGTATTTCCGAGCGCGCGGTATTCTGCATTTACTCCCATTATTCATGAGATAGCGACCCTAAGACCGATCTTAAAGGGAATGTACATCATTCTTTTCCTGTAATTTTCAGAAATGAACTACTTGAGGGGTTAGTATAGTAGGTCAAATATTGTTACACTGACATGTTTGAAGTTTTGTGTTCGAAAGTGCTAGAAAAACCAAGAAAAACGCAAATGTTCAAGTAGTCTGGTTCCCTGACTCCACTAAGGATAAAATGGATTTATAGATGCCGGAAAATTGTAAGGTAATGGAATCAGTGTAGCTGGCCTGCACCCGTTCATGAACATGTTACCAAATACCCCCCTGCAAACAAAATTTGGACTGAAAAAAATGGTAAATTTGAAGCAGAAGTTGAAAAATAGTTAGGTTTTCCAACGGTGATCGGCCGACCACTGTTGGAAATGTATACAAAAATGCCAATTTCTTGAAAATGACTTCACACCAGGAGCCATAATTTTACAGGATGCTTTTGACTGTCATTTACCAACATCCAAGTAAGGTATTTCGTAAAATCTTGATAGTTTAATTTTTCGATGTTTGCAAATGTTGTATATTCCCTTTAAGTTAAGACATTGAGGAAGGAATAGTCAGCTGCGGCATTGCTAAGGAAGTTAGGTGGTGATGAGTGCGTCTATAAGTTCGGTGAAAATGATCCCAGGACCAGTCGTGAGTTAAGACGAGTTACCCTTCCTATCTAGTGCTTCGTGAAATCGGCCCCTGTTTTTACTAAGCATACATTATCTGTGCTGAGAAAATTTCTGTGCTTAAGTAGCAGCTCCATGTAATTTGGCCAAGGTTATTGAATCTCACCATCTTCGAGAGCCACACTTTCACATCCCGGCACTGGTTCCAACGAATTCACGTCAGGATTTACATCGCCGCCCTCAGTCGCGTTCTCGTTATCTTCTCGGTCGGTATCGGCAGCATTGTCAAACTTGTGAGGAGGGGCGCCCTCGGCAGCAGCACTGGGAGCCCAGGCTGTGAGAAACATTGACAATGAAACAAGCAAATATAAAGAGGAAATGCCCAACTGCTTGGGGATCTCAAGGACAGTGGCGTAGCCACCGGGGGGCGTGGGGGGGGGCGACCGCCCCCATGAAACCTTGTCGCCCCCAAGTCGCCCCCCCCCCCCCCCCCCCACTGAGATTTTGAGTTTCTAAAAAAAAATTATCATTGATCTACATGACGCCATGGTCCCTATTATGTACTACAATGTATCTTTTGCTTAGAAAATATTGGTTAAAGTGGTCAGAAATTGCCTCAGATAGCACCACAGAGCATTTAGAATCCAACATTTTTCGGGGCCCTTAAGCGGGCCCCGAACCCCACGCCTATAGCTCAGAATTCTGGTAGCTGATTCAACGACTCCAACCTCGAAAACAATGTTCACAAATTTTCTTATGCCTTTAGCTGAGAAAACCTCAAAAATTATGTTTAAATTATTATCTCTTTTGCTAAGATAATTATTGGTTAAAGTGGTAAGAAATTGCCTCAGATCACACCACAGAGCATCGAAAATCCAATTTTTTTTCGGGGCCCTTAAGCGGGCCCCGAACCCCACGCCAATAACTCAGAACCGATAGCTGATTCAATGTCTCCAACCTCGAAAACGATGTTCAAATAATTATCTTTTGCCAAGAAAATATTAGTTAAAGCATGGAGGAAAGTCGTAAGAAATTGCTTCAAATCACACCACAGAACATCTAGAATCCAATTTTTTTCGGGGCCCTTAAGCGGGCCCCGAACCCCACGCCGTAAGGGCTTCGCGCTTCGCGCTTGCATCAGTTATGATCAAGGTATGTCCCTCCCCCCCCCCACTTTTGAGAAGCGATTGACGCCCCTGCTTGACGCCCCCCATGAAATGTTCCAGCCCCCCCAGCGCCCCCCCCCCCCCCCCCCCCACTGAAAAATTCCTGTCTACGCCACTGCTCAAGGAGTTAACAGATGGTTGGTTTTTTTTAATCTGGACCAAAATTTGATGGACAAGAAAAGTGATTCACAACATAAAATGTACTCTTGGCCAAAGACGTCAGTGATCAATAGCGATGGTTTTCTTTTTTTTACCTACACGCACCAGCGTCTTGGGAATCTTGCAGCAATGGGTGCGTGGCCGTTTGATGTTAATAATACACTGTTGGTGTAAATATTGATGTCTTCAAACAAAACGGCGGCTTCCCATTTGAAACCGGTAGTTGCACTCACGGAGGTAGTACTGCTTTGCATATCTAATCAGCGATACTGGATGATCACACTTCACAGTTGAATTTCTGCATGTGTAGCTCGTATGTTTACAACTGTCGTGCGAAAACTACATATACATTTTCAAAAGAGAGGCTAAGGGTTCAGTACCGAACGTTCATTGATGCACATGCGACTGACTATAAACCATTTCACGATCGCTGATTGGTTCACTAGGAAAGCCTAGTGGGAAAATAAAGAAAAAGTTAAACGGCTACTACAGGATTCCTAAGACGTTAGTGCGAGCAGATGTGCTGGTGTAATCAAAATAAACATGAAACCATATGTACGATCCAAGACTACATAAAATGCTGCCACCGGTAGCACAAGCCTTACCTGTGAAAAAAAGTTATCATCTGTTTATCAAATACTTTTAATATATTTTTGCAGAAGAAAATAATGTTAAAGTTTTCTTTGCGGCAGAACACCGTACTTAATTGATAGCTCATTGTTATCTGAATAAAATTCCTTTTCTCATATCTCTCAGAAATTAAAAAAAACACACGCATACATGGCTGCTGAGATCCTTGTTGTGGTGGGGCACCAGGAGCTGTACCATACACAAAACACATAAAAAAAAACCAAAACAAAATTATCCAGAGAAAGAAGAAGGTACTTTTTATAGATTTTCAAAATATCATGAACTTTTTTGCTGATACAAAACTGTGTCCAAAGGAGCTGTCACCCTTTCTATATACATTCAAGGAAAAAAGAAACGCACCACATAAAAATTCTCATAATTTTGGAAGTAGGACCGGCATTGTAAAAATGGTGCATGTGTTCTAGATTTTGAGCATTTTATTTTTAGAGATAAACGTCAATGGTTAGGCTACACCTCTATGTTCCGACACCCCTATGTTCCGACTGCACATATTCCTATTCCTAACCCTAACCCTAACCCTAACCGGGAGTAACACAATCTAGGTTGTCGGAACATAGGGGTGTCGGAACATAGAGCAGTCACCAACGTCAATGTGTATTTATCGCGTTCCGGTTGAGTGATTTGGGTGAGTGCCAAAAACTGTGTTTTTGCATTTTATGCTAATGGTTACACATGAGTGACTCCCAGATATGCATTTGACCATTCATGTCCTGAACACAACCCTTGCCTATAAAAAGACACCAAAATGACGCCAAAAACACTTGTATCCATGATGCCACGACTGTCACAACCTGAGAGAGACCGAGCCATTGGCTTGCTCCAAGCCGGAAGGAACCGACGGGCAGTGGCCAGGCTGTTCGGGGTCCACCACTCAACGAGATCATCCCCCAGAGACACAACAGCAGCTGAGGGCGGCACTGGAGGAAGAGTGGGCTGCTATCCCACAGCACCAGCTGCGACATTACTGTCGATCCATGAGGCGACGAATTACAGCTGTTCTTGACGCGAATGGAGGTCATGTTAATTATTGAACTGTAAATGCCATTGCGTTTCTTTTTTCCTTGAGTGTACACTAGTTACAACAAATATACAATATATTGACACAATTGCTATAAATATTGCATATGTATGAATTTAAAAAAGGGGGATTGAGGCAGGCAGAAAAAAAGGTAGCCAGCGGGGACATGTAAGAAACTGGTTAATTTTTTTTTTACTTGGCCTTAAGACAAGATTATAGTTTTGTGGTAGCACCATGTGAATAAATCTCTTTTGTATGTCAGAACCACACATACTCACAAAACAGATTTGTGAATAAATCTCTTTTGTATGTCAGAACCACACATACTCACAAAACAGATTTTGTCACATGGTGCTACCGCAAAACTTATCTTGTCTTAGTATCTTTCCACCATGCAAACCTTCAAATATCATCTTACTTGGCCTTAGTTTCAATCTTTTAACCCTCCTGCTGTTTAAAAGGTCACAAACAAAGTTTCCTACACTCCCCCTGCTATACTTTAACACACCAATAGGTCACTTGACCAATATTGACCCAAGTAACAGCATGGCTCAGAATGCATATTTTCATTTAAAGGGAATATACATCATTTGCTTTTGCTGTAATTTTCAGAAATGGATGGCATTGGGGGGTTGGAAATATATAGCAAATATAGTTTCACCTACTTTTTTGAGGTTTTGGGTTCGAAAATGCTATAAAAACCAAGAAAAACAATCATTTTCCTGTAGTCTGGTTCCCTGACTCCATATAAGAAGAAACAGAGAGCAGTTTACATACATTGGGGAATTGTAAGGTCAGGGAACCAGTCTAGCTGGCTCGTACCCGTTCATAGGTTTGTAATCGATTGCAAACAAGTGCGATGGTCAGTTGGGGCCAGTATTTGAAAAAAGGCAGTTTTTTCCAACGCTGATCGGCCGATCAGCGTTGGAAATTGATACAAAAATACCACTTTTCTTGAAAATGACAGTATACCAGGTGCCATGATTTTACAGGATGCTTTACACTGTCATTCACTAACAGTCCAGCAAGGTATTGTAAAATGATTTGGTAGTTTTATTTTTTGATGTTTGCGTTGTATTTTCCCTTTAATGAAGACACTTCAGGGATTACCTTGTTTTGCCATTATGTTCTTTTGCTCTCAAAAAGGATTTCTGTCCGACTGCTTGTGGTAATCTGGATGCCAGAAAGAAAAACAGTAATGTTACAAAGTATATCTCAGTGATGTAGTATCTGGGGGGGGGGGGGGGGGGGGGAAGGGGGAGGGGGAGCTAAGGGGGAGGGTATCCCCCCCCCCCCAATATTATTCAAGGACGGAAAGTCGGAAACATTCAGTGGAAATTCAGCTCATCTTTTTCTCATGCACATTATGTTGCAACATTACACGATCTTAAAACATGTTTTCATTGGAAGTGACAAGAAAATTGTAGTTTTTTTAATTATTAGCAAATCCTTTCCTCGATACATGTAAGAGCACGATACATGTGTGCCACTATTTTGCTTTTGTCACACAAGGTACTCCTTGTCAAGAGTGCATATGAACAGTACAAAAATTAGTCCTTCAAACTTATACACAAAAAAGCATTGAAGAAATATCGGCCACTGCCTATTGTCCAAACAAGCTGTTTAACATGTCAAAAGTGGAACTTACTCCAAAAAAATGAAGACAAGTTTGATATATATTTGTACACAAAGCTATGGAGAGTCCAGTGATGTAGTGCCTTGATGCTGGGCCTTGGCCTTAAGGCTGCCTTAAGGCTGGATTTTAGGGCCTTGGCCTTGGCCTCGAGGCTTGAGGTCAAAAGCCTTGGCCTTGGCCTTGGCCTTGAGGGTTCAGGGCCTTGCAATTTTGAGTCACTGCTCTTCAAGGCCCATAGATTTTTGCATTTTCCAGATAAATCTGTTCGAAATTTTGCTGTTATCATTTTAATCGTATTACTATGGAGGAGGGAAGCACCCTATAGATTTGTGTGTTGGGCACACTTCCACTTTTATAGCATCACATTTTGTTACCATTGTAGTAGATTTGCTGCAAAAATATTCCGTACACTTGTGGGGCTAATGAGATGATCACTTAAATTGCATATAACTATGGAATAGATCTGATTTGTTGTATATGTCTCCCTGATAAGTGCTAAAGATTTGCATGTATCTGTTTTAGATAATGCTGATATTTCTGACCATGTACGGCCAGCAAATAAAAATTTCCCAAATCAGTTTCTTGGATCCCCCTTTTGTTACACTTGGGAGAATTGTGTGTCAATATAGAAGTTAATCATTATTTTGTTTAGTTAAACCATATTGAAGACCTGAACTTATACTTTAATAGATACAGTGCAGTCATAAAACGGTGTAGGCCTATGCGAGCATGTTGATTGCAATTAAAGAAATGTTGTTCTTCGTAACGAGCAATTCGTGATGATAAGGGCGGATCCAGGGGGGCCAAAAGGGGCCATGCCCCCCCCCAAAAAAAAAAACACCACCGAAACCATTTTTTTTTTTATGTGACGTCGTAATAAAGGCAGGAAATGAGTACACCACCATCTATTCCTCAAAAAACATCGGTTAAAATGGTCAGAAATTGCCTCAAATCGCATCACAGAGCATCTCGAATCCAAAAATTTCCCAAGCCGTAATTTTTTGACCCACTTTTTGGGGGGGCCAAAATTTCTTTGGCCCCCCCCCCCCCAAAAAAAAATTGTGTTCTGGATCCGCCCTTGCGTGATGATGTGTCACTCATGTGACTATTATTAGTTCTATATCAGTGGTAATTTCATAAAACGGGGCCTTGGCCTTGGCCTTGGCCTTGAGGGTTAAGCCTTGGCCTTGGCTTCGAGGCGTGAGGGTCAAAGCCTTGGCCTTGAGGGTCAAAGCCTTGGCCTTGGCCTTGGCCTTGAGGGTCAAAGCCTTTGACACTGATGAAGACACTACTGTTCTGCCTTGAATGACATCACGCTTTGGCTCATGAAAATGGAAATTTTTATTTAGCATAAAAACTAAACTGTGAAATTTCTCCCTAATTCACTGCTACAAAGGAGGTGGAAAGTCATAGTTACATGGTAAGAAAGCTGTCATTATGAATTATTCTGACTAGAAAACTCACCGGTCTGATGATTCGTTTTCATTCCATAACAAGTCAATCAATAGTATCCTGCAATCCTGCGCAAAGCTAGACCCGTTATGCCAGTGAAAGTGGCGGTTCACGGGTGTGGGTGCTCCAGCGCATAGCTGGTGTGGGTGCTCCAGCGCATAGCTGGGTAAAGTCCAAGCATGCCAAATTTTGAACATGTAGTTCGCACAAGGTATTTTGGCATTATGCATACATGTATATAGTTTAGATCATCTACACGCAACTTCACATGAACAACCTGTGTAAACGCGTGCCAGACAACATGTTCAAATTAATACAAATTCCACTGTAGATACATTTATGTTTGAATATAGATAATACCATACGCATGTAAATGGGTCTTTTATATTTGACAATGAAAGAAGACCAGATCCGATCCAAAGTCGAGTTGAAATCTTAAATTTGTTGACACAAATTATACACAATGTTCAGTTACATTAAGCTATCGCGGTAGAATCCTGTCAATGCAGCTCGTGAAATATTGTCCAATTACATTATACAAATAGATGTGAACAACTAGCATTCATTTCATTCTTTAAACCTTTATTTAACTTATAAAAACAATGAGTTTGTCGGGGAATGGATATAAGTCGATACACAATTCTTTGGTTGAGGACTCTTTACCATAACCGTTTACTCCACAATATTTTAATACACATTGGCGTCATGGGCCAAGTTTGGCCTGTTGCCATATATCCAGATGAAGATGATTAACTGAACTGGTAAACCGTGAACGAGGAAAAGAGAACTGGATGAACTGACTACATGACTGAATAAGACTCTGTACTGATGACGTCAAACTTTGTTTACGTGTGTGCTTTCCTATGGTGCTCAGTGGGCCCTCAGTGGGCCGTGGGCCCTCACTGGCTCCATAGGAAAGTGCACACGTAAACAAAATGTGACGTCATCAGTACAGAGGCTTATTGAATCGAGTTGAGCTGATGAGTTGAAGATTATATCAAATTGTACTGAAGATTGAAGATTGAATGATTTGAACTGCTCATGGGGCAGAGTACCTATACAGGGTGAGTAAAAAAAAGGGAACACCCAAATGGTGCCCCTATTTGTTTAAAAAGAAGTTCTGCATGTAGCGCGTTCAAGATCAAGGATAGAAAAGCCCAATTAATAAGCTTTCATTAAGTGAAAAAAATAATTCAAATCGCTCATGTACTTTTCAGTGAAGGTCATTTGTTCTATATAAAACAATAGGGGTTACACACTATACAAGGACAACTACGAGTAATGCATTACAATAAGGATGTTTAATTGTGATACAGGAATGATAATTTAAAAAGTTCAAAAAGTAACATTGATAATTAAAGTGTGATAATTAACAAAAAAATGAGATGAATTGATATATAAGAACTGGTAATCTGAAAACGCTACAAGGTTTAAAAACAAATCATGCAACTAAAGGTATCATTTTAAGGTTTATGAAATTTGAATATATGTTGGGTTTTTTTATAGAAATTTAAGTTTAAGTTTAAAATTTCTTTTTAGAGACACATTCCCTCTATTGAACTACGGAATATTTAAACAAAAAAATATTTCTTCTATGACAGTTGCAATGGTAAGGCGAGTTTCATACAATTTCAGTTGTCATGGTAATGATCACAAATACAAAGTGGCTAGTACTTTACACTATATAGTACATGTGGGATGTATAGCACTTCAAATACAAATTTCTTTCAAATGGTAATTTAAATACCATTACATACAACACTTGCTGCATCTAAAAAATAATACCTAATTATCAACCAATTATAAAAGTTTTGCTAATAAAAATGTTTTCTGTGTTTATCATGATTCTGTGCTAACAACGGGACCGTGAATTTGGGCCCCGACACAGCTTAAAATACTCAATTAATTTTTAAAAAAATTCTACACTTCGCTCCAGGGTTAAATCTAAAACTGAGTGGAGACTTGGCATTGCCAATTAAATATTTTGAGCTGGATATACTTAATAATTGTTAGCATGTACTTTTAATTATGTTAATATGAAGCACACAACAAAGCAATCACGCATAATGTACATATACAAACACATAACAATTTACAGATCCAGTCATACTCTGCATTCATACAGACAATGGAATCAAAGGCAGACTGCCATAATTTTGTAAACTTGAACCATTTGATAACAATTTCTGATATATTTGTCAGGAATGCCCATGCACTTTTGAACTCTCAGGTCACCTGACCTCAGTTTGGCCCCACTTGACTCCTTCAGTTTGGCCCCACTTGACTGACTCTTTTAGTTTGACCCCAGCTGACCCCTCACTTTGACCCTAGAAGACCCCTCACTTTGACCCCAGCTGATCCCTCACTTTGACCCCAGCTGACCCCTTACACTGACCCCAGCTGACTCCTCACTTTGACCCAGTTGACCCCTCATTGACCTTACAGGACAGTACACCCCCAGCAGCACTGGTGGGGGTAGTCCGGGGCGTGGACCTCATGCTCAAAGCCATAGACCCAGAAACGAGTGCTAATGTTTTTCCAGTCATAATGAGCTTCAGTCACAGGTACAGAGCGAAGTGTCTGACGCTTATGTACAAAACAAACAAGAAAGTGATGTGCACAAGTTAATTACTGTTAACAAAAGCTACATTTAAGGAAGGCTATATAGGATCGTTTGATTTTTGTTTTGTTTTTTTCCTTTGAAGCAACAAAATTGCCCAAAATCTCAAGTAGGATGCATGACATCTAACCTGTACAACTTCTGGCTCAGTGATTATTACACATTTTGAGAAAACAGACAGAACATATGCAAAATATTTTGGTCTTGTAACTAAAGACTCCTTTGCTAATACACCTAAAAAGAGTGCTTACTGCAATGATGGTTTTCTTCTGAATGATACCATCTCAGGCAGAATAATTTTAGCAGGGTTCCGTTTCTGGGTAGTAACCAAAGTCACAGTACGCCTTAGAGTCCTTGTGAGTCAGTCACAAGTCATTCTGCAGTCTCAAGTATCTTAATATCTTTGTCATAATTCCCCTACCTGTTGAAGAGTCATAGCATGTGGCCAGGCGGTGCGATGTTTTTCAACCAGACGAATCGAATTCTCGTTGACCTCTTGGATGGGGTATTGGGATATAGGCCACACCTGTCAAACAAATATTCATATAAGCACATTTACAGGGCTATCATTGGCAAAAAAAACATTCTGGGAGAGAGACAGACATAGCTAAGTAATGCAGACGTAGCTTGATCACTTACATGAGGCAACGTCTGCTGAAAGATAGTCTGCCCACTGACGTTCCTAATCAGCTCTTCAGGCATGTCCGAGCGTTCCAAGATGTAGTCCTCCAAATTGTTGGTGCTAAAATGAAGAAATTTACATCACGTGTTATTTTTGCAAGAGATGACATCCCAGCACAAAATTCCTTTATACGAAATAGTTGACTGCAACACCCTTTCTATTTGAGATAAGAACTAGTACGCCTACACTAGAGGGGTGGTGGAGGTAGCAGGATCGGTCTCGGGTTCTATTCCAACCTGAGTAAGCTTGTTAATTCCTTTCTCGCTAGTCCTCCGACAGCACCAAGTAAATGTGTTGAAGGGAAAGATCCAATGTCAAATTGAAATCCAAGACATCAAGTAAAAGTACACCATTTTCTGTTTAATAACAGAACCCTTGTATTTCAGTGTTATAGTTGAGTCCATCACAAGTCGTTTCATAAAAACACGATAACAATGACAAGGGAATGCTTTTGTAACAGTTCATTTGAATAGCTAGTGACTTGACTTGAGACTAAAGGACTTGTGATGGCATTGTGATGGACTTGTGATGGACTTGTGACAGACTTGTGATGGACTTGTGATGGACTTGTGATGGCATTGTGATGGACTTTTGACAGACTTGTGATGGACTTGTGATGGACTTGTGATGGCATTGTGATGGACTTGTGACAGACTTGTGACAGACTTGTGATGGACTTGTGATGGACTTGTGATGGACTTGTGATGGACTTGTGACAGACTTGTGATGGACTTGTGATGGACTTGTGACAGACTTGTGACGGACTTGTGATGGACTTGTGATGGACTTGTGATGGACTTGTGATGGACTTGTGGACTTGTGATGAACTTGTGATGGACTTGTGATGGACTTGTGATGGACTTGTGGACTTGTGATGGACTTGTGATGGACTTGTGATGGACTTGTGAGGACTTGTGATGGACTCGACTGCAACACTGGCGTATTTCACAGGGACCGTACGCCAGGTTTTTTTTTGCCGAAAACTTTGATTTTTCGCAAAAGGCAAAATTTCCCAGCCAACTTCTGATATACAGTTAAAGACCACAAATACTGATTCGCAAGAGTCGTTTCAACAGTATTTGTACGATGTTTCCTGCCAAAACCTCATATTTGTTCACTACTCTGGAGCGTTAATTGTCGAACAACAGCCTGTCCACAATGGCCACTTCAAGATCAACACATGGTCCGCCTCTACACATACTTCACACATGTTCACACTATCACAGACTTTGTGTTTGTGTACAAAGGGCAAAAGGGATTAGCATGTTAGACGTCACCCCGAAGGCGAGTCACTGAGGCAATCTTGACATTTTAACCGTCAGCCGTGCCTGTGTATAGTGCATATGTTATCACGTCCTCTGACGCGAACTGATTAAATGCAAGTGTATTTCTATTGTTGCGTAACTATGTTTAAGCAAATTGTGTATCTAAGCATGCTCTGCCTTGTGCTTACTGCTTACAGTCTCAATGAAATGCCAGAGACTCAGTTAGCAGACTTCATGCACTGAGCAACACCAACATCCAATTCGGCTTGTGTTACTTTGGTTTGCCAATTCTTGAGTTAGACTCGATCCCTATATCCCCCAAAATAAACAAACTAAAAAAATATTTGAAACCTACTAGGAGACAGTCAGCATAATGAAGTGACGAAGCTGTCTATAGCCGCTACAAGTGGGGCATATGACTCTACCGTCACCCTTACAACGGTTACACCTGGGGAAGAGAACAAACAAACATAAACAACACTGTGATATATGTTTTATACTAAAAAAAATTCTGGCATGGTTAGAAATCACATTGTATAAATTTCCTCGCCCCCTCCCCCCCAAATAAATACAAAGCACAGAAGTATGCTTTTTAGATTTCAAAATTGAATTAAATTTCTGTGTTTTTGAGCTTGACAAATTTGTAAAACAGAAAACCTCTTTTGTGGTTTTGTAGCATCAATTGTAAGCAGCATGTTGGTCTTGCATACACTAGCTAACCTGTAACAACAGGTGTGAATTTGTTTGTTTTGGGGGTTCTGCTGTTTATTAATTGTTTGTGTTTTTATTTGCTTTGATTTTATTTTTTACGTTCGTCGTCCTGAACCGCTGCACCAGGTGCAACTAACAGTACGGCTTTCACCATCACGGCGTTCAGTCCTACTGCCGCTTCCAAGACATGAACTGCATTGAACCTAAACAAAAATAAGGAGGAATTATCAATTAAGTTAGGTTTTGATGGGATTTTAGTTTTCAAGTGAGCTTTTTCATCCAGCTGGCCTTTTTTTCTTTTCAGTGTTGTAGTCGAGGCCATCACAAGTCCCCACAAATCAATCTGAAGTCCATCACAAGTCCATCACAAGTCCATCACAAGTCCATCACAAGTCCATCACAAGTCCATCACAAGTCCATCACAAGTCCATCACAAGTCTCCACAAGTCCTCCACAAGTCCATCACAAGTCGACTTATGAAAGAACTTGTCTTACACAAGAACTCGACTACAAAACTGCTTCTCTATCCCGATTTACAATGCCATCTTCAAGTTGGCATCAACCCTATACACCTTCCTGACAACCTCCAAAATCTAGGCCATTTGAAGGATTTTGGAGGATGCATTGTGTCAAGTTCGTAGGCTGTACCCTGCATTGTTTTTGTTCAGCCATGCATGATTCAGCCCTACACTATGGTCACTATCATCCGCACTGCTTCTGAACGTAATCAATTAACATAGCCTCAACCCAAATAACAGAGTAATTTGGAGGATTTTGAAGGATTGAGGCAATATGCTTTCACCCCTCCACTGATCAAATTAAAAAAAAAAAACAGAGTTTGGAGGATTGAGGCTGAATCCAATTTTTACATTGTGGCAGTTGGAGGATTTTGCAGGATTGAGGATATGGTTCCTAGCCAAAAGGGCCAAGTGGATTAGGGTTAACTTGAAAAGTGGCAAAAGCCAATCCAGTCCGCAACACTAGTAGCTAAAAACCAAGAACATATTTTGCTAGTTGTTTTTTTTCGTAAAACGAATTTCAAAGCCTACAATTGGGCTAAGGAGCAATATTAAGTTTGTAAAGTCTGCTAGGGGTCCTGTATCCGTCTCTTGTTTCCCCAAGCATACTTTTTTACTTTTTTCCTTACCCGTCCCCGTCCACCACAGCGTTCGCACATCACAAAACCATATCCGACACAACGATGGCATTGCTGTCAAAATGAAAAAAATGTACTGAAAAAAATTACAAGGTTCACATCACAAGAGTGATCTTTGTTTTAAAGTAGGCCGATAAAGTACAGAGATATTTTGCTGTGAAACTGAAGCCTCAGAACCAAGTCAAGTATGAAATATCTTGTCTGGATCATAAAAGCTTTCGTGCAATGTATTAAAAATTACAAAAAATATAAATCTTTAAAAAGTTAGTTAATATATCAATAAAATAATAAAAACAAAAAATATCTAGCCAATTTAAGTTAAAATCAGCACTGGATCAACGGATTTTATTACTATACCTCATACATATTCATGATTGAGAGCCGAACTCTCACTGGTCAACTCACCATCACGTGCCAGATGTTATTCTTGCTGTTTAACAAACGCGCGCGAGGATTCACACACAGGGTAAATTCACACGCATGCGTAGTAGACTGTCGCACGGGTTACCCGTGCGACAGTCTACTACGCATGCGCTTTATAGAGCAATCGAGGAACTGTCGCACGGGTGCAGTACGCACGCGCGAACATCGCCCAGGAGAGATGCATGGTTGCCAATAATGAAAAGTTTTGGACATTTGCTCATCGCAACACTGCGTGTACACGCTTTGTATATGTGCGCGTGCGTTGTTGAGACACCAAAACAGGCATATCTTTAAAACTAGGCAACGTACAAATCTGGGGTGATCAGAATATGAAAGAAGATATCTTTAGCTCTCTTTAGGGATGAAATTTGTCAATGACAGTGCTCGGCCAATAACGACCATTTTGGTTTAAATAAACGCATCCCCGCTTTGCGCTCCTATTCAATAGTGCACATCACGAAGCGTAAACTAGTTTTTTAGCACGCATGTCCTATTGTTTTTTACCACAGCGTCAAAACGAAAAGTTCAGCAACCTTGGGGTGACGACATTCATAAAGTTAATAAAATTCCCTAAAGGCTGATATAAGAAGCATGCTAACTGGACAATAAATTCCGACGACCATTTTCGCTTGAAAAAATATATCCAGTCAGTGTTTTGATTAGTTAGTCCATGGTCAGCCCATGGTTAGCCACATAGGCACACGCGCGCGCGTGTATTATGTACATTGTATATAAATGTGCGCGCCTGTTGTGTAACGTGTGTTCTGTAATAGTGTGTGTATGCAGTGATGCGCGTATTTGAGCTTATGTCCGTTTGCCTATATCAACTTTTCATTATAGCCGGTTCGCAACTTAATTTCCAGAGCTCAATGATGCCGTCCTGGAGAAAACTTACAAAAGAAAGTTGTACACAAACAACTGTATTTACAACTGTAGTAACTGTATTATATTGCAAACGAACCGAACAAGAACTAGTATAAGTTGAGCAACAATATTCTTTTGGTGAGCTGTACAAATTTCCCCGAATTTTGTTTTAGGTGCATATATAAAAAAATAAAAAAAATTCGGCAACTGAATATGTATGAAGTATAGTAAAACAAATATAACATGGTTTATTTCGAGTGGACAGTCGATATTAGCTCCCCTCGGTATTGGAAGTTGACGAACTAGTTTGTCAACTTCCAATACCTCGGGGAGCGAATATACACTGTCCACCCTCAAACCATGTCATATTTGTGTACTGTGCCCATACATATTCATGATCGAGAGCCGCATTTTCACTGGTCCATTCACCTTCACGTGCAATAAACTGTTTACCAAGCGCGCAAGAGTATTCACGCACAGGGTAAACACGCATGCTTAGTAGACTATCGCATGGTCTACGTACAATGCATGCAGTTATAACGAAGCAATCGTGGAACTGTCGCACGGGTGTATGCATGCCCAAACATCGCCCTAGCAACCCATAAAAAGATGGCGGCAGACGTAAATGTTCATTAGCATTTTCCCAAGCTCAAAGATGCCAAACTGGAGAATTTTGTCAACACTAACGATTTTAATAGGAGTTACTGTGTTGCAAAGGAACTTTTCTGAGGTTGTTCATTATTCTTCTGGTGGGCTGGACCAGTTTCTCTGAAGATTTTATGCCGAGGTGCATACTGCAATATGAAAATTTGGCAACCTAATATGTATGAGATATAGTAAAACAAATATAGGCCTAACACAGGTTAATTCAGGTGGACGGTCAATATTAGCTCCCCGCGGTATTGGTAGTCGACACACTAGTTCCGAGGCTTTGTTTGTCAACTTCCAATGCCTTGGGGAGCTAATATCGAATGTTGCTATAACGAACATCGTGGGATCCACAGAAAGTGTTCGTTACAAATAGCGATCGTTTGGTATAGCTATTTTGAGCTGATTTTGAGCTTACTACCTACGCTGTACAGCAATACATGGGGCTTTTCCTTCCATTCCATGGGAAAATAATAGCCACTTGTCACTCTTCTGTTGACATTTTTCAACAACAATGTTCGGTACGTTTTGTACAGAAAAATCGGGAGCCTGCAAGCACGATGTTCGGTATAGCTGTATTGGTATAGCTGTGTTCGGTAAATATAGTGACGTTCCACTTTATTAGTTAGGCCTATTGCACGAGGACTGAAGGAGGATGGATGTTGATTTAGACACCACTTTGCAAACTTACCCTGACAACCGAAGTGTGAGGGACTTCTAGATGCTTTATGTGAGTAACGAACTGTTGGTCCGGCTTGCATGCCATGGACCACACAGGCGGGGGCGCACCGTTCTGGGGCCCGTCTACGTACCCGCCAGCGTAAGGTGTGAAATTTCGACTGGTGGACCTCGCTTCGTTGAAGGTTTCTAGCTGGTACTAAGGAACGATGATACAGTAGAATGCCATATAAACGAACACGATGGGGGCCACAAAAAAAAATTGTTATTGTATCATTATATTATTATTGTGCATTATAAAAAAAGAGCAAATGGTCTCATGAGCTCTGGACTGCTAGACATGCACTTTAAAAACCTCCAACCTTGAATTCTGTTCTTTTGCCCAACAATTTTAAAAATAAATTTGTGACTTTAAAAATTGAAAAACTTTTTTTAAAAACAATTATTTACTTTTAAGTAAATTAAAGTATACAATGTATTAATAGTTGATGAAACCATTTTCTGAATCGATCAGAAATAGAATTCTTTTGAAAAAAAAATTATGGATGATCAGGCGCGGATCCAGAGGGGGGGGTTTGGGTGTCAAACCCCCCCCCCCCCCCCCCCCGCTCTGTCAAAAAAAAATTCTTTTACAAATTCCTAAAATATAAGTCGAAAACCCCCCCTGCTGTGACACCCCAAAAAAATTATGCTGGTCTAATGTCCGCCTGTTCAAAATACGATACACCATTCTGTAATGAGTGTTAATAATCGTCTAATTTGAACAGCACCCCCCAGTTTTTGATTTTACGAAGGCCAAGTGTCCGGAGAAAAAACGTGTGTACATTTTCAGATTTTTGGGCTGATGAAACCCCCCCCCCCCCTGCAAAAATTCCTGGATCCGCCCCTGATGATTGGTGTTAAAATGGCACGGTTTCTCTGGAAATGTTAACCTTTTGGGAATTAAAGCAATATACAGCACTACTATACTAAGCATGTAAATATGATATCTTACACAATTACACAAAACATTAAAGGGAATATACATTATTTGCTTTTGCTGTAATTTTCAGAAATGGATGGAATTGGGGGGTTGGAAATATATAGCAAATATAGTTACACTGACTTTTTTGAGGTTTTGGGTTCGAAAATGCTATAAAAACCAAGAAAAACAATCAGTTTCCTGTAGTCTGGTGCCCTGACTCCATATAAGAAGAAACAGAGCAGTTTACATACAATGGGGAATTGTAAGGTCAGGGAACCAGTCTAGCTGGCTTGTACCCGCTCATAGGTGTGTAATCGATTGCAAACAAGTGCGATGGTCAATTGGGGCCAGTATTTGAAAAAAAGCCAGTGTTTTCCAACGCTGGTTGGCCGACCAGCGTTGGAAATTGATACAAAAATACCACTTTTCTTGAAAATGACAGTATACCAGGTGCCATGATTTTACAGGATGCTTTACACTGTCATTCACTAACAGTCCAGCAAGGTATTTCCAAATGATTTGGTAGTTTTATTTTTTGATGTTTGCAAATGTTGTATTTTCCCTTTAATCGTCATAAAACAGCCCACTTCTGAAAAGGTGCCCACTTACGTGAAGCCCTTGAGTTGGAATGATCTTGCTGATGGTCATGTTTTTGGCTGGTCTGGAACCGTAGCAGCAATGTTGGTCAACGAAGGTCAAAATGGCCGCCCTGGCGGCCTCCTCCCCAATACCATCTCTCCTGAAAATATACAAAAATATTCAACTGCAGTAAAGCATTTGTCATTCTCAAATGACGGACATGAGACATTTAAACCAGTCGTGTGTCATGCTTTCTTCAACAAACTGAAGTACTATAATCTCAAGTCTCGCCCACATTGGATGCATCCCAGCTGTCACGTCTATATGCTAAGTTTGGCTTTAAGAAAAACAAGGTCAAAGGGTGAACTGACTGTAAATTAGACTTCTAGTGATTTATTAAGCTCCTTGGTGGTTTACTTACGAGTCGAAGACTTCTTGAGGGCGGTCACCTTCTGTAGGAGGTTCGTAAACAGGGGGAGGCACTGGGGGTCCTAGGGTAAAAAAAAAAAAAAAAGGAAAATGACTTCCAAAAAAGTGTAATTTTGAGATCCTTCAAATTCCTTGAGATTGTTTGGAAGATTTTGAATTGGGGTTTAAGACCTGCCTGATTCTGTGGATTTTCCTGAACTGTCACTCCATGGTTTTTGTTAGTCCGAGTAACTTGGACCCAACTTATCGCCTTTTTTAACATTTGGACATGGTCTGGCGATCGCCAGACCATGTCCAAATGTTAAAAAAGGCGATAAGTTGGGTCCAAGTTACTCGGACTAGGTTTTTGTCTGTTTCTTCATTATCCTAAAGGGAAGATACAACATTTGCTTTTGCTAAGCTAAGGGAATAAATGTGTGATCCGGAGGTTTTTATCACTCTGTTTAAGACCACTTAGAGTCTGGGTGCTGATAATTACCCGAGCCGGAGGCGAGGGTAATTATCAGCACCCAGACTCTAAGTGGTCTTAAACAGAGTGATAAATACCGACGGAGCATATTTATTCCCATTCATAAATACCTTTTCGGTAAAAAAAATCATATAATTCGTTCAAAACATCCGATTTTGTTCAACAAATTCACTTTATGCGTTTTGAAACATCCCTCTTGCAAAATAATGGAGTGTTCAGCTTGCGAGTAAGATGTAAACAACCCTTTTATGGAGATTGACGCGCGCGTATCATGTTCTGCGCGATGTCGCGCAGAACGCACCTGGCGCGTTGCGTTTTGAATTTAGAACTATAAAATTCTGACTCCCTGGTAGTGTTGCGCTAGTCCGAAAATTTGGGACTCTCAATACTGTGTATGAGAGTCCCAAAACTTAAGGTATCCATATCGTGCAAAAGTTTGTGCTGCATAACAAAACCAGTGTGAATCAAATTTGCAAGCTTCTTACTCACTACAGTTTCTTCAATAATCCCCGAAACTTTTGCCTCGCAAAGTTGCTGTTGTGAGCATTGCATCACCAAAAATTCAGCTTTTAATTCTAATTTTGCAGAGAGATATCGAAATCCAAACGTGAGACATCACGTTGATGTGTACTGCAATGCATTGTGCAAAAAGACTCCTCAGCTTTAACATTTTCATCGTGTAGATAAAACAGCGCCCTCTTGTTGATCTGAGTGAATGCAAAATGTTTCATTTTTTAACAGAGGGCGCTATGTTCATTTGGCCATCGATTAAAAAACAAGTAAGCTGCAAGGCTCTTCCTGCACCTACCCAGAATACCTTGGGAATCAGACATACATTTCTAGAGCATGGAGAATGACGTGGATGGTTTTTGAACTGCCAAAAACTTGCCTTAAAATTGGATTTAAGGTCTCAAATTTCGCAGGTGACATGCTTGCAACTATAGCATTTTGATGTATGTGTTGTGTGGGCATTAATTAGCCAAATGGTGAGTAAAAAAACGTCCGTTGTAATTTTGCACGTTTTTATGCACTCACGGTCCCAGTTTGGTGTTGCGCATGCCTACGTGAGGATTGTGAACGTTCAACCAATGAAACGATAAGAGGCACTGGATTTTTAGGAGTCCACATTTTATTGTGACACTGGAAAAGTGTTTAAGACCAGCTAGCTAGCCATGTCTTTATCATCCGTTTAAGACCGGCCACGTGACGGGCTCTCGACCAATAGGAATGCGTAAACTGTCTGAGGTATTTATGAATGTAAGTTTCAGAAATGGATGATTTGGGGGCCGGGGGTTAGTATTTTATAGCAAATATTGTTACACCAGTTTTGTGTTCGTAGATGCTGAAAAAACCAAGAAAAACAATCATGTTCCTGTAGTCTCGTTCCCTGATTTCCTCACGTGCGTGCATGGAGCACAAACTTTCCCCGAAAGTATTTTCTACTCCTTAAATTTCACAAAAGATACAACCTTCATGACTAAATCTCTTGCTCCCCCATTCTTCACTCTACTTTCATAACCCAAAGTATTTTATTTTGAAAGGTAGGTGTTGTCGTATAATTAAATTTTGTAAATAAGTTATTATTTATTCAATTAAACTACCCATATTATCTGTGCTGAGAAAATTTCTGTGCTTAAGTAGCAGCTCCATGTAATTTGGTCAAGGTTATTGAATCTCACCATCTTCAAAAGCCACAGCCTCATATCCTGGCACTGGTTCCAACGAGTTCACGTCGGGTTTTTCGTCGCCGCCCTCGGTCGCGTTCTCGTTATCTTCTCGGTCGGTTTCGGCAGCATTGGCAAACTGGTAAGGAGGGGCACCCTCGGCAACAGTACTGGGAGACCAGGCTGTGAGAACGTTGAAAGTGAAACAAGCAAATATAAAGAGGGAACTGCTTGGGGATCTCAAGGAGTTAACAGATATTGGTTTTTTTTTTAATCTGGACCAAAATTTGATGGACAAGAAAAGTGATTCACAACATAAAATGTAGTCTTGGCCCAAACGTCAGTGATCAATAGCGATGGTTTTCTTTTTCTACCTACTCGCACCAGCGTCTTGTAGGCCATCAGCCTCGGTCCAAAATGTTGGCCAACGGTATCAAATGAGGGGAATAATCGTCATAGCGATTTTTGGCAAGGTATACACCTCCAGAGTTGGAAAATATGTGATAGCATTATAGCGGTGGCAGCTTCACCCTTTTTTCTAAATGCCCATCAAAATGCTAGTTACTACTCTAAGGGCGTATACCTTGCGCATGCGAACTATAATCATTTATGCCCTGATTTGATACTGACCAAACCCCCAGGCTGATGGCCTATTGAGAATCTTGCAGCAATGGGTGCGTAGCCATTTTATGCAAATTAAACTGTTGATGTAAATATTGATGTCTTCGAACAAAACGGCGGCTTCCTATTTGATACCGGTAGTCGCACTCACGGGGGTATCACTTTGCATATCTAATCAGCGATACTTGATGAGCACACTTCACAGTTGAATCTCCGAACGTGTAGCTCGTATGTTTACAACTGTCGTGCGAAAACTATAAACTTTCCAAAAAAAGGCTAAGGTTTCAGCTCCGAACGCGACTGACTTTAAACCATTTCACGATTGCTGATTGGTTCACTAGGAAAGCCTAGTGAGAAAATAGAGAAAAAGTTAAACGGCTACTACAGGATTCCCAGTGCGAGTAGACGCGCTGGTCTAATCATGCCGTTAGATGAGGCTCTACTGCCAAAAAAACATGAAACCATATGCACGATCCAAGACTACATACTAATGCTGCCACCGGTAGCTCAAGACCTACCTTACCTGTGAAAAAAAGTTATCATCTGTTTATCAAATACTGTTAATATTTGCAGAAGAAAATAATGTTAAAGTTTTCTTTGTGGCAGAACACGGTACTTGATAGCTCATTGTTATCTGAATATAATTCCTTTTTTCATATCTCTATGAAATTAAAAAAAAACACGCATACCTGGCTGCTGAGATCCTTGTTGTGGTGGGGCACCAGGAGCTGTACCATAGACAAAACACATACAAACCCAAAACAAAATTATCCAGAGAAAGAGGAAGGTACTTTTTATAGATTTTCAAAATATCATGAACCTTTTTGCTGTTAGTGTTACAAAATTGTGTTGAAAGAAGCTGTCACCCTTTCTACATACTGTGGTCCTAGCTACAATTTTGTTGCAAATAAACAGACAATATATTGACACAATTGCTAAATATATTGCATATGTATCAGTGAATTAAAAAGGGGGGGGGGGATGAGGCAGGCAGAAAAAGGTAGCCGGCGGGGACAAGAAACTGGTTAATTTTTCTTTACTTGGCCTCAAGACAAGTTTTGCGGAAGACAATAATTGTATGTCAGAACCACACATACTCACAAAACACATTTATTCACATGGTGCTACCGCAAACTTGTCTTAGTATCTTTCCACCATGCAAACCTTCAAATCTCATCTTACTTGGCCTTAGTTTCAATCTTTTAACCCTCCTGCTGTTTCCTTCACTCCCCCTGCTATACTTTTAACACACCAATGGGTCACTTATTGACCCAAGTAACAGCATGGCTCAGAATGCATGTTAAAGACACTTCAGGGATTACCTTGTTGTGCCATTATGTTCTTTTGCTCTCAAAAAGGAATTCTGTCGGACTGCTTGTGGTGATCTGGATGCCAGAAAGAAAAACAGTAATGTTACAAAGTCTATCTCAGTGACGTAGCATCCGGGGGAGGGGGGGTGGTATTTTCCCCCCAATATTATTCAAGGACGGAAACATACCGTGCAAATTCAACTCATCTTGTTTTCATGCACATTACTATGTATTGCAACAATACATACAAGATCTTAATACTTTTCATTGGAAGTGACAAGAAAGTGGTAGTTTTTCAATTTTTAGCAAATCCTTTCATCAATATATGTAAGAGGGCGCTATTTTGCTTTTGTCACACAAGGTACTCCTTGTCAAGAGTGCATATGAACAGTACAAATATTAGTCCTTCAAACTTATACACACACAAAATATTGAAGAAATATTGGCCACTGCTTTTGTCCAAACAAGCTGTTTAACACGATAAACAAGTCAACTTGAAAAGTGGAACTTACTCCCCCCAAAATGTTTGATATATATTTGTACACAAAGCTATGGAGACAGTACAGTTCTGCCTTGAATGACATCACGCTTTGGCTCATGAATATGGAAATTTTCATAAGCATAAAAACTAAAATGTTGAAATTTCTCCCTTTACTGCTACAAAGGAGGTGGAAAGTCATAGTTACATGGCAAGAAAGCTGTCATTATGAATTATTCTGACTAGAAAACTCACCTGTGTGATTCGTTCTCATTCCAGAACAAGTCAATCAATAGTATCCTGCATTGACCAGCTGCACAAAGCTAGACCCGTCATGTCCGTGAACGTAGCAGTTCACGGGTGCGGCCTGTCCAGCGCACAGCTGGGTAAAGTCCAAGCATGCCAAATAAGGGCATTAAATTCATTTTGAACATATAGTTCGCACAAGGTATTTTGGCATTATGCATACATGTATAGAGTTTAGATCATCTACACGCAACTTCACATGAACAACCTGTGTAAACGCGTGCCAGTCAACATGTACAAAATAATACAAATTCCATATTGTAGATAAATTTATGTTTGTATATAGATAATACCACACTTATTAACTTTCGTACTGTTGAACAAGTTTGTGACAAAAACGCATGTAAATGGGTCTTTTATATTTGAAAATGAAAGAAGACCAGATCCGATCCAAAGTCGAGTTGAAATCTTAAATTTGTTGACACAAATTAAACACAATGTTCTGTATCCTGTCAATGTAGCTCGTGAAAAATTGTCCAATTACATTATACAAAAGGATGTGAACAACTTCATTTAATTCTTTAAACCTTTATTTAACCTATAAAAACATTGAGTTTGTCGGGGAATGGATATAAGTCGATACACAATTCATGGTTGAGGACTGTTTATCATGGCCGTTTATTCCACAACAATATTTTAATACACATTGGCGTCATGGGCCAAGTTTGGCCTGTTGCCATGTAGGCCAGATGAAGATGATAAATTGAACTGGTAAAAGTGAACCGAGGAAAGGAGAACTGGATGAACTGACTACATGATTGAATTGAATCGAGTTGAACTGATAAGTTGAAGATTATATCAAATAGTACTGAAGATTGAATGACGAACTGCTCATGGGGCAGAGTACTTGTACAGGATGAGTAAAAAAAAAGAGGAAAACCCAAATGGTGCCTCCTATTTGTTTAAAAGAAGTTCTGCATGTAGCGCGTTCAAGATCAGGGATAGACAATTAATAAGCTTTCATTTAGTGAAAAAATCATTCAAATCGCTCATGTACTTTTCAGTGAAGGTCATTTGTTCTTCATAAAACAATAGGGGTTACACACTATACAAGGACAACTACGAGTAATGCATTACAATAAGGATGTTTAATTGTGATACAGGAATGATAATTTAAAAAGTTCAAAAAGTAACATTGATAATTAAAGTGTGATAATTAACAAAAAAATGAGATGAATTGATATATAAGAACTGGTAATCTGAAAACGCTACAAGGTTTAAAAACAAATCATGCAACTAAAGGTATAGTTTTAAGGTTTATAAAATTTGAATATCTGTTTATTTTTTATAGAAATTAAAGTTTTATTTTTAAAGACCAAAATAATGTCACTGCAATGTAACAATTCATGTGACACAAAAATGAAGACTTGTTAGGATGTACATGTAATTACAATTTCTTTTTAGAGACTTATGCTCTCTATTGAACTATGGAATAGTTTAGAAAAAAATGTCTTCTATGACAGTTGCAAAGGTAAGGCAAGTTTCATGCAATTTCAGTATCATGACAATGATCACAAGCACAAAGTAGCTACATGTATTACTTTACATTATATAGTTCATGTCAGACATATAGTACTTCAAAAACAAATTTCTTTGAAAAAGGTAATTTAATTACCATTACGTACAACACTTGCTGCACCTAAAAAATAACCACTAAATATCACCCAATTAATAAAAGTGTTGCTAAACAAAATGTTCTCTGCGTTTATCATGATTCTGGTCTAACAGCGGGACCGTGAATTTGGGCCCCGACACAGCTTAAAATACTCAACTAATTTTTAAAAAAATTCTACACTTCGCTCCAGGGTTACATCTAAAACAGTTTGGAGACTTGGTATTGCCAATTAAATATTTTGAGCTGGATATACTTAATAATTGTTAGCAAGTACTTTTAATTATGTTAATATGAAGCACACAACAAAGCCATCACGCATGATGTACATATACAAACACATAACAATTTACAGATCTAGTCATACCGGTACTCTGCATTCATACAGACAATGGAATCAAAGGCAGACTGCCATAATTTTGTAAACTTGAACCATTTGATAATAAAAAAAGTTAAACAACAATTCAAATTAAAAAGTAGCTGTGCCGATTTCCGATATATTTGTCAGGAATGCCCATGCACTTTTGAAATCTCAGGTCACCTGACCTCAGTTTAGCCCCACTTGACTCCTTCAGTTTGGCCCCACTTGACTGACTCTTTTAGTTTGACCCCAGCTGACCCCTCACTTTGACCCTAAAAGACCCCTCACTTTGACCCCAGTAGACCCCTCACTTTGACCCCAGGTGATCCCTCACTTTGACCCCAGCTGACCCCTTACACTGACCCCAGCTGACCCCTCACTTTGACCCCAGCTGACCCCTCACTTTGACCCCAGCTGACCTGTCACATTGACCCCAGCTGATCCCTCACTTTGACCCTAAAAGACCCCTCACTTTGACCCCAGTAGACCCCTCACTTTGACCCCAGGTGATCCCTCACTTTGACCCCAGCTGACCCCTTACACTGACCCCAGCTGACTCCTAACTTTGACCCCCACTGACCCCTCATTGACCTTACAGGACAGTACACCCCCAGCAGCACTGGTGGGGGTAGTCCGGGGCGTGGACCTCATGCTCAAAGCCATAGACCCAGAAACGAGTGTTGACGTTTTTCCATTCATAGTGGGCTTCGGTCACGGGTACGGAGCGAAGTGTCTGACGCTTTGTACAAAAAAACAAAAAAGGAAGGAATGTGCACAAAGTGAACATCTAGGACATTGGGATTTCAAATTTTGCTGTTAACCAAAGCTGCATTTAAGGTAGAGTACACAAAAACATGTAGATCATTTGCAGCTATCCACTAAGTAACTGACAAAATTTTTGTTGAAAAGCATAGTCTGTTTAAAGATACAATGGCACTAAACTCCCTGTGAAATTGTTATTTCTGGCATGCTGTCATTTTAAAGAAAACATTAAACAAGCGCGAGTGCACAATAAGCTCTGGCCCGGTTTTGGAATGTCTAACTTCATATGCAAAAATAGATGCACATGCGCATCAATCGAACCAAAGCCGATCTTCCGAAAAACTTTTGGCAAGAGTGCCTTTATACGACCACCGCATGGCATTTGGTCAATTTTTGGTCACATATTTTTGGTCAATTTTCAGTACAGACAGCCAGACAGACCGACGGACCACCAAGTGACCTGTAAAAGCTCCTGCCAGAGCTTTAAAAAGGCCATTTCCAAAGATGCGTTAAGTGACGCATTTTAAAGGGAATATACAACATTTGCAAACATTGAAAAATAAAACTACCAAGTTTTTACGGAATACCTTACTAGGATGTTGGTAAATGACAGTCTAAAGCATCCTGTAAAATTATGGCACCTGGTGTGAAGTCATTTTCAAGAAAAAGGTATTTTTGTATACATTTCCAGCGGTGGTCGGCCGACCACCATTGGAAAAACCTAACTATTTTGCAACTACTGCTCCAAATTTACCATTTTTTATTCAGTTCAAATTTTGTTTGCTATTGGTTACATATTCATGAATGGGTGTAGGCCAGCTAGACTTGTTCCCTTACCTTACAATTTTCCGGCATCTTGAAATTGATCCATTTTATCTTTGGTGGAGTCAGGGAACCAGACTACTTGAACATTTTTGTTTTTCTTGGTTTTTCAAGCATTTTCGAACAAAAATCTGCAAACATGTCAGTGTAACAAAATTTGATCTATTATATTAACCCACCCAAATAGTTTATTTCTGAAAATTACAGCAAAAGCCAATGGTGTACATTCCCTTAAAGAAAGTAAAGTGCCTAAAATGTTAAGTAAGATGTATTACACCTACATGTGTAACCTGTGCAACTTCAAGCTCAAGTTTCAACTTTAAATTTTCAGAAAACAGACCAAAAAAAGAACACTATGCAAACTTGTTTGGGTCTTGTGACTAGATTCCACTAGTAATACACATAAACAGAAGTGCCTTCTTTTAATGATTGTTTACTTCTGAATGATACCATTCCTATCTTCAATTTGAGCTAGGTTCCTTGTGAGGGATCTCTGCGGTAGATTTTTTTTTCAAAGAACAAGTCATCCCACAGTCTCAAGTTTAAGATGTTTTAATATCTTTGTCATAATTCCCTTACCTGTTGCAGAGTCATAGCATGTGGCCAGGCGGTGCGATGTTTTTCAACTATACGAATCGAGTTCTGGTTGACTTCTTGGACGGGGTATTGGGATATAGGCCACACCTGTCCGCAAACACAGTCAGTTTACAATACGTCATTTATAACAGACAATAATATGTCAAAAAAATATTCATCTAAGCATATTGACAAGGCTAGTTTATTTTTGAGGCTTTTCATTCACTCACAGAGATGAAACTGGCATATGGCAAAAAAAATTGGAAAAGACGTCGAACAAAAATACGTGTCTGAAATCTGGGCCGCGCTGCAGTTACATGCATGTACATGCATGTACAATACACTTCATACCCAATTTCCGGACACCAACTCCTGCTTAATTGTTTTCGATTCAAACAAAATTTTACGATGAAAAAAAAAATGGTCAGTGTTTTCATTGCATAAAACGCCTGAATTACGGTTAGAGTAATGGAGTCATCAACAAAGAAGTTCACTTCTTACTTAAGTCGAGGAAAAGGTCCGGAAGACAAGGGCACCGTTCATGGTGTTTCAATCATGTCCATGATTCAACCACACAACTCCACTACTCCACTTGCATTCGTACGTGGGAAAAAATCAGGCATTATCGTCTTTCTCTTCCAACAAATGCCAGTGAAATGTTTCGCTAATGCTCTCTTCGCTATCCTTGAGATAATCATCATGATTTTTAAAGCATTGCATTTTGTACAACTAAATCTGAAACCTTCAAAAATCGCTCAACATAATGATTTTATCCACTGGATCGTTCACGAGGCTACCCGTTCCCGACCGGCCATGTGCTATGTGCTAGCGGACGGTGCGGTACGTACGCTGGTACCATTGCATACATCTTTGTACATATGCACGCACAAGCGACACAGTGATTTTTCCATGTCACCTGTCAATGTTTAACCCTTTGTCCAGCCGGAAAAGGCTCCAATCAGTGTTATGGCCTGCGTTTCTACCGTTGAAATACTCCAATAACGACTGGTGAAAGAGGTTAAAACTACGTTCGCGATGATTTTAACGTGCCATTTCATCGGCTTTTCTTCAAAATTATGATTGAAATAAAATGACATTTTGTGAAAAAAATCATTACAAAATCAAATTTTGTGGGGCACATTGCAAGAAAATCAGAAATTCCGTTGGAAAATTGATAAAGTCGGATTTCCGATTAAAATCGGAAAAGTTTCATCTCCGTTCACTCAATGTCTTTAACACTTTTTTATGTACATGCCTGATTAGCTACCAGTAAATAATGTTATTTTTAAATTCCATGCTATTTTACAATTGCATTATTGCCCAGATGAAGTTATAGATGAAGATGAACAATTTTGTAGACAAGAGACTATTGAAGTTATCAGTTGGAATATCATCTCTGCCCTAGCATGCTTGCTCTGATGTAACTTTAGCCGCATCTGAATAACTTGGCTGCGGCTGCCAGTAATGCACAATTACACAAGTATCTGGGATATGTGGCTGCAGCTCCTTCCATAGACGCAAGTGTAATTGTAAGCCATAGCTGGACCGACAGCATCCGAGGAGAGAGAGAGAGATAGAGAGAGAAAGAGCTATAGCCAACTAATTCAGACAGAGCTCGACACTTACATGGGGCAACGTCTGCTGGAAGATGGTCTGCCCACTGACGCTCCTAATCAGCTCGTCGGGCATGTCCGAGCGTTCCAAGATGTAGTCCTCCAAATTGTTGGTGCTAAAACGAAGAAATAGAGCTATTTACATCATGTGTCTTTATTTTGTAAGAGATAATTCAAGACATCAAGTAACATTGCTTGATGGCGCTGCTAAGTACACCATTTTCAGTTAACAGAACCCTTGGTGTGTTTCAGTGTTGTAGTCGCGTCCATCACAAGTCCTTTCATAAGTCCAGTAACAAGTAGCAGAATGAACTAGGACTGCTTTGAGATTTGAAGGTTTGCATGGTGGAAAGATACTAAGACATGTAACAGTTCTATCGAATAGCTTGTGACTGACTTGAAACTGAAGGACTTGTGATGGACTTGTGACGGACTTGTGACGGACTTGTGACGGACTTGTGATGGACTTGTGATGGACTTGTGATGGACTTGTGATGGACTTGTGATGGACTTGTGATGGACTTGTGATGGACTTGTGATGGACTTGTGATGGACTTGTGATGGACTTGAGATGGACTTGAGATGGACTTGTGATGGACTTGTGGTGGACTTGTGATGGACTTGTAATGAACTTGTGATGGACTTGTGATGGACTTGTGATGGACTTGTGATGGACTTGTGATGGACTTGTGATGGACTTGTGATGGACTTGTGATGGACTTGTGATGGACTCGTGATGGACTCGTGATGGACTCGTGATGGACTTGTGATGGACTTGGAATGGACTTGTGATGGACTTGTGATGGACTTGTGATGGACTTGTAATGGACTTGTGATGGACTTGTGATGGACTTGTGATGGACTTGTGATGGACTTGTGATGGACTTGTGATGGACTTGTGATGGACTTGTGAAGGACTTGTGATGGACTTGTGATGGACTTGTGATGGACTTGCAGGGACTTGCCAGGACTTGTGATGGCCTTGACTACAACACTGGCGTATTTCACAGGGACCGTACGACAACACATCATCATCATCATATGAGAACGTCATACGATGCCATCTTGGGCAGTACAGCGTAAACAGCCAAGAATACGCTAAATGCAGACTTTGTGTCATGAGGCAACGCAATGACAGAAATAGTGTATTTCTACTGTTGCGTAAACTACGTTTTAAGCAAATTGTGTACCTAACGTAAACATGCTCTGCCTACATGGCCAGAGGCTCAGTCAGCAGACTTCATGTACTTAGCAGCACCATGGAATTCGGCTTGTTTCACTTTAACTTGCCAAATCTTGAGTTAGACTGATCCCTATTTCCCCAAAATACAAAAATAAATTTAAAAAAAATTGGAACTTACTAGGAGACAGTCAGCATAATGAAGTGACGAAGCTGTCTATAGCCGCTACAAGTCGGGCATACGACTCTACCGTCACCCCTACAACGGTTACATCTGGGGAAGAACACAGAAACAAAAACAAAACTGTGATATGTTTTACACGCCGAAAACAAATCTGGCACAGTAAGAAATCCCACTGTTACAATTTCCTACTCCCAAACACCCCCCCCCCAAAAAAAAAAGTACAGAAATATGATTTCTAGATTTCAAAATTGAATTGAATTTCTGCGATTCTGAGCTTGATAAATAATTATATAAAACAGAAAATTTCTTTTTTGGGGGGTTTTGTAGCATCACTTGTAAGTAGAATGTTAGTGTTTACCAAAATTGTAACTCTGTGACGCCCTGAGCTCGCCTCAAGCCAAACAATCTCGTGGGAGCAATGCACAAAGGGCACCACTAGAAGAGAAAGGGAACGTCACACCTACATCCACGTGCCACCGCAAGACACAGCACGACCACATGGAAGATCTTAGGACGGTCTTGCTAGACAGAAAGGAGTGGAGACATCGGATTTGGGGAGCCCGAGTTGGTATAGGCTGAGGCTGACATGCCAGTCCTTCTGATTTGAGGCGTGCGATCACACCCCCACACCATCGCACACCTAAAGGCTTCCCAAGAAGTGTGAATAATTGCACGCCTGAACTTCCCTGGACCACAGATCACACACCTAGAAAACCACACACCTAGAAAAAACACACACCTAGAAAAATCCAGGTGTGCCTTTTTCCACACGCCTGTGATTTTCAAATCAGAAGGACTGACACGCTCGCATCCTAACTGTAACAACAGCTGCCAACTTTGTGTTTTGGGGGCTCTGGGGTAATCGTTTGTTTGTTTGCTTAACCATTTTCTTACCTGCGTCGTCCCGAACCATGGCACCAGGTGCAACTAACATGATGGGAATGACCATCACGGTATTCAGTCCTATGGCCACTTCCACTACACGAACTGCAACGAACCTACACATAATTATGAGGAAGTAAGTTAGATTTTGATGGGATTTAATTTTTCAAGTGAACTTTTTTTATCCATCTTGCCTCTTCCTTCTCCGTCTTGCTTTGCAATGCCATCCAGGCATAAAAAACACCCAAAAGCCAAAAAACATCTAAAAAGCTAAAAATCAAGCACATTTTTCGTTAGGTCTTTTTTTCGTAAAACAAAATTCACAGCCTACAAGTTGGGCTATGGAGCAATATTAAAGGGAAGATACAACATTTGCAAACTTCAAAAAACGAAATGATCAAATTATCACGAAATATCTTACTGGTTTGTTGGGGAATGACAGTCTAAATCATCCTGTAAAGTTTGGGCTCCTGGTGTGCTGACATATTCAAGAAAAACTGCATTTTTCCAACACTGGTCGGCCGACCAGCATTGTAGAAAACTGGCTTTTTTCAAAAAGTGCTCCAAATTGTTCATATTTAGTTCGTCTGTAGTTTCTTTGCAATTGATTACACACCTGTGAAGACTACAAGCCTGCTAGACTGATTCTCAGACCTTACAAGTCCCCAAAGTCTATAAATTGCTCCGTTTCATCTTAAGTGGCGTCAGGGAACCAGACTACAAAAATATGATTGTTTTTTTTTGGTTTTTCCAGCTTCTACGTGAAACAAGTCAGTGTTACAATATTTGCTATAACATACTAATCATCCAAATCCATTTATTTCTGAAAATTGCAGCAAAAGCAAATGTTGTACATTCCCTTTAACTTTTAAGTGTGTAAAGTCTATTAGGCGTCCTGTACCCGTCTCGTTTCCCCAAACATATTTTTTGACTTTTTTCCTTACCCGTCCCCGTCCGTAACAGCGTCCGCACATCACAAAACCACATCCATGACACCGATGGCATTGCTGTCAAAATAAAAAAAAATTACAAGGTTTTCATCACAAGAGTGATCTTTGTTTACAAAGTAAAAACTACAAAGGTATGTTGCTGTGAACCTGAATTCTCAGAATAAAGTCAAGTAAAGTATTCTTAAATATCTTGTCTGGATAACTAGCAAGCAATGAATAAAAAAAATATGAAAACACTTTAAAATATTTTAAAAGGTAGTTAAAATATCAATACAAAAAATTATCTAGCCAATTTTAAGTTAAATCAGCACTGGAACAACAGATTTGATTGCACGAGGAAATGGAGGACGGATGTTGATTTAGCACCATTTTGCAAACTTACCTGGACAAACGAAGTGTGAGGGACTTCTAGATTCTTTATGTGAGTGACGAACGGTTGGTCCGGCTTGCACAATATCGACCACGCAGGCGGGGGCGCACCGTTCTGGGGCCCGTCTACGAACCCGCCAGCGTAAGGTGTGAAATTGCGACTTGTCGTCCTTGCTTCGTTGAAGGTTTCCAGCTGATACTAAAGAATGATACAGTAGGACGCCATTATTAATGAACGTGATGGGGGCCACAAACAAAGTTCATTAAATGGAAAATACAACATTTGCAAACATCGAAATATAAAACTACCAAAGTGTTACGAAATACCTTACTAGGATGTTGGTAAATGACAGTCTAAAGCATCCTGTAAAATTAGGGCACCTGATGTGAAATCATTTTCAAGAAAATGGTACTTTTGTATACATTTCCAACGGTGGTCGACCGACCACCGTTGGAAAAACCTAACTATTTTTCAACTACTGCTCCAAATTAACCATTTTTTTTCAGTCCAAATTTTGTTTGCTATTGGTTCCATGTTCATGAACGGTTGCAGGCCAGCTATAGACTGGTTCCCTTACTTTACAATTTTCGGGCATTTTGGATCCATTTCATCTATAGTGGAGTCAGGGAACAAGACTACTTGAACATTTTTGTTTTTCTTGGTTTTTCCAGCATTTTCGAACACAAAACTTTAAACATGTCAGTGTAACAATATTTGATCTATTATACTAACCCCCCAAATAGTTCATTTCTGAAAATTACAGCAAACGCCAATAATGTACATTCCCTTTAAAGCAGTCGTTCATTATAGTTTTATTATAGTACATTCATAAATACGTAAGACAGTTTACCCCTTCCTATTGGTCGAGAGCCCGTCACATGGCCGATTTTAAACGGTTGATAAAGACATGGCTGGCATTTAGATGAACAAATTACTGAAATTGTTCAATCCGTTCAAAGAATATCACCATTTAAACGCAATGACCCTAAAACCGGTTTCATCCAAAAAAAGCCATTTATTGTGTGTTCTGACTGTTTGGAACAACAAAGAAAATGACACAGAATACTTGTTTCAGCAACTGTCAACAAGTGTAGTGCACAATACCTTTATTAACAACCCTGGTAAGGCAAACAATATGATGTATTGGCCTTCAAAAGGACTTTGTTGAATATTTGTAACTTTTAAACTGAGGTTTTATCGCTGGTGATATTTGAAGACAATTGTGACGATCGATTCTTGAAATCACATTTTTGGGATGAAAGAGGCTTTAGGGTCATGGCCTTTAAATGGTGATATACTTTGAACGGATTGAGCAATTTCAGTAATTTTTCATCTAAAAGTAGTTTATGAATTTGGCTTTCCAGTCATTATTATTTTTGGCGCTACATATTTTTTAAAATATGAAATACATTTTTTTTTGGGGGGGGGGGTTGGATCTGCTTCTTTTTTTTTACTCACACTGTGCGAATGCTTGATGAAACCATTTTCTGAATCGTTCAGAATTCTTTTGGGGAAAAAATCATGGATGCTTTAAAAAATGCCACTGCTTACCTGAAAAACTGACAAATTTTGGGGATTTAAGCCAACGTACAGAAGAACACTGCTAAACCAAGCATTTAGCTGACATTAATATCCCTCAATATTTCCACAATCATATAAAACATATTCATAAATACCTCAGACAGTTTAGCTATTCCTATTGGTCGAGAGCCCGTCACGTGGCCGGTCTTAAACGGATGATAAAGACATGGCTAGCTGGTCTTAAAAAACTTTTCCAGTCTCACAATAAAATGTGGACTCCTAAAAATCCAGTGCCTCTTACCGTTTCATTGGTTGAACGTTCACAATCCTCCCGTAGGCATGCGCAACACTACCAGGGAGTCAGAATTTTATAGTTCTAAATTCAAAACGCAACGCCCCAGGTGTGTTCTGCGCGACATCGCGCAGAACATGCTACGCGCGCGTCAATCTCCATAAAAGGGTTGTTTACATCTTACTCGCCAGCTGAACACTCCATTATTTTGCTAGAGGGATGTTTTAAAAAGCATGAAGTGAACTTGTTGAACAAAATTATTTGAACGAATTATTTGATATTTTTTACCGAAAAGGAATGGGAATAAAAATGTGCTCGATCGGTATTTATCACTCTGTTTAAGACCGCTTAGAGTCTGGGTGCTGATAATTACCCTCGCCTCCGGCTCGGGTAATTATCAGCACCCAGACTCTAAGTGGTCTTAAACAGAGTGATAAAAACCTCTCGAGCACACATTTATTCCCTTAATAAATGCCCATTCCTGGCCCATTGTGTTCGCGGTAATGACATTTCTACCTTACTATAGTAAAAGATGCCCACTTACGTGGAGCGCTTGACTTGGAATGATCTCCCTTATGGTCATGTTCTTGGCTGGTCTGGAACCGTAGCAGCAGTGTTTGTCCACGTAAGCCAAAATGGCCGCCTTTACAGCCTCCTCTCCAATATCCTCTTTCCTGAAAGGCACAAAATGATTCAATAATCAATTACAGTAAAACAATTGTCATTCTCAAATGACAGACGCGAGACGTATCAAATAGTCATGTGATAAAAAAAAAATAAAAAAAATAAAAAAACCTCCTGATCCAACCTGAACATTGAGATCTAAAGGGATGCTAACCAACTGATCATTTTCATATGGCCTTATTAAAGCCCCTTGGTGGTTACTTACGAGTCAAAGACTTCTTGAGGGCGGTCACCTTCCGAAGGAGGTTCATAAGCAGGGGGAGGCACTGGAGGTCCTAGAGTAAGAACAAACACAAAATTATTCCAAAAAAGTGCAATTTTGAGATGCTTCAAAATTCTCAAGACATTTTGGAAAATTTTGGATTTATCCGCTCCGATCACAAGTACCCCTCACCTGCAAACATGGTACAGTTAGGGGTGACTGACCTACGCCATCTTGCCTGCGATTGCAATTTTGCCGCAACGCGCGGCCGTATCGTACCACTGCATGTACATAGTACAAATCCCCTGGCGTACGTGCGTCACACACAAGGAACAGTGCGCGTCAACCAGCTATAACATGTGTCGCCCATGGGACGTCGTTGCTAGGAAAAAGGGCGCCCTCTTTGGTTGGTGCACATAGCCCATAGTCCCTGCCTAATGTTGTGGATTTGCCTGGACTGTCACTCCAGGCTTTTTGTCCATTCCTTCATTATCTTCTCTCTTAAGATGTTTCTTTGGGTTTACAACTACAGCACACATCTCCTTATTAGGAACCCTCATTTTGGCCGGTACAGGACAAACTTTTGCCGACAAATATTTTCTACTCCTTAAGTTTCACACAAGATACGACCTTCATGACTAAACCTCTAGCTCCCCGGTTCTTCACGCTACTTTCAGAACCCGAAGTATTTTATTTGAAAAGGTCGACTAGGTGTTGTCGTCGTTTTTTATTCGAACTACCCACGTGTCAGAAATCTTTTCAAATCGGTTTCCACAGCAGTTTTATTCCTCGAACCTATGGCTTTAGGCCCACACTCGTCTTAAAGGGAATATACATCATTTGCTTTTGCTGTAATTTTCAGAAATGGATGGAATTGGGGGGTTGGAAATATATAGCAAATATAGTTACACTGACTTTTTTGAGGTTTTGGGTTCGAAAATGTTATAAAAACCAAGAAAAACGATCATTTTCCTGTAGTCTGGTTCCCTGACTCCATATAAGAAGAAACAGAGCAGTTTACATACATTTGGGAATTGTAAGGTCAGGGAACCAGTCTAGCTGTCTCGTACCCGTTCATAGGTTTGTAATCGATTGCAAACAAGTGCGATGGTCAACTGGGGCCAGTATTTGAAAAAAAGCCAGTTGTTTCCAACGCTGATCGGCCGATCAGCGTTGGAAATTGATACAAAAATACCACTTTTCTTGAAAATGACAGTATACCAGGTGCCATGATTTTACAGGATGCTTTACACTGTCATTCACTAACAGTCCAGCAAGGTATTTCAAAATGATTTGGTAGTTTTATTTTTTGATGTTTGCAAATGTTGTATTTTCCCTTTAAACGAGAACACATTGCTAAGGATGACCACATGATATACAAATTAAGACACTATTCATGAGATAAAATGAACCTAAGCTGCAGCATTGCTAAGGGAAGTAGAACGTGTTGAATGCGCTTTAAGTTGGGTAAAAATGATCCTAGGACGAGTCGCGAGTTAAAGCCAGAGTCCATCATTTGCAGCTATCCAAAAAGTAACTGGCGTAATTATTGTTGAAAAACATACTTGGTTGAAAGATAGTAAGGGGACTAAACTCCCTGTGAAATTATTCTTTCTGGCAAGCTGTCATTTTGAAGAAATCAACGAAAGAAGGCCTTTCCAACGGTGCGTCTTAAGAAGCACCGTTGGAAATTACCACTAGTGGTTTGGGTTTTTTTATTCGGCAAAGCGCGCGCAAGCGTTGGCACGAAGCACACGCACGCGTGGTTGCTATAATTTGTCGGATCAGTGCGCGACATCGCGTAGCTGCAGTCGGCTCTGTGAGAATGTGTCTCGGACGCTGAATTCAGGCCCAATTCAAAACATGATTCGGCAACTTTTGATTTGAAATCGAGTTCCTAGAATGTTATTTTTCTTGAAATATACAGCTGAAACTTCATCAGGTTAGTTGTGAACCCCCCTTTAGATTTTGAACAATTTTGTTGCTTCAAATGAACAAAATGCACAAATTACAAATGATGGACTATACCTTTAAGACGAGTTATCCTTACTGTTTCGTGAAATCGGCCCCTGTTTTTGCTAAGCATACATTTTCCATACTTAGACAATTTCTGTGCTTAAGTAGCAGCTCCATGTAATGTGCCCAAGGTCTTGAATCTTACCATCCCCGAAAGCCACAGTCTCATATCCCGGCACAGGTTGCAACGAGTTCACGTCGGGATTTACGTCACCGCCCTCGGTCGCGTTCTCGTTATCTTCTCGGTCGGCATCGGCAGCATTGGCAAACTGGTAAGGAGGGGCGCCCTCAGCAACAGCACCGGGAGTCCAGACTGTGAGAGAACATTGAAAATGAACCGAGCAAATAGGAAAAGTCCAACTGTCTGAGGATCTGAAGAAGTTCGCAGAATTTTTTTTTTTTTTTTTTCAAGTTGACCAGATTCTGATGCCCAAGAAAAGTGATTTACAACATAAAAATGGTGCATAAAAATGACAAAAAGTCAAAAATTGATTATTAAAATATGATTAATTTTGCATAAGGAAATAATATTGAAGTTTTCTTTGGGGCAGAACACGGTACTTGACAGCTCATTGTTATACGAATAATTCCTTTTTCCTATCTCTCAGAAATAAAAAAATTAAAAAATATACCTGCCGGCTGAGATCCTGGTTGTGGTGCAGGTGCCCTATAGCCTTGCTGTGGTGGAGGTGCACCTTGTGGTTGAGGTGCACCATAGCCTTGCTGCAGTGGAGGTGCACCTTGTGGTTGAGGTGCACCATAGCCTTGCTGCGGTGGAGGTGCACCTTGTGGTTGAGGTGCACCATAGCCTTGCTGTGGTGGAGGTGCACCTTGTGGCTGAGGTGCACCATAGCCTTGCTGCGGTGGAGGTGCACCTTGTGGTTGAGGTGCACCATAGCCCTGTTGAGGTGCACCGTAGCCCTGTTGAGGTGCACCGTAGCCCTGTTGAGGTGCACCGTAGCCCTGTTGAGGTGCCCCATAGCCCTGTGGAGGTGCCCCATAGCCCTGCTGAGGTGCCCCATAGCCCTGAGAAGTTGCACCATAACCTTGTTGTGGTGGGGCACCAGGAGCTGTCCCATACACAAAACACACAAAAACCCAAAACAAAGTTATCCAGAGAAAGAGGAAGGTACTTTTTTATGAATTTTCAAAATATCATAAAAGCTAATTGGGAAGAAAAACAGAAAGCACAAATTGTGGGTGAGCCCAACTGAAGTGGGGACATTCTAAAATTGAGCTTTTGAGTGTTCTGTACCTTCTTTCGGCGAGTGCTGAACATTGGCATAATGAGTGTATCTGAATATTTTTAAAGAAGGGCAGTAGCGTAAGCCCCACCCCCAAAAGAAACCTTGACCTTGCCGTTACTGGCACCTTGTAATGCCACAATTTTTCATTTTGTTACAAAACGTACATATCTAAATGGCATTACAGTTTGAATTTACTGCATTTTGTACATGTAACTGAGGCCTCGGCCATGTGGTGTGATGTACTCATAGTACCCTTGTATGCATGTGCACATGCATGTTGAGGGAACAAGGTTAGCATAAGTTAGCATGGGAGCCTGTGGCCCCTCATAATGGTTACGCCACTGAAAAATTGTAAGAATCATTTTAGGATTAATTACAATCACCTAATTTAATGGCCAAGCGTGTTGTGCCCTTGAGTAAGGCGCTTAACCTCAATTACGCTTTACCTCAGTCACTCTGTTCCTGTGAACACAGGTTCGTTCCCTTTACTTTACTTACTGTTTTTTCTTTTAATGGACATGTAAGGTTTAGGGCCTATCAAACAGAGTTGTAATGACTCGAGTCAATGACTCGACTCGAGTCCGACTCGAGTCACATTTTTTGGCGACTCGACTCGACTCGAGTCCCGACGGGTAAATGACTCGACTTGACTCGAGTCACTGCGAGCAAATGACTCGACTCGACTCGAGTCCCTCATCAGAATAACTCGACTCGACTCGAGGAAGGCTAATAAGACTCGAGTCCCAAAATAAAAGCAAAACTTACTTGCGAAAAATATTTGCAATGACTTACGCTGCGCCGTTCGCGTTGCCAGTTTTTGTTCACGTCACGTTAATGTTCGCGAATAATGTACGTTATATACAGCGGCAGTCTGTTTCCTTCCTCCATAATGAAACAACAAACATACACCGTGTCGCGGACTCCCACCTTGTGGTTCTATAGCATGTAATGCTAAACCCGGAACCAGACTTAAAACGCATTTCTCAATCCGTGGTTTCATTATTGGTTTCGGGCGATTTTGAAGTTCTTGGTGGAACGCTGGCTAAATTCATGTCCCGATTTCACACACAAAAATGGATACGGACGGGCCCACCTTTAAATAATCAGAAACAGTTTTGTATAATGCAATTAGGTTTTAACGTTGTCAGCGATCAGCGAACAACAAAATGTAGACCCGAAGCCAAACCAGTTATAAGACCGAAGTTTCACATCTTCTTATCTGTGACGTGAGCTAGCAATGGAAACTGTTGGTTGGGTACCATACAGCATACTTTATGTCTTTGGATTTCCGTAATAGACTGGTGCCTTGTATTCTTTCTCTCTTGTGTTTGTTGCTTTTTATTGTAATTAAGTGTTCAAATATTTGTGACTCGAATTGACTCGAGCTAAATACTTAACTCGACTCGACTCGACTCGACCACACTCTGTGACTCGACTCGACTCGACTCGACCTTGTTGACCTAATGACTCGACTCGACTCGAGTCACTTCTGTAAAATGACTCGACTCGACTCGAGTCACAAAAATCAGTGACTCGTTACAACTCTGCTATCAAATCATGGGAGTCAGATTGGCACAGTGGTAAACTATTCTCGCCTTCCTCCGCTATGGCCCGGGTTCAATTCTTTCCCAGACCACATGTGGATTGGGTTTTCAGTCCCTGCCTGGTTCCGTGGGTTTTCCTCAGAATAATCTTCTGGGGTTTTCCTCCCACCTCTAAAACTGTAATTTCTTCTCATTGCCTCCTCTCTACAGGTTTCTTCAGGCTTTCGAGTTATGTACGGTGCCTAGGGCACTTTTTAGGAATCCTTGGTTTTTTAGCAGAAAAAAATTAAATAACTAATTAAATAAAATAAATCACATGGCTTAGTTTGGGTTAAAATTTCTAATTAGCCCAAGAAAAAAAAAAAAAATCTTTCTCGTCCAGGCTTAAATAAAAAAGACAATCTATTGACACAATTGCTAAATATATTACAAATGTATGAATTAAAAAAAAGAAAAAAAAAGAGGTGGGCGGAAAAAAAACAAACAGGCGGGGATGAGAAAGTGCTTTTATTTTTGTTTACTTCGCCATAGCAAACTTGACACTTACGTGGGTAACCTTGTTGTGCCATTATTTTCTTTCCGTCTGAAAAAGGAAATCTGTGTGACTAGCTGCTTGTGGTGATCTGAATGCCAGAAAGAACAAAAAATAATGTTACAAAGTCAATCTATCTATCCCTTATTGTTAAAAGGCGGGGGGGGGGGGGGGGGAGGGGGAGGGTAAGGAGGTTTCTAACCTCCAATATTTTTTCACGAGTGCCCTTTATATTTTCAAAATGAGATATCGATCAAAAACTCAAACCCAAAAACTGAATCTAGGGAAACAAAAAGCAGTCCTTTGATTGTTGAATTGCTTATTGTTGAATTGCTTATGGGTTAATTGTTGAAGTAGTACAGTTCAATTATAAAACCCAGAAATGTTTCTTTTCTTGGCAATGACAGATCCAACACTCGCGTAAATTCACAGGAAGCCCAACAAGTAAGTGATTTACCTATGGGCAAAATTATACATGGTTATATGTAGCGGATCAAAAGATAAAATGCTTTCGCTTGTATTTACCCGAGGGAAGCGCGTGGCGTTGTATACAATGCCACGTTCACAGGTCTAGGGAAACCCCAGCGCAAAAAAGCTCATCAAATGTCGAATTCCGATGTGCCCTGGCACAAAATGCTCATCGGAATTCGACGATCTGTGATGAGGTTTTTGCGCGGGGGTTTCCCAAGCTTGTAACTTAATGTTACTGCATGGAGGAATTCTACTAGTCTGAACTAGGACTCTACGAATCGCCTTTTTTAATGCAACCCGACCATCTCCAAATGTTAAACTAGAACGGCGAAGCCGCCATGGCTCGCTGTCCAAGGCAGGAAGGGAGGCTTAAGGTAGGGTTCGGGATGGGCATGATGGAAGGGGATCAGGATTCTTGTTGATGTGCCTAGGTGTAGGGGTCAGTTATTAAATGTCAACATAAAAAGTTAACAGATTACCTAATAAATACATGTGTATATAAGTTAGCCGTCACTGTATTATGGGGGAGTTTTCCATTGTTAGGGTAATTAGGACCCAGTTGTGGATTTGTGCAGCCCCAACAGTGTCTTCTGCTCCCCATACTTGTATTACCATGGGAAAACTCTTGTGTAGTCGCCACAAATGCAGAACAAGAATGGGTATACATGTACATGTAGACACAGCACCATCACCACCTCCCCCAAACCTTACCCCATCCCCAACCCGCCCCCTCCCCCACCCAACCCCCTACCCACACCCATTCCATCCTCCCCTAACCATCCCCACCCTATCACCTACACATCCCAACCCCACCCAAACTCCAATCCCTATCTCCTTCCCCCTCCCCTGACCCGTACCCTCCCCTACCCCAACCCCCTACACCCACCTACCCTATCTTCCCATATCTATCTTCCCAGACGGACGGAAATTGATATTACGTACATTATAGGCTCGCATCTGCTTCGCAGCTCGCCAAAAAGGCGATTCGAAGAGTCCTAGTTACTAGGACTAGAGGAATTCTACCTCCATTACTGCACTGTACTTCTAGAATTAGAACTAGAAGGCTTGAAGTTCAAGCCCAGTTCTAATTCTAGTAGAACTAGAACCTGCACTGCAACCACCATGCTGCAAATGCAATGCTGCAACTAAACTATAAAAAAATTCTTTTATCGTAATCATGCAGAAATATATTCTGGATCATAACACACAAACACACCACTTTTGGGAGAACATGAAAACTGTCATTATGAATTATTCTGACGAGAAAACTCACTTTTTTTAAGCTATTAATTACTAGCCCTAGTCTATCAGTATCACTATGGCCTAGACCCCCGCATGACTAGACTGTACTGAAGCAGTAGACTTTGTGCTTTTGGGCGTTAAATTCATTCTCATGTTTAACATGTAGTTCGCACAAGGTATTTTTGGCATTTTTATGCAGTTAAGATTCGAACTCAACTACACGCAACATTACATGAGCAACCTGCTTGACAAAATGTACACAAACTGTGTTGTTTTTTCTGTTTGGATGTAGAGATACGCATTTATCATTTTTTTTATGGGTTTTTTTTGTACATGTACTTGAAAATGAAAGATTATATCCAAAGTCGAGTTGTAATCTTTTGTTGACACAAATCATGCGACTGCAATTAAAGGGAATGTACATCATTGGTTTTCGATGTAATTTTCAGAAATGAACTATTTGAGGGGTTAGTATATAGATCAAATATTGTTACACTGACATTTTTGAAGTTTTGTGTTCGAAAAGGTTGGAAAAACCAAGAAAAACACAAATGTTTAAGTAGTCTGGTTCCCTGACTCCACAAAAGATAAAATGGATCAATTTATAGATGATGGAAAATTGTAGGGCACGGGAACCAGTCTAGCTGGCCTGCACCCGTTCATGAAACATGTAACCAATAGCAAACAAAATTTGGACTGAAAAAATGGTTAATTTGGAGCAGTAGTTCAAGAATAGTTAGGTTTTTTCCAACGCTGGTCGGCCGACCACCGTTGGAAATGTATACAAAAATACCATTTTCTTGAAAAAGACTTCACACCAGGTGCCATAATTTTACAAAATGCTTGAGACTATCATTTACCAACATCCTAGTAAGGTATTTCGTAAAAACTTGGTAGTTTTATTTTTCGATGTTTGCAAATGTTGTATATTCCCTTTAACTACCAAGTGTTGACAATAAATACATTTCTCCAATTCTTTTGCATCAGGAATACTAGTCTTTTCCATTTCTGTCTGTAACCCAATGTTCACTTCCAAATAGCAGGAACCAATTCCATTAATTAACTCCTTTTAGGAAAACAAATTCAGTTTCAGCAATTCAAGATTAATATATGCACACACAACAACTCTGTTTTATTTCATAAAGTAAATTTCAAGAATGAGAAGCAATGCAATTTCCGTCAACACATGATCAGGATCCTGTAGACTTTATTTTTAGCGGAGGAAAATATTTTTGAGAACGAAGCATCCATATCCATGTTGGAAAATAACAAAGGCAGAGGCAACGTGAGTTGAATGGGGAGCAGGGGAAAAATGTCTAAGTCCGAAGTAGGTGCCGGGAAGTGGATACGCGGATTTTTTGCGCGGGGGTTTCCCAAGCTTGTAACTTAATGTTACTGCATGGAGGAGTTCTACTAGTCCGAACTTAGCCCCATAAATGTGGCCTATTTACTGGACTACCTCCGTAAACATAGGCCACACATCCACATGTACAAAAACGTGTTACACTTTGCCAAATTTTGATTTTCACATTTAGGCTTAGCTTGTAGGGGTTTTTTTTTGCTTTAGAAGCATACTCACCCTCTTTATAGGCTAATCAGAAAGTGCTGCCTTTTTCAGATGACTAATTTTTGTGAAATTTCATGTTGAAATTTTGATACGCAAACGTGTGCAAATGAATCTGGAAATTTCACGAAAAATAGACATCTGAAAAAGGCAGCACTTTCTGATTAGCTTAAAGAGGGCGAGTATGCTTCTAAAGCAAAAAAACCCTACAAACTAAGCCTAAATGTGAAAATCAAAATTTGACAAAGTGCGACACGTTTTTGTACATGTGGACGTGTGGCCTATGTTTACGGAGGTAGCCTAGCTAGTCCAGAAAATTGGCCACATTTATGGGGCTAGTAATTGTAGTAATACTAGTATAAAGGCTAAGCGCAAGTTTAAAAAAAAATTCTTTAATCGTACATGTAATCATGCAGAAATATATTCTGGATCATAACACACAAACACACTACTTTTGGGGAACATGAAAACTGTCATTATGAATTATTCTGACGAGAAGACTCACCTTTAGCAATTAATTACTAGCCCTAGTCTATCACTATGGCACGGCCCACCGCACTCGACTCACATGACTGAAGTATGAATGTAGACTTTGCAGCGCTTAATTTTGGGCGTTCAATTCATTCTCATGTTTAACATGTAGTTCGCACAAAGTATTCTTGAATTTTTTATGCAGTTAAGATTCGAACTCAACTACACGCAACGTTACATGAGCAACCTGTGTAAAGTGCTTGACAAAATGTACACAATAAACTGTGTTGTTTTTTCTGTTTGGATATAGAGATACGCATTTATCTTTTTTTTTCTATGGGTCTTTTATACTTGAAAATGAAAGATTATATCCAAAGTCGAGTTGTAATCTTTTGTTGACACAAATCATGCGACTGCAATTAACTACCAAGTGTTGACAATAAAGACATTTCTCCAACTTTCTTTTGCATCAGAAATACTAGTCTTTTCCATTTCTGTCCAACAATTATTTTCATAGATCCAAATTTACAAATTAATGACAAACAAAACAATGCATTTAAGCTCTTGTATTCACCTTTTTTGGCACTTAAACATTTCTATTAATATTGGAATGCGGCAAGTGATTTTTTTTCTTATTAAATGGGGAACTATTTTTCCTTTCTTTACTTTAGTGGATAGCAAAGCAATTATGCGGTAAAAACAAAAACCTAAAAAAAAGACAAAAACCACAAACAAAATGGATGCGAATGCCAACTATAGTATTTTAATGCTTTACAACTTTATCTCAGTAGGCCTAATGAAGCATTGCTTATAATTACACAGACAATTAGTTTTATTTTAACAATGCAAATAAAGGTGTAATATTAAAAGTTGAAAGACAAAAGGCTTTAAAAATAATACATTGATTTTTATAGAAATTTAGGTTTCACTATACTAGTTTTTTTTATGAGGTACAAACAAATGAACGACTTTTTCGGATAAAAGTAAATTTTCCTTCTTCAGGCTTATATTTCGGAATAAAGAAATATTTTTAAAGAATTTTTTTCTATTATTAGAGATCACTGGTAAAAGTTCCGCCAGACCCTCTCAAATCAAGGGCGAGTCCAATGCGGAAGAGCGAGTCAAGGCATGGTACAACCATTTCAAAAACCTTCTCAGGGCTGAACCAGTGGTGCTGGACGTACAGTCTGAAGTTGAGCGCGTTTTCGAAGACCTAGACATCGAGGATGGGCCATTCACAAGGGAAGAGTATGACAATGCAAAAAAGTCACTGAAGGGAGGAAAGAGCAGTGGTGTGGATGGAGTTGTCCCGGAAATACTTAAGTATGTCCCCATTGACGACATCGTGCTTGGCTTCATCAACAGTGCTTATGAGAATGGGGAACTTCCGGATCAATGGAGCACCCTCAACATCATCCCTGTTCCAAAATCCGGGGACCTTACATCCACCGACAACTTCCGGGGCATCAGCCTGAGGTCTGTCATGGCAAAAACATTTAACCGGATGGTTCTCAACCGTATCCACCCTGCTTTAGACCCTCTCCTAAGAACAGCTCAAAATGGTTTTCAACTGTGGGTCAAATCATTGCACTTCGTAGGATCATCGAGGGCGTCAAGAGCAAGAATCTTCCTGCTGTGATGACGTTCATAGACTTCAAAAAGGCTTTTGACTCAAGCCTGCCTTTATTGCGATGTCACATTAAAAAAAAAAAAATTGGTTTCGTTTTTTTTGGGGGGGGGGGCCATGCCCCCCCCCCCTGGATCCGCCCTTGAACAATGTAAGTGTGGGCAAATAATAAGCCAACCAAACTGAGGACAATAAAACTGAGGTCACAAAAAAATAGGTTAAACAAAATTAATATACGTTTACAGGAATTAAATATTCTAAAAGCCCAGATATGAGGGTAGATATGGTGAAAGACAACACAGTAATTTCCAACAGATTTTGTTGATCCGGATACTCCCTCAAGAATCCGCTGTGGAAATAGATGCCCCTCTTAACTCACACAAAAACACACCCTTGATTGCGCCGTTTTGGTCCAGCACACGTGAGCAACAACACGTGCACATCTCCAAATGCCCAGTGTGGCCAATCATCAAAATTTGAAAATCCTGAGATGACTGCAGAAAAATTACAAAGAGTTCCCAAGATATATCAGCATCATGTATCCAAAAAGCAGCACGGACCCTATTTTTCATTATGAATGGGGCGCACAGAGTGCTTCAATTAAAATTGTGCACATGCACAATCCATACTTTCGTGTGTTTGAATATGCAAACAAATCCCACAGCTCAGCGAAACGTTCCCAAGACCTGGCCAAAATTCCCCAAGATCTTGGGAACAATCCCAAGGAGTGTCCAAGCTGCTTACTGCATGTTCTGGACTTGTACGTCTTGTAAGAGTGCATGCATGTCAGACTTAAATCACGGTTGTGATTGGTTGAAACTTCATGGGGCGGAGCTAAGCATTAGAGACACACTCTCGGAAAAAATGGTTCGGATAACATTGTTAACTTATTTCTTATGATGGGACTGCGGTTTGGCCGAAGTCAATTGAGCGTGATCGGCTGACTGATAAGGTTTACGTACAAAACCCCAAGACAACGAGGTTTTTGTATAGAAAGCTGCTGGACCACATTTTGCGAGAGTGTGTCCGTAATGCTTGAAGCCTGCCGGTAATGCTGAGCCTGCATACTGCCAAAGTTACCAGTGGCATCCCTACATGATTTTCTCGTGCAAATAGGACCCATTTTGGACCCTAATTTTATCAAATCTGCTCTTAGATAATAGCCCAAAAGCTAGGGAGATGATCCTCGGCTATATTCGCACGATTCCACCCATTTTTAAACTAGACGGTCTCGTGTTTTGCAAAAAATTGTGGGGGCACTTTTTATGCAAATTAACGACGCGGACGCGTAGAAATTTTGAAACCCTAATCAAATTTATTGCGCCCGCTGTTGGTCTTATTGCGCCATTCTGATATATCTTCTGTTTAGCCCCCCCCCCCCCCCCCCCCACAGCCACCCCCCCCCCCCACCACCACACCGAAAAATAATGGTAATTAAATACTGTTAAAAATGTGCTCGTTTATTCAGAAATTCATGAAGCATATTCAAACTGATTGGATGTTTCCAAAGTGTCTTTCCCATTTGCAAAAGTTCTTTTTAAAAGCCCATCAAGTGAATCGATCTCTTGTGACGTTTTCTTTACCGGATGGTCTTGTCATATGAGTGTGCAGTCATCGCAGCAGTCAAAACAATAAATCCATTAAAATACCTTTAAATAAGGGAATAAATATGTACTTTAAAATAAATATGTTTAAAACCGGCTCGGGGCCTTATATGGAGATTGGCGTGTGTGAGACGCGTAATGCGCAACAGTGGCGCAGAACGCGGCAGTGCCAGAAAAAGTGTTTAAAATCAGTATAGGTGTTTTATCAATCGTTTCAAACCACCCACGTGACAGGCTCTCAACCAATATGAATGGGTAAACTGTCCTAGGTATTTATGAATATGTGATATTACTTAGTGACACAAAACAACAAATACTGAAATAGGCTATGGAAGTCTTGATGTGGTAATATGGCATATAGGTTTGGCAAGTAAGTGATTTCCAAGATGTTTAGTAATTTATGTGTGGATGTAGTCAGTAAACTAACTTTGTTCTGATAGTATTAATGAAAAAGCTACAATTGATATGAATTAATGTTCTCTCCGTCTCTAGCAGGCACTTTTTTTAGCAAAATAATTAGCTTCTGGCCTAAGTGTGGGCAAAGCCAAAGCGTAAATCCTAATTTGTGCAGTGAATTCTGATGTGACCCTAGACCCAGTAAGTGGGGCGCTAGAACTACTTTTTTCCTTCTTCGAATTTTGACTTTGGTCGGTCGCAGGTTCCACCGACCAAAGTCAAAATTTAAAAAAAAAAGAGTTCTAGCGCCCCAGTTGCCGGGTCTAATGTGACCCATGACAAGTCATCAACATATAATACCGGATGCCTGCTCCTGTTCTTGTATATCCAGGCCACAATACTAATGTTTTTCTGCTAGTCCAGGTCAAACTCAGTAATGAGCCCCCAATACTTGACTGCCTCCGTAGCCTTGGCCTAATCACCCAACTGCCACATGTGGAAAAACATGAAGGTAAAAAAACACATGCTTTTCCAGCTGTGACACAAATGAGTTCTACAACTTTATTTCCGGTATGGAACTGAAGCACAATTGCCTCCTTAAATAAAGGAAACTAATTTAGGCATTCCCACATAACTTCTGTCCATGTCGTTTCCAGATGGAATTGTTTACACATCTTGACATAAAAAAAATTCCAACATTTCGTATGGACAGTAATGACGGAAACTGAACATCCAGAAATGGCCAACTTATAGTTTAAATGGAAAAAATTCCATACTGGGCCACCACTCAGAGCTCCTGCACAAAGTCTATGGGCCATGACAGAACATTTTAAAGTATTATCAAAGAATTTTTGCACTCTTTATACAGTGTTCCTTCATCAGATTTACAACTTTTGGTACTTTTCAGGTCACATTGAGGAATATGAGTGGTGGCCCAGTATGGAACTTTTTCCGTTTAAATTCTTTCACTTTCCTTTGGAAATTTACAAGGAAATTGAATTGAGGCAGTCCAGTACTGAGGCCCCATTTATGGTGCTTGAATTGATAAGTGAATAGTATTACTGGAAGTAAAACTTGCCTTTAAATTATGCCAGATAAAATTTGACATCACAAACCCTGCCGGAGTCACTTCACAAGCGCTGGTATCATGACTGATGTCGCAGTGCAGTGCATAAATTAAATGTGGCATGCACGCACAAAATGACCACGCCATAGCCAGCGCATACAGTAACTCAGGTTCACTGCCACCACCTAGGTGCAGCATCATCCATTATGCATTAGCAAACGAAAAATAGCGTGGATATTGAGGACTGGTTGGCATGGCAGCAGTGAAATTGATCAAGCAGCGTGCACAACACCGCACTTTACGCTTCGCGGCTTTTTTGACCCAAGTTAATTTATTTGCGTTTAGAACGTACAGTTGATGTATATCTGTTGAGGGCGCTGTGCGCTGTAGACGGTCTCGAGCAGTTTGCGTATGGCACGTGTATAAAATTGATCAAAAATTTGAGGGGTATTTGCTGGCTTTAATTTATTTGATAAATTGCAGGGACATTTTCATTTACTCTTAAACAAATCAAATAACACCCATCATTTTAGCTGAAGACCTCTCTGCCTTGTCAGTGCAGCAATGTTGGGAATTACTTGAAATGGGCGCGTTTTGGACCATACCCGTTGAACTCCATTGTTGACCACACCCCCAAAAAACACCCATATTAAAACCCACTCTTTTTAAGATTAAGAAAATGAGGTTCCAAGCGTATTAAATTTGGAAACATCAGGTGTAGTTACTGCTTGGTTTTTTTTTTTCAATCTAAAGGGCTTTAAATCTTGTGCATTATTTTTGTTGATTACTGATTTTGACTTTATGACTCAGTGTCACGGGTCCGCTCTATTAAGTCCGACGCCTCATAGGTCCGACGCCTCATAAGTCCGACAAAATCCCCTAGCTAACCAAATAAAGGCCCATGTCCGACGCCTCAAAGGTCCGACGCCATAAGTCCGTCGCCTCATAGCTCCGACGCCTCGTAAAACCGAAAAATTAAACGCCTCGTTTTTCCGTTGTCGGACTTATGAGGCGTCGGACCTATGAGGCGTCTGACTTATGATAATTATGATACGGCCCCAGGCTCCCAGCGTCACAGCCGTGAAGAAGCAAAGATGAAGTTGAGGCAAGGCAAGTCGGCCGACCGCCTTTCAGCCGGCCGGACTTTGATACAATATGGCGATTCCATCTTCAAACACTGAGTTGCTGACGAAGAAAAAAAATCAAGTGAAAAAAGGATCGGGGATTCAGTTGATCATCCTTTGTCGAATTAATTGAAGACGGTCAGAGAATGCTCATCGAAACGTTTTAACTAGGCCTACTCGATCCTCGTGTCTTCAGGGAGTCACGGTAAATCATCTACATTTTTATTTATTTACTCAGTTATTTGTTTCCAGCGAGCGCCAATGTAAAATGACCTCACACTCTTGGATTTTGTGTTTTTGGGACAGATTGCTTTTTGCAGGGGCCGGGGGGTGGGGGGGGGGGGGGGGGGAGTAGACCACTGATCTCTATATAAAGACCCGCAACCTCAAAGACGTTAAGCGAATGAAACAAGTTTAGGTCTTGCCTGCAGTTGTGGTGCGGTTCCCGACGTACTGTGCTGATTCCTTTTCGCACGCACGCTTGAGAACCAGACTAAACAGAACTAACGCGTCGCGTAAATTTACACACGCATCGTGCTTTTGCAGTGAGCATTTCTGTCCGTCATGTCCGTCTAGAATTTGACGAAAATCTACGTTTTTAAACTTGCAGCTATCTTGTGGTACAGACGAGGAGGTTTATTTCTACTTCACCCTTTTCTATAGCAGCAGAATCTGAGGGAATTCATGGCAGAACTTGACCAAGGTGAGATAAGTTTGGAAGAAAATGGTTATTCGGATTGTTGCAGTTCGCACATTTTCCGTTTTCTGCTGCATGCAGTCTGGGGATTTCCACATACATGACATAATGTGTTCTTTTGTCAAGTCGCCCCATATTACCATTACACTGTTATGAATATGAATGAATGTCGGTCACTACGGCACCAGGGGGGAGGGGGAGGGGGCTTGCCAGGTAGTGCCACCACTGTGGACGTATCTCATTCCCTTCGTGGATCATGTGGATAGTCCCATAAATGTGACGGAAAATACTGGACTAGCCTACCTGGCGATCGTGAAGTGTAGGGCCCCTGTTTTGTTTTGATCAAATAAGAGTCAAAAATGTTTTTTTATTGCTCAAAAATCACCTTTACAATCAAAAGCAGACTTTTCTCAATTCTAATGACACCCGTTTTGCAATTTTGAACTTGGCCTAGCTGGAGTTACCAAGCCCTAAATTTTATCATTGGGTTGTCATTTAGGGTTGGAGGAAGTTTCTCACTTGGACCTGCAGCATTGGCAGGTCCAAAAAAAATGTGCAATTTTGTCCCCGAAACACACTAATTTCAACTGGGACTCATCCAAACCTTGCCTGGCGATATGGCATAACCATTACACAGGTCCTTGGAAGATGAAGATTCAGCCTACAATTGCAGTGAAAAAAAAGAGGCATAACCGACAGCCGTGCAGCCATGATGATGCCCTGAGCTAGATTTGTGCACAAACAAACTGTAAAGCGCTGTCGATTACCATCCACACACAGCGAACCACCAGTCACACTTGCCAATTGCACGGCGCGGCGTGGCATGGCGCTGAAGCGCGCACCCTACGACTGTTTGTCGGCCAACTTCGGCTGCCGTTCTACCTCTGCCGTGATGACTCATAGTTAGTGCAGCAGTAGTGCAGAGGGCTTCAAAGATTTTGGAATGACAGGCAACAGCCGCCGTGCGTTTTGCCAATAGATTCATGGTTTATCATCATTTCTGCAACAACTGACCTTCATTGAGATGATATATGAAGAAAAAAACAGCGTCAGGTTGCAATATTCTTTCCTCCTCGTCTGCTTTCAAATAATGGGGAGAGTTTGTGTATGCGCCCGTACGCGTACTGTAAATATCGGAGGGAAAAAACGTTGCATCCCGACATCACTTTTTCCATCATAAAATACCATCTCAATGGAAGTCAGTTAATGCTGAAAAGACTTGAGTTATGAAATGAGAAACATTTCGAATTTTGTTAAAAAAATACTTTATGTGTACAGTACATTCTTTCCTATCGGAGGTGAAAAGTAAGATTTAAACAACATAGAAGACGGGACAGTTCAGGAAGTTTATGAGCACTCTCTTTTCCGATTGAAAAACATGATAAGAACCACGATAATTCAGCGTCCCAAGGACAAAATGCAGCACTGCCATGACTGCACCTCACTTTCTGTGTTGCTCCGTGAATGCACAAAAAATCCATAATTATTTGCATGGCATCAACTAGAAATTGAGTAAGAAAATTACAAAATGTCATATAAAATATGAATTCTAATCCAAGAAGATGTCTTAAAGGTGCTGAAATCATTTTGAATCAATTAACCCTTACCCTACTTGACCCTCCAATGCATGCCAATATGTGCCTCAAGAAAATCTCCTATGTTTTTTGCATGGCCCTCCAATATCTGCCATGTCATTTCAAGGGTAACTGGACAGGCACTCCAATACATGCCACAGAGAACAATGAGAGTCCTCTGATAACAATCAAGTGCCCCCAGCTGGTCAGTATCAGGCACCCTCCAGGGCCTCCAACTCCTGCCAATTGGAGCCTTCACTGTTAAGACTTGTTATCTGCCAAAAAACTGCAGCTGGAGGGCATTGGCATAACCAACTGACATGCAGTAAACTACCCTCAGAGAGTAAGGGTTTTAAAGATTCTCCAAGAACTACATGTATTAACCCTGACCTCCCCAACTCCATCAAAATCCGTCCCCCCATTTTGGTGGACTTGGTCCTGCAGGCGTGGTTTGACTAAATATGATGGAGTATGATGGACTTAGGCCAGGAGGCCTAAAGCAAAGCATGCATTGGAAGCAGTGTGATTGATGGATTTTGGCAGACGTTAGGGTTAAGAAAGAGGGGGCCTGTCAGTTTTACTTCACAATCGCCTAAAATAAGTGCCCAAAACAATTGCTTTTCTTGTTTAGGGATAGCAGTACATAGCACTTTTTCATTTTGATAATCTCAAATTTCAACTCTATCATGTCTTCAGTTGTGAGAATGTAAACTTACCTGAAAACCAAAATGTTGGTAAATTTTATGGCAGGAATGCAATATCTTAATGTCTTTTGTTAATGACTTTATTACTATCCTATGTTTAAATCTCTCTCTCTCTCTCTCTCTCTTGAGTCATCCAATGCCTTGAGGCGTTGGTGAAGTATTCACGAAGTCCGTTCGTGAAAAAAATCTTTCTTACTGCAAACAAATTTTGTGTTATTAAAAGAGAGATAGATGTTGTTTACATCATACCATGGTCTCTGATGGAGCCATTACAAAAATGTTTTTATAGTTCCATGATCATACCTGTACATGTATGTTGATATGAAAGACCAGAATATTTTTAATATACTAAAGCAACTTTTAGAGTCTATACAATTTCTGAGCTGTTATAATGAAATTGGAAACATTTCTAGCTCCCAAATCCATTTGTTATCAACATATTTACCATCACTAAAGATATTAATTTAAGGGTGAAAAAGATGTGTTCAGGATCCTACAGTCTACTCCCAGGAAATATCAGGAAGGTTTTATATACAAGGTTTAATACATTCCATGCTTAACTGTTTTCCGACTTCTGTGAAATGTGTCTTGTCAAAGTCTTTAGTTGATAAACTTTAGCTAGTGAATATTTAGGCCTAAAATGTAGGCCTGCATGTAAGAATCATCGGTTATGCTTGTTTTCACATAAACCTTATGCCGTGCAGGTGCCTCAGCAGTTGTTCTAATATAGGGACTTATCAAATTATTTGATAATTATGAAATCATTTAGGTAAAAAAAGAAAACTCCTGGCAGAGACGTTTTAAAACAATTTGGTTAATCAAATTTTTTTTTAATAAGTGTGAATTTATTCACAATCGGATTTTTTGCACACGTACATTTAAGTCAGGATTATTCCTTGAACCACACGGAGTAAAACATATAAGGGAACATCAGTCCATTTTTACACCAGTTGAATTTGATTTCAATTCCATAGCATTGTCATACTGTACCGGTACGTCTCTTCAACAGTTGCTTACATTCAAAATCAAATCAAGTCGCTTTAATACAATGGTTATCGTACAAACATACAACAGTACTCGGAGCTAAAAATATAGGTACATAATTCTACACATTGCATATTTGGCGTGTATTCCTTTTAAATTACTGAGAGCTTCATCAAGACCTCCCCCCCCCCCCCCATATTAAAGACCAAAAGGTCACCCGTCCACAGATTTTCAATATTGAATTGAGAGAGCAATATTTCTTGCATTTGTTGTCAGAAACGTTTTTGATCATTGAATTGAGGTTATCCAGAGATCAGATTTCATTGCACATACACATAGGCACAACCGTTCCTGGCTGCCGCCCCAAACATTTATCCATATGCTATTTTTGTGATTATAATAATAATAATAAGGTCGGCTCGGGTCACATGTCTCTCACGGCTATGTTGATTCAATACCCTACCCTCACGCACACGTTCCCAACAGCCATGTGTGATTCCTGCGTGTGAAGGCAGCATGGGTCAATAGCGTCCACAACCGCACCGTTTGGTGTCGAGAGCTGTTCATATATTTGCCCAGTTCCCGGGATAATTTAGAAGAGGGACTCGCTGTCATAAAATATGGGTCTGTTGGAGGTACTCTAGAGCACCTCTCAGCCCATTTTGGAGGGTGTTTGCTGGATCCAAAGTCAACTGGCGTGTCTTGTCTCTGGAAGTAGTTGCAGTGTTCGTTGCGTGCAGTTGCAGTGAATGGTTTTGACAGAGAGAGATTCGAACTCTAGCATGTAAGTAGGGATTTGAAGCGGCATTTGATTTGGTGATTGATTTAAATGTTAGTATTGTTTCTGGAAATTCTGGTTCTGGCATTCAGTTCGTGAGTACACCTCCAAAAAGTTTTTGACTTGTTGTTAACATTGGTACATGTATACATGCATCCAACCTACGGTATGTTACATACATGTTCATGTGATTATGACTAAAGAAGGGAACTACAACATTGTAATGAATGTCCGACTGTACCATATGTTAAAGGGGCACATCGTCCTGAGATCTCTGAGATGGTTATGTTTAAGATTGTCCTATTTCAAAGGTCAGGTTGAAAGGAAACTATAATCTAGTGTCGCACTGTTCCTGAGAAAAGATCCCCAAAAACCCTGGCTGTTTACATCTGACATCTGGCGGTCATTTTGTGGCATACGCATACATTGTATATTTCCAGCCATAAGTATAGGTCTCCTTGGATGTTGCCCCCAGCTTCTGTGTCCGAGGATGTCAGACGATTCAACTTACGGTACACGTCATACACGTCATACACGTCGTACATGTACAAGTGCACACAGCACCAATATCCACATGTTGTTTCCCATGTCCGCAGCATGCTATCCATTTCGTCAGTAAAAACGTCATACACCCGCGCGCGCGCACCACTGATTACTGGAGCCTATTGGATAAACGCTCGAGTTGCGTTAACTTACGGTTCCATTCGTGCTACATGTATGCTACACCGTGTGAAGTACGCATGGTGAGATGATGCCACACTAACGAACCAGGTACACTTGTGGAGCATACGCGACTGGATTAGCACTCAAACAGTTGGATTTTTGAGAGTCAAAATTTTGACCCCCAAAATTCATTCTCGCAAGAATAGCACACTAACGGCCAATTTTTAAAGGATGGTTGTGTGGACATTTATCTTGCTTTTGAATGTTCTTTCCAGTTACTATCGTTTTGTTTAAAGCACACTTTGTAACCCAGTTAGGCACTTTCCTGGACGTTGTGTACATGTACCTTTAATGTGCACTTGTACATATTTCCTCTGATGTTGTTTTGCATGGAAATGATCAGGTCAGAATTTCATCTTAATCTAAAAATGTACAATGAACAGTTCATTTGGACAAACATCTGTATCATTTAGGAAAAATATTTTATTACATTTGGGACAAAATAATAATAACAAAATCCAATTAAACACGTTAACGGCATCATCTTGACTGCAATGTTGTGGGCATTGGCACATTTTTTTTCCCGAGTAAAATAGTTTCAAACAAACAAAGTTTATGATTCTTTTAAAATAAAAAAAGCAAATTATTTAACAATAGTATAAGAATTATTTTTTTTACAGTATCCCTAGATACATTGTACAATAATAAAATTGAAAAATTATTAAAACAAGATCATCCAAAAACCAAAAAAAAACATTACAGTTCGGATTTAAGTTAAGCAGTAAAAGTTGTTCTGAGTAAAGCAAATCGGTAAAAGTAATCTAAATGTCCAATTCGATTAGTAAGAGTAAATTGAGTTGCAGAATTGAACACATTACATGTACATTGGGCCTAATGATGTACAAAAACAAAACATCTCTTTTAGTTTTGAATTGAATCACTACCTGTAACTGGAATTGTATGTACATGGTATACTGCATCACGCTATATATAAATTGTGACCTAATGCGTTGAAATGAGAAATTAAGCTACAGAAATACATTTGGTGTCATTGGAAAGCCAATGATTTGCACTTTGCCTTTAACATGACGCATAGCTTGAAAATACAAAGGTGGGGGTTATGCCCCCCCCCCCCCCAAATATATACATGTAGTTCTGCTTCTGGTTACCCTATGGAACCTACCCTATTTTGACAGCCCTACATGTACCTTAATTTTGGGGGGTGGGGGAGAAATTAGGAAAACAAAAATGAAAACCATCAATTACTAACTTTTACTGGGGTACCCTTGACTATACACGCATACATCTCCATATGATGGCACACACACAAAAATGCCCCCTCCCCCAAACAAAAAAGTATTTTCTCCCTACCTTCCTACCCTATTTTTCAAATGCCATGTAATCGGAAACAGCGTTTCTTTTGTGTTATTCCTCATTATGATGTGGCAGGTAACAATTGTGCAACATTACCTTGGCGCAACAATGGGTTACTTTTGGTAACAAGGTTACCGGTACTTCTTTTCAGAAAGAAATTGTGGGTCTCTCTATTCAAAGTCACCCTTGACCACAAACAAGTGCATTATACGGATGACAAGCTCTGAAAGGGCACTCTGAAAAGTTTGCAGACCAGACTAATCTGGCTTTGTGATTCTGAAATGGAGTATGAACAAAGTGAGAAAAAAACTTATGGGAAATTTTGAAGTGGGCATCTTTTTTTCGCAGGAGTTATGAAGTTGAAGAATGCTAGTATTATGTAAGAAAAAGGAGAGAGTTTTGTTTGACCTGGATTAAGTGGTTAAATATGTAAGGCCAAAAAAAAAAAAGTTTCCGGTTTCTGGTATGCGCGCGCGTCGGCAAAATGAAAAAGGTTTTTTTTTTTCAATAAAAGATGATGTCTCAAAACCGCCAAACTCACTGGTTTGACTGTAATCCTGCTGCTGCACAATTTTAACGTGTTTTTAGATGGGGTTATGATCGAGAATAAGTTTTATGTGGCCTCTCCGGACTCCCATATATTTGCACTAAGTTTAGTCGGGTACCATTTGCAGTCATCAGCCGATATTTGAAGCAAAGAAGACAGGTAAAAAAAAAAAAAAAAAGCCGCGTCGCCGCACCACTTTTTGGGCAAGCTCCATACCAGAAACCGGAGACTTTTTTTGTGGCCTAAAGCACCAAGTCTTAGATTAACCCTAACACCCTAGGTCCTTTTTTTCCCAGGAACCATCCTCAATCCAACAAAATCCTTCAAAATGTTGCACTTATGTTCAAATGAAGGATACCCACTGCCTCTAAGTCCTCTAACAGGGGCCTCTCAAAATATGTTCAGCCTCAATCCTCAAAAAATCCTCCTCTTCTTCCAACACCATTCATCCGCAATCCTCCAAAAATGTCCATGTGCCTTAGCAATCCTCCAAAATTGTACGTTGCATTCATCCTCAATCTTCCAAAATCCTTCAAAACTGCCTGGAGGACTTTGGAGGATTGAGGAAGGTTAGGAATAAGAACTGTAAAAATGATTTGCATGCGTACATTTTGTACATGTACATGTACATATACATGTGCATACATTGTATGTACAATGCACATATGTTCAGTACAGTACATGTACCGCTAGGTGTGCTGATCACATTGAGCATGTGGACCTTTGGATTTTTTGTTGTTGAATAATTTGGACTACTCTTGCACAAGTATCATAACTAATCCAACAAAAGCAGTGAACTATGAGTCATTGAGCTGCTATCTTGAATGATTTACAATGTGTGGTCTGTGGCGCGGAACATATAAATTGAAATTAGAATGCACTGTGCAGTGTGCTTTCATTTTGTCTCTTCAATACCATGTGTGTCCCAACCAGCCTAAATATTGGGCTTTGAGTATGAATGGGGCACAGTTTATTCTGATCGTCGGTGATAATGTTGGCAGCCATGACAACAGGCTGGATGGGTTGAAGTATCTGCAGTGTGTACACGAGTGGGCATGCACTGAAGTAGACCCTGGAGTTAAGGTATAAAAAGGCGGGCGTGCACTCAAACCAGTGGTGTGTGGATCAACAGTGCCAGACCACTCCATCTCGCTGTTTAGGGTTGTTCCCCTAGCAGGCCACATATTTGCCTGGCTTGTGTACTCGGCAGACATCTGTTGTGTTTTACATGTAATGCAAGCCAGTATCGAAACCAACTGTCATGGTGACATTTCGCCGAATCCTCTACTGAGATCATTTTCCTATCAATTGATTAATTGCTGATGACTCAGCTGATGTCAGTTTTATGCAAATCTTCGTCGTGTTTTGGTTTTTGAGTTGGTACAGAGAGTTTCTATCATGAAAACTATGGGTCAGGGAGATTCAGCATAAGGGCATGATGGAGAACAAAAAAATCTGACATGTTTGAAATTTTTGAAACAAAGCTGTGTCTAAATATTAACTGTGATGATGTGATGATTAAGATTATCATTTTTGTTTCCCCTTTTTGCAGCATTTGCCAAGTCCGACACGGACATGAAGGAGAACATTAACACCATGCAGGTGGAAGACAGCTCTGGGGTGGAGGAAGGTCAGAATGGGACGGATCTGAGAGGAAAGAAGAGGAGCCTTGAAGATGAGGATGAGGACATGGCGGACGTTAGCGCCGATGGCCAAAAGGCCAAAACCAAGAAGAAAAAACCCAAGCGCGCCCGGGGACCCCCCATGCCCAAAAATGCCCTCATGCAGCTAAACGAGATCAAACCGGGGCTTGTCTTTAAACCGGCGCTACAAGAGGGACCGGTACACGCCCCTAACTTTACAGTGGAGGTTGAGGTCAACAGCCAGACTTATCACGGAAAAGGCCGGTCCAAGAAACTGGCCAAGATGAATGCCGCAGAGGTTGTACTGCAGTCGTTTGTCCAGCACCCGAACCCCTCGGAGGTGCTGAGGGTCGTAGGTCAGCCCATGTTTAACTCCGATTTCACCTCGGACAGTTTTGAGACCCCCAAAACCTTCAGCACCTTCCAGCATCCTGACAAGTCCATGACCCCTCCTCCATTGCCGTCGCCTGGGATAGACTACCCGGCTTCTTCCCCCAACGGGAACAGGATGAGTCTTCTTGTCCCTCCCCCGGGCCCCCACAGTGGGGACAGCACCAAGAACCCGATCATGATGCTCAACGAACTCAAGCAGGGCGTCAAGTTTGACATGACGTCCGAATCCGGCCAGAGCCACGCCAAGAACTTCATCATGGCTGTCACGGTGGACGGCCAGAAATTCCAAGGGTCGGCCAGGAGCAAGAAACTTGCCAAAGCGCGGGCCGCACAAGCTGCCCTGTCCGCGCTGTTCAACATTGCGCCGGCCACGGCACCAGGTCTGCAACCCATTCCCAGCGACGGCCTGCAGCTCCACGTTCCCCAGGTCCTCGCTGACTTGGTCCATTCCCTCGTGGAGGGCAAATTTTCGGACCTGACTAACAGCCAGTCCAGCGGCGTGGCCAGGCGGAAAGTAGCAGCAGGCTTTGTCATGACGAGAGGCGAAGGCATCGAAGATGCTCAAGTAATCAGCATCACCTCAGGCACCAAATGCATCAATGGGGAATACATGTCGGACCAAGGTCTTGCCATCAATGATTCCCATGCTGAGATCGTCTCCCGGCGCTGCTTAGTACGGTATTTGTACTCCCAACTGGAGCTCATCAGCCAAAACAAGGGAGAAAGTTCAATCTTTGTGCCCAGTCCCTCAGGGAAGGGCTACACTCTCCAAGCTGGGATCCAGTTCCACCTGTACATCAGCACCTCGCCTTGCGGAGATGCTCGGATCTTCTCGCCCCACGAGGCCACAACAGGAGAGGACAACCCATCCACAGACAAGCACCCGAACCGCAAGGCCCGGGGGCAGCTGAGGACCAAGATAGAGTCAGGGGAGGGCACTATTCCAGTCAAATCCGGCCCAATTATCCAGACGTGGGATGGCGTGCTGCAAGGGGAACGACTCTTGACAATGTCGTGCAGTGACAAGCTGGCTAGGTAAGCATTAACTCGTTTGCAACTCTTGTTTCTCCATAAAACTCAAACACGGCCGTGCACTACACTCCTCCAGGTAACGGGCACCATTTGCATACTTTCAAAAACTAAACTGTCAACTTTTCATGAAATATCCGTGATCGTAAGCAAATATTAGGACCAAGCATCCTGTGAAATCATTGGGCCTTTCGAGAAAATATGAAATACCATCATTTCCTTACGATGGTTTAGGATCAGACTATCGCCCTTCATCGGAAACCTATGCTTTGCATTGTAAAAAAATGAGGTTGTATTCTCACAGTTATCTCAAAAAATAATATCTACTGAGCTAAAATTTCAACAGGTTAATTTCTTAATTAACCCTAACCTTGCTGAATCCAACAGGATCCAACTACATCATATACATGTGCCCGATGGAGCCTGTTGGATTGAGCAGTTAACCCCTTGTGTACATTCCTGATGCAAAATGTTGAAAGCAGGCAACGGAGCCTCATTATAACACCAAGTTGGACTCCGTTGGATTCAGCAGACAACTGAATTTAAGGCACAGTGGATTGAGCAAGGAACTCCGGTCGGACTGTGTTGGATTTAGCAGGGTAGTCCTGAGGAACTACTAGGGGATTAGGGTTCACCTTCAAATTAATTTGATTGTTTTGCTGTTCCTTGAATTGCAAAAAAAAAACCACACATTTTTGGTAAATAGTGTTCATTATCTTTCAATTCCCATGTTCTCACGCTAAATGTTTTTTTCTTGTTAAATCAGCACATGTATGTATGCAGGTAGATAAGATTGGTTTCTTAAATAGGTTTTGAAGAAAAGAAAGTTAAAGAAAATGTAGAAGGCCCTGAAATGTCTCCTCAGAAAGGGGAAAAGCCTGCCTCCCAGCCTTTAATTAAAGAGTGAAATTCAACAGAAAAGTAATTCAATAAATATTTTATTGAATTGTATTTTATTGAAGTATGCGCATATCAGTAAAAGAATTGATATGATTTCACCATTTTCAATAGCTAAGTACCAAGTTCTATAATGTGTACCTCAACTGATTTATGGCCCACTCCCTACTCTACTCCACCTTAGGTTTTTGCAAAGTTTGCTTTTGAGGTTTTTATTTTACGATAGTACGTCAGTTATGCTTTCAAATTGAACTTCTACTAACAGTTGCTGTATTCAATACAAATAGGCGCAAATTGGGCGAAAAATTTATATCCTTTCAAGATAGCCTCTCCAGCCAGTCCAATATTCGGTGTTTATCCATCCATCAATACACGCACGTTCATTTAATATGTGGTTGCCAGGCACCTCATGAGGGAATTGCGGATGAAAATCGCTCAGTTCCTCATTATCAGTACAGTATGCATTGTGTATTTGCACGTTATATACGACAACTACATGTACATGGTACGAGTCCATGAAAGCCCGTCAGTACAAATTTGTACTAGTCATGTGCCAGTGTTACGGTACCTTTGTGCGTTTTAATAGTGTTTTACAATTGCGCATCAAATACGGTACAACTTTACTTAAGGCCAAAAAAATATATACAATGTAAATAGTTCCGCTTCCGGTTATTCTACTTACCCTATTTTGACAGCCCCTACCCTAATTTTTTTTTGGGGGGGGGGGAAATAAGGGGGAAAAACGAAACCATCAATTACTACTTTTTACCCTTTACTACATGCAGACACCTCCATCTGATTGTACACAAAACATATGCCCCCCCCCCCCAAAAATTCCCTACCTACAACTACATGAACAGGTCTACCCTATTTTCAAATGCAATGTAATCATAAGCAGAACTATGGTTTTTTTAGCCTAATGTAACAACATTAGGTGAATGCTGGTAAATTGAATTCTGGAATTTCTTCAAAAATATTTACCCCCTCCCCAAAAAAACTTGAAAAAAAATCTTCATGTACAAAAATAGTACATACAAAGTTCAAACATTTGGGACTGCTAAAATTGCCAGTTGACTATTAAAAAGCCATCTTAAGTGGTCAAGACATCTGTCAATAATGGCGGAAATCTCAAAGGAAAGTGTGCACATTCTTGCAGACTTTGGAGACTAAACAAGTAAAGGTCATTAGAGAGGACGCATTTTTCACCCAAATATGCTTACAGGTATTTTGGGACAGATTATTTCATTCATGTGCCAAACAAAAATAGTCTGGCACTTTGCCAAACTCCAGATCTTTTGCATTTTTAGTCAGCATCATAAATCATGTGCAACATGATAACATTCCAGATAACATTACATCATGTGACAAAAACGCACATGAGGGCTACACATGTACATGTGCATCTATAGAAAAGTTGAGATCATCTCAGAAATTGAATCCCCAGCATGCTATGGCAAGCCAATAATCTTGCACAAACATTTGACGTGTTGCACCCCACTGAGATTTGCGGACTTCTGTTGTATTTGGTAACACAATCGGTGAATGTACTAATGTATTTGAAGCATTTAGTGTTTTTTATTTTTTCATGTCTAGATTTTGGTTACTTACCGGTACATGTACATCGTGCTTGTATGATACTTCAGAATAACAATTTCTTATAATTTTGTTGTCCTAATTCTTTCTCACACCGACAAAATAAAAACTAATTCAAAATTTCACTCTAAACTGAAATTATAAAAAAAAAAATCCATGAAATGTATTTATCTTAGAGTACCATTGCAGCCTTTCTAAAGGCAGCTGTTTTTTGGGTAAATTAATTTAGTGACTTGGCTTAACCTTCCATAAATTATCCCAAATTTTCTTAAACCTCTTGGATTTTGAAGGATTGGGGTGGTTTTAGGAATTGATGAAAGTGGCACTGAATTCAATGACATTAAATAATGAGAGCGGACATGAAAAACATCAAGTTTATACATGTACATACATGTACACGTTGTTCCACGTTCAGGAACAGTAATCCCCTAGCTGTCAGTTCCAACCCACCCCGCACGTCTTGGAAACATCAAAGTCTTAACAAGGCTCATGCTGCTGGATCAACGAGCCCCAATTTTCTTTTCATCTCTACCTCACGCTCCGGAATTCTTGACCCAAATATTGACGGAGCTTGCGATTTGGCCCGCTGCTGGCATGCAGCACACGTGTTGTTAATCGCGGCTTGCTATAGATCTGATTGAGTGCCGTCCTGGTTTGTCCACCATCTCAGCGGCTAGTCCAGAGTTTGACGCAAAATAATTGTGACAGATTTATGTCTTAGTTGCCAACAGGGCTAAGGAGGTGTTAAGTGAGTTGGTATTCGGGACGTAATGATTGATCTTGACCAGACATTTCCTGCGCTTCTTTTTTTCTTCTTCTTTGGCTTCTGGCTATTGTCCCTTAAACAAAGACTTTGACAAATTGGGGAACCACCAACATACATGTAGGTCTGGATAGCTCAGCTGGTAGAGCACTGGAACGGCAATCCGAAGGTCGCAGATTCAAATCCTGCTCCAGTCCCGCTCTTTGTTCAACTTTCAAAACTTTTTTTTGTTTTGGAAAACAATGGTCTCTGTTATTTAATAAAAAAATGAATACGCTGTGTGACATTAGGTTTGTGGTATTGGTACAAGGTAGGGACAGATTTTAGATAAAATATTTAAAGTTGTATTATTTTCCGGCTCCGACAGCAATGTGTTGGATCGGGTTGAAGAGATTCAGACATTTATTTCCTGCAATAGAAGCAGGAGGGTTGAATATAGATTATTCTCCAAATCACTCTTTAAAAAAATCTACAAGAGAATGATTAGGATTGACCGTAACTCCCTCAGAATCCTGAATCATCCAAAATCAACCATCATGCAACAATTAATTGGTGCACTCTTTTGTACTTTCAAAGGGTATCAAGTTCCATGTTGAGTGGTTGGGATGTACCCTCCACCATCTTACAAAATCCTTCAGACAAAAACTCCAGTTGGATTATGGAGGCTTGATGATAGGTAGAGACTGGCCTTTGATTATCTCAGTTACAACTTTGCAAATCAACTGATGCTGCCAATCTGTTGGGCTAATTTTTTTGCTTAAATTAAAATTAAATCCCCCCCCTTTTTTTTGTGTGTACACAGGTGGAACGTGCTTGGCATTCAGGGATCGTTACTGAGTCACTTCGTGGAGCCCATCTACCTAAACAGCGTCATCCTGGGCTCTCTCTACCATTCCGACCACCTGTCCCGGGCCCTCTACGCCCGTATGGGCGCCTTAGAGGACCTCCCCCCAGCCTTCCACGTCAACCATCCCCTCCTGAGCGGGGTCAGCAACACCCAGAGCCGAATGCCGGGCAAAGCCCCCAACTTCAGCATCAACTGGACTTACGCAGACGCGGATCTGGAGGTCACCAACGCCACAACGGGGAAGCAAGAAGGCGGCCTGCCCTCGCGGCTCTGCAAGAGCACGCTGTTCGAGAAGTTCAAGGGTCTCTACGGGAAGCTGTCGAGCGTGGTGCCTGCCCAGCCCCAGCCGCCTAAGACCTACGCCGAAGCCAAGGCCCAGGCTGTGGACTACAGTCGAGCCAAGGCGGTCATGGTGAGAGGGTTCGAGAAGGCTGGATTGGGGTCTTGGATCAAGAAGCCGATGGAACAAGATCTGTTCGAGTAAAACAATACTCGTTTTTTTCTTCCTGTGTTTTTGGATACATTGCATTTGTTTGTAAATTTCTGAAGATTTTTGGCTTTATCTGAAGATTTCCTGACTTCTCACTTGGATGCCTTGGGGCCAATATGATAAACTGTTGAACACATAAATTTGACTAGTTTAGAGACAGCCACTTTCTGCGGTGTCACCGGGCTTGCGCAAGTCGAGCTCAGGTAGTACGTACATTTGTACACACTCTGGGCTCCTTTAACCAATAGAGCTACCAAAATGTGTGGGCACCTCATCTTTACAGGCATGCAACTTTTCCTCGGATCCGCTGATTTCCTCGTTTTTTTACTTCTCATGAATGCCATTACAAATTGAAAAACACTGTACAAAATCCTGTTTGGTTCAGAGTTTCATCGTTTTCCCTAAATTTCCAGTTGCATGCCTGTCTTTAAGAGCATGTACGGCATGCGCGCAGGCATGGCACAACCACACAAAAAATGCTACTGAATTTTTTTCCCCGAATTACACTATACATCCATGCAGAAATACCAGGAATATTGCATCTTAGTAAGTGTGTTTGTTTGTTTTTAATTTATGGGGGGTGGCCTCTATACTGTCTTTTGTTTACTACAAACCCACTAATTACTGACGCTAGTCTTTTCATCACTCATTTAATGAAGTGTCAAAAGCTATTATATTAATCACCAACTGCTTGTAAAGCCTTGTATTGGAAACGGCAAGGGTCAACCCACAGTCTCTGACCAGGATCAGTTTTGCGTTTATCATGACGTCTAATGAAATCATCACCCTCAGGCACTCCAGTGCTTCTACAGACTCGGACACGTTGACATTCCAATCTATGGAATTTCATCCTAGAGTATATAACTTACAAGATCTGTAATGCTCATTTTTTTTCCTGTGAAAATTAGGTATCTAGAGTTCATTTGAAGATGTAATATACAGTATTGCAGATACAAGAGCACCAATGATTACCGAGCCAAACTGCAGCCATATAAGGCAGGGCTAGACTCTCGATAGATTGAGAATCTAAAACGTCAGAGGATTCCCCCATGGAACATTTGGCTGCTGGAATGGAGGCTACAATTTTGGGGTCTGCACTAATGTAATGGATACCATTCAGGCAGCCACTTTCATCTTGGGCACAGGCCAACTATGTTGATAGGCCTACATGTACGTGCGTGTATTTCCACTGGGTCATTTTTAAAAATATTTTCTTGGCCTTTTGTAACATATTTAAACGGATACAGACCAATTTTTTTATTTTTGCGGATGGGAATGACCAGTATATATGGAATTTTTTTTTCTGGATCTGGTTTACAGACTCTGCATGCACGGGAACTTTTCAGAAATGTTGCAGACATTTTTCATGTCTCTCTCTAAGGAATTATCAAGAAAAAAACATAAAATTGTTCTGGAGGCGTTGGACTTAGTTGCATGTAGCTCTGGCCAACAGGTACTCCGTTGTCCTCCTTTCGTAATCCCCAATAGAATGACCATGAAGTTGAATTGTAAATATTTTGGACTTAGGCTTCAGGAACAGATTTGGACCATTTAGAGGTCAGTTACAAATTGAGGGATATTTGATTGGAAGAAAAAAAATGAAAACAAAGAACGTCTCCCTTGCATACAAAATCAGTGTTTGGGATTATGAATTCTTTTTTTTTTTACAAGAGAAATGAATCTCATTGAATTGCTTTGAAAAAGAATGTGTATTGCTATTATTCAGATGTCAGCATTTGGTCTTTGGGGGACCAAAGGAAAGGCTTTTTTGTTGAGAAAAAGCAAAACCACAGACATTTTTTTTTCTCAAACATTTTTTACAAGGCATTATATTTTTGTTCTTTGTGTTTTTGCCCCTCTGTTTGACAATATAGAGAAGAATCTACTATGTTCCAAAGCATTGGGTGCAGCATTGGTTTTACAGTTTATTTTATTTTGTTCAATGCTCATTTAAAAAAAAAAATACTGACGTAGTTCAGAAAAGTTTCTCTTAAGCATTACACATAGATTATATTTTATTACAGTGTCACAAGCATTGCTCTTTATACCTGATTCTGACAACGTCAATTACCCAAAGTTTTCTGATGGTAGTTTGTGCTCAACAATCAGGTTTGCAAACGTTGAAAAAATTTGACAGCTAACTGGGCAACTTTAGTTTTGAGGGAGTGGATCTTTTTATTTTGCTTATCAAAGTCCTTGTAATTTTATGCACACAAATTTTTACTTCACAATGAGTTCAGTAATAAACGTTTATGTGTTCATGTACTGGTACGATGTAATACCACCAAGTGTAGATTCTATATACCGTTTTTGTACATCCTTCTCAGTTTTGAAAGTTTTTGTGAATGAAAGACGTTAGTAACACATTTATGTAATCATGATTTTAATTTTGGTTTCCTTATGTACATGTGTAATTTATTGATACACGCATTAAGAATTATGGATGTTATCTCATACATACATCGTATCACAAGTCATTGGGAGAACTATAGCCCGGAGTAGTTCAATAGCTTTTCAAAAAAAGTACCCAGCTAATTATTAAGGAAGTAATATACATATAAGGTTTGAGACTTTGCATGGTGGGGTATCGGTATCGTTTCGGTTTGCGGTAACACCATGTGGTAATAACTACTGCTTAGAAGATATGTAGTTCTGAAAAGAACTTGTCCTGCTTATTATCAACTTTGCTAAGTAGTTTTTGTTCTGTTAAGAACAGTCCTGCTGTAAGTTCTAAACGAACTTGTCTTTGGTCTCAACGTTTCGACTAGCCTGCTCTAGTCATCGTCTCCGGACGATGACTAGAGCAGGCTAGTTTGACGATGACTAGAGCAGGCTAGTCGAAACGTTGAGACCAAAGACAAGTTCGTTTAGAACTTACAGCAGGACTGTTCTTAACAGAACAAAAAGTACTTAGCAATGTTGATAATAAGCAGGACAAGTTCTTTTCAGAACTACATATCTTCTAAGCAGTAGTTATTACCACATGGTGTTACCGCAAACCGAAACGATAGTAATATACATGTTACTTACACATTTGCGTAATAAAACACTGTCGGACATTTTGCCTTAAATAGTTTTTTATTGGACAAAACCAGGGCCCAGTTTGATGGCTTTGCTTACCGTTAGCATACAAATTCCCTGCTTACTGTAGCAGAATATTCCGTGCTTATGGTAAGTGTATTTCAGGGATTAGCGAGGAAGTTTGGCTTCTGCGCATGCGTACATCCAATAACTAAGGATTCTGTGCTTACAGGGTTAGCACAGAATTTTTCTTCTAGCGCGGTTAGCACAAAATGGTGATCATTAGCACGGAATTCTGTGGTTAGCAGAGCCATGACATTGGGCCCTGAAGACATGGATCGGAGTGTACAATCAGGAAAATCGAAATGAGGCGAGAGCGCCCTCTGTTGACTATACATTGACAACTTTGTAAATAGTGACCATATCGCAAGATGAAATGTCCCTTTTGTTTTGCACCATTCAGTGCAAGTTGCAATCTTAAGAGGAGTAACTTTTAACACATTAGGTACAAATCACAGCATTTTCCATTTTAACAAGTTCTCCAGAAGTGTAAAACATGTTTAAAGTTTGTAGAAATCTTTGTTAGTTATCGTATTTGTATTTTTTTCCCTCTTTTTTTTAATATATATCCAGGGCTGTAGCAATATTCAACCATAAACAGCACTTTTTAAAGTTGTAAGCGTGTCACGTATTTGTTCTGAAACAAAAAATAAGTCGTAGTGTACTCCGTGTGTTTTTGTGTACATGCACCTGTTTTTTAAATAGACCCTGGGCCAAAAAAAAATGTAAATATGTGAATGTATTTTCCAAATGTATCTCTGCTAATGTCTTTTGTTCCTTCCCCCTGAAAGTCTCCAACCACTTCCTACCGAAGTCGTTAACACTTCCTTATAATAGTGGCTCAAACTTCTTGTAGCACGGAATACTTGTACAATAGTTTTTCTAAGTTGTTTCGTGCATGTAACGTCAATAGATTTACCATGTTTACATTTCTACGGGCCTTCATTTATGCACATGCATACCTGTTTGTTGTATTTGCACGATTTACAACTGAAAAAAAAAAAGATGCATAAAAACTGCTAAATTTCAGTTCATGTTTAATGTAAATGTACCTTAGAACACATCCATTGTAATCAGAATTTTTACAGCACTGTGAGTTTTTTCTTTTCTTTTTGTGGAAACAGTGCTCAAAATCTAACACTTGATGTTGAAAAACACCTGTGAAATGTTCAGCTTATTGGATACAGTCTAGACATTAAGGAAATGGTAAAAAATCATGCACGATTTCTGTGTGAAACTGTCCCAAGTTAAAAGTTGTAACTTGTTCACCTATTTCCAACTTTAACCAGTTCGCGCTGGAGGCCGTGTATGTACACGCAAAAGTTGTGCGGTATTCGGAACGGATGACAGGTAAACACGCAGGGAGCGAGGCCGGAAATGTGAGGGCGCTGCCCGAGGGTGATGGCTTCAACCCGCCCGGCTTGAGGTCGAGTGAAAATAAATCCTGCGCCTCGTTCCGTTCTCATCAAAATAATCCCGGCGTAAACTGGTGAAAGTCGTTTAACTTGCTCCCCGATTTCCAACTTGAGTTAATGTGCCTGTTACAATGTTGTACAGCATTAGCTTGAGAATTATGCGCACGTTGCAGCTGAAGCGAAGACACCAAAATGAGTTATGAATAAACAGAGGAAATTATGTTGGGGAAAGAGTTTCGGGATAACTTTTGTTATAGTTCACATTAAATTTACATGTAAGGTAAAATGAGATTTGTTGATACATGTACATTACTTTAAGGACACCAAATCGTATGCATACATCAATTATTGTGAATTGATATTTGTAAACAATGTTGGACGATTTTTGTGCTGCAGATACAATTTTTTTTAAATAAAAGGATGATTAAGACAATTTCCAATTGTTTGGATATTGGGAGATGATCTTGCCACCATGTTAGTGATTATTTTAATTTTTTTCTTTAATTTTGGTAAATTATGATTAACAGATGAACGCACTGGGAATTAAGAGGTAGTTTAGAAACACAATTGTTAGTTTTTGGTTTTAATTATTCATCAAACCCAAAAGAGTTTCACTGATAATAGTGATTTCTAGTTCAAAACCAATGGTTGATTTAGTTTGTCTAAACACAGTGCTTAAAGACCATCTTATTTTGAGGGAAAAAAAGAACAAGTAAAAACAGTTTTAGAATTTTTTTTATGTAATTCATTCAGAAAAGTAGTCTGATTTTCGTTTATTTTTATCTTGGCTGTCAAGCAGAACGCCAACGTAATGCTGCACTTTATTTTTTATTTTCACGTATGCAAAAATGACACATGTGCATGAACTTCCAAAATTTGAATAAATGTTCATTCTCTCTTCAGCATTATAGATAGGTCACGTCTTTGTTTGAAAGAGGAATTTTTAAATGATACTATTTTGTTGGAACACCTGATTTTCTTTTGTGCCTCTAGTTTTTCAGTGGTTTTTAGCTTTTGTAAAGTAAGAATGTGATTCGTTTGGTGATTTTGATGTCAAAATTCAATGTTCTCTTTTTTCTTTTCTTTTCTTTTTACTGTGGAAAATATGAGACAAACTGTTCCTTTATGAAGTACATGAGTACTTAGTGATAATAAAGTATCATGCTGATTCAGAAATGTCTAATATTGCCATCACTTTCCTTTTGTACTGGTTTTGATTAACGAGTTTGCGTCGGAGGACGTGATAATGCTCACTGGCTGTTTTTATACACAGGCACGGCTGACTGGTTAAAGCGTCCTAACCAGCTAATCCCTTGTGTCTTTTGTACACATGCACACAAAGTCTGTGAAGCCTGTGGAGGTGGACCATGTGTTGATCTTGAATTGGCCATTGTGCGCGGCCTATTGTACAATTTTGTACTTAATTCTTACTTTGGAGTGCTGTGGCCTCGTGGTTAAGGGCACTGATTCGTGGTCTGTGGGTAAAGCTGCAGGTTGTGGGTTCGAGTCCTGGCGGGGTCATGGTGCCTGTGCCCTTGAGCAAGGCACTTTGTCGCTCATTGCTTCTCTCCACCCAGGAGTAAGTGGGTACCTGTGAGGGCAGTGATGGTTATTGTGTTTGAATTAGCTTCCTTGCGCCAAATAGGCTGCATCGAGCTGCATACTCCCCAGGGAGCTGAGATGGTATTTGGAATGTTTCATGGGCCCAATGAGCAGGGGTAATAATGATGTAGCGCCGTGAGCGCCAGTACCTGGTGGATACCTGCGCTTTATAAATATCCACTATTATTATTTACGCTCCAGTGCACACCCCAGAGTATTGAAACATAATGAGGTTTCGGCAAGAAATATTGCGCAAATACTTATACACTTATGGCATTTGGCTGCATATCAGGATTTGACTGGAAAATGTTGCAGTTTGCAAAAATCGAAATTTTCTTCAAAAATAATAATTAAATAATAAAAAATAATAATAAAAATTAAGTGGTTAAAACCATTGAAGAATTGAAACGGGTAAAAATCAGAGACAGCATTGGAATAAATAAACATCTCTCTATTTTGGAACATCTTTAATACATGATGGCAACTTCTACCAGCTCATTAATCCCAATTTACCGCCTGAGCCCTCTGCGGTTCCTGGATTCATCAAGTAGTAATAAAAACAACGTAATAGAGTAGTGTAGTACAAGTACCAATGGGTTAAAGCTGACGTGCAATATTTCAACACATGGAAAACTACTTCAATATTAAGGCCACTAAAAAAAGCTCCTTTCAATACGCACACATTACTTTAACTTTATGTAATACACAGATTAGATCATAGTCTTGACTTTCAATTATAAATTATTATTGAACCTTTTTTTATATTCACAATTATAAAGAATTTGATTATTTACACAAATTGTTGTACAAATTCAAACTGAATTTTAGAAGAAAAAAAAAATTGGAAAAAAAAATGAACTCTTAGTCATCTGTCTTTGACAATCAGCTCAAATCAATTTCAATACCTACACTTTACGCAGGTTTTCCAAAACCCTTTAAAGCACATTTATGTAACATCTTTCATGTCTTTAGCATGAAAATGCTATTTAAATCAAGTTTTTCAAAAGAACAATTAATAACACACGTTTACAACTCGGTGCGATGTTAAAACATGAAGAACAAAAATTACCTTCAAACCGTGGTGAATAAGAAAAAAAATTACGACATTTACTGATAAGCACATCTAATAATGCTTAACTGCCATTTTCGATGTTTACGTACATGTACACACACACACACCAATGTTGGTGTCAGTAATCCGGAGATCACTAGCCCCACTACAGTCAAATTCTTTGTTCAACTTAAATTTACAAATTACAAAATAATTAGCAAAATTCGTAACTACATGTAGTACTCCAAACTTGTCTGAATGTCAAGCATGTATAGATCATTCCAGCATTCTTGGGAACATCAGTAACACATAATTTCAACAGAGGGCGTTCTTTGAACTAACAATGAGAAAAACAGCATTTTTTTTTCATTGAAATGTGACCTTACTTCTATAGGTTTTGGAACAATTGGTTTGTCACTTTTTTTATTACCTTAAAGCCAGTAAGGGTTAATCTAAATCCAAATTTTCTTCTCCAAATGGGGCTCAATTTTCTGGACTATTTCAAAACAGGGTGCCAGAAATGCAGCCGCGTTGATATTAAAAGTGACTTGAATTTTACATCACACAATTCAATGAGCTTTTGAACAATGAAGTCGCTGTTTCCCCTTTCGATCAAACGACTGACTTTTTGCATTTTGCACAAACAAAAAAACACCACTAAAGTAATACTTTATACACATATTTCACAAATTCTTAAATATGGGCAAGAAGACACGTTAAAATAATAATATATGTAACGGGCACATTTTTGGAGTGGCATCACCAAAATAAAGATGGACTCAAAATTTCAGAGTGCATTTAATACTCACTTCTTTTTTTTTTTTCTTTGGCGACACAAATTTAGATAATTTGTCCAAACTGCTGAAGGTCATAAACAGGGTCATGAAGGAGCTATTTACATAAAACCACATACTGTGGTGAAGTTCTTTCTTAAACTTCAAATAAGCATTTAGAACATGCATAATTGCAAATTCAATGAGCAGAATACACTGAGGTTGCTGAAAATTTACGTTAATTAAGGTCTTTTGAATTATCTTTTGGGACAATAAAATTCATCCAAATTTTCCTTTGAAAAAGGCTAGAAGTCAACAGCACACTATATTTCAGGGAACAATAACCCTCCTTTTAATTGTTTCAAACAAAATTATGAAACTTAATTTCATGCAGAATTTATCATATACCATAAAATGTCCAATAAATCCATACTTACCGGCTTGACAGCATGAAAAACACAGTTCAACCAAAAACATGTCAAACGTTCACTTAAGATTGACTTAAGTTTTGATTATCTTGAACATAACACATCTTCTGCCGCTTATAACCACTCTAACTGCTGACTGAAAACCTGCCTATCAAAGCTGCTTGCCTATTGGACAATAAAAGTTCCAAGCTTTGTACTCATTGGTCAATTATAGCAAGTGCCCCTTACATGCCTTTCTTTAATATAAGCCAGCTGCCAGCTAATCAAAAGTGCCTGCTCATTGGTCAACTTTGGGTTATAGTTTTCAACAAGCTAAGAATCTTGTCAAAGCAGCTCCGTCATTGGTCAATTGTAGTTACAAAGCTTCTTGTTCATTGGTCAATTATAGTTATAAAGCTTCTTGTTCATTGGTCAATTACAGTTCAATCTACACAACCAACAACCAACTGGTGGACTGAGAGCACATTGGTTTACTAGTTTGTCATAGTTACAATGCTGCTCTCTCATTGGTCGACTACATTTAGGATGCTAGGATACCGACCTTCCAACCAAAGACCTGTCGATCGAAGCCACAACTGAAGAGATTACATGAGGCTGCTTCATCATTCCAGGCAGTACAGCACACCATGCGATGATGCCCCTAGAAAAAAGACCACGTATATACAGTAGATACTTTTAAAAATATTTCACAAATTTTGGACGTTTGGGCATTAAAACACTGTTTGATGTAAGTTTCACATGGCTTACTTTGCCAAACTTTCTTTCAACATGTCTTTTGCATGTCTTAAGGCTTTGAGTAGCTTTTATATGTCTTTGAATGTCTGTCACATGTCTTTCACATGCCACTCACATGTCTGTCACATGTCCCTTTCACAATTTTGACCTGCCCATCATGTCTTGTTCATGCCACTCACATATCTTTCACATGTTATTCACATATCTGTCACATGTTCCTCACATGTCCATCACATGTTCCTCACATGTCCATCACATGTTCCTCACATGTCCATCACATGTTCCTCACATGTCCATCACATGTTCCTCACATGTCCATCACATGTTCTTCACATGTCCATCACATGTTCCTCACATGTCCCTCACATGTTCCTCACATGTCCACTACATGTTCCTCACTTGTCCATCACATGTTCTTCACATGTCTCTCACATGCCTGTCACATGTTTTTCAAATGCCAGGCACATGCTCTTACTCACCTGTCTGTTGTTTCTTGGCATCCTTGCCAGGCGCACACCATTCAGGTCATACAGTCGGATGTGTCTGTTATCGTGTGGAATGGCAATCACGTTGTTGGTTGCAGACACAGATAGCCTACGCAAATACAAAAAGGGGTCGACTGATTTGATTAAACTCTTTGTAGCAATTGAGGCAACCGTTGTTATTGCTAAGCTGCACTGTATTTGCTTGCATGCCGTGGCACGTGGGTTCGAACCCTGACTGGGAACACGGTGCTTGTGTTCTTGGGCAAGACACTTAACTACAATTGTCTCTCAACCCAGGAGTATAAATGAGTACCTGTGAAGGTAGAGACCAAATTGTGCTGATCTCGAGCTGCTGCAGATTATTGGTCTCATGGCCTGATGAACAGGGATAGTAACTGTAAAGCCCTTTGAAAGCTTAGGTATAAAGCACTGTATGAGCACCATATCTTTATTATTATTATTACGCCAAACCTTACCTGTTGATCCCCGAGTCCGATCTGATCATGGCGATGGGTGTTCTCATGTTCTTGAGATCCCAGACTTTGGCCGATCGGTCGTCAGAACCACTAACGACTTTGTCGCCGGACGCAAATGCTGCCGATGTAACAGCACTTTGAAGAAAAAAACATTGGAAATCAGGAGAATAATTTTAATACTTATTCGATGAAGATATACTAAAGTCAAGGCAATATTAATATTTAAAATCATGAAACTGTTCCCAGAGGTCAAATTTCATAGGGCAGCACAGAACGGAAATGTGCTAAGCAGTTAGCACCCAAAAAATTGGCTAAGCGGAAAAAGCAGGTTACCTGTTAAGATTTCATGCAATGTATATTGCTTGTAACCGGCTCTCTGTTAATTTATGCTTAGCACCGATATTTACTAAGCGATGTTTAACTTAATCCGCTTATGAAACTGGACACAGATCTTAAATTTGTTTTCAGCTTACTCTGTATGTCCCTGGAAGACGTTGACGGAATGGATGCTGGGATCTCGGAAGTCCCACAGTCTGAAGGTGGTATCGGCAGAGGACGTCACCACCAGTTTCTGCGACGGCGATGCGCAGCAGTGGGTCAACTCCTGGTCGTGACCTATGACCCCACAAAAAAGAGAGCGAATAAATTTCTGTTAATCCTAAGACTAAGACCACAACACCTGTGACTAGTAATAAATCCAGCATACAGACTTATTCAGCGAAAAAGAATTAGAAGCCATTTTTTTAAGGAAGCACCAGGCTTGCGCTGAAGTAGTACGCACGCACACCAGGCTCCTTCGACCAAAATAAGCGTGCGCCTCGTTTTTAAAGGTAGAGCAGATCATTTGCAACTATCCAAAAAGAATATGACCGGCAAATTATTGTTGAAGACCTTACTTGGGTTGAAGACCTTACTTGGTTTAAAGATGGGGATGGCAATTAACTCCCTGTGAAATTAGTCTTTCTGGCATGCTGTCATTTGGAAGAAAGCAATAAAGGAGGCCATTTTCCAAAGATGCGTTACTTTTGAGTTGAAATCCAGATCCTAGAATATTGTTTTTCTCAGAATCTACAGCATTCACAGAGCTAAAACCTCATCTGGTTAGTTGTTAAGCACCTGTCTTAAATTTTGAGCACTTTTGTAGCTACAAACGAAAAAAATGCAAAAATGACACATGATCTACCCTACTTTGAAGAGCAAGTGCGGCATGCATGCAAAAGTGGTTCTGCGTGCAGAAGTGGTTCTGCATGCAGAAGTGGTTCTGCATGCAGAAGTGGTTCTGCATGCAGAAGTGGTTCTGCATGCAGAAGTGGTTCTGCATGCAGAAGTGGTTCTGCATGCAGAAGTGGATCTGCATGCAGAAGTGGTTATGCATGCAGAAGTGGTTCTGCATGCAAAAATGGTTTTGCATGCAAAAGTGGTTCTGCATGCAAAAGTGGTTCCACCTAAAAAAAACGCTTTCATATTTTCTTATTTTGTCCACAAGAAGAAAATGCCCCTACCTGTGAGCGTGTGGACTATAGCACCAGTGTCCACGTCGTACAGATTGGCCGTCCTGTCCCACGATGCCGTGACCAGCTGTTTCCCACCGGCAAGCCAATCCGCCGAGATGATGGCGCCTGAGTGGCCCTCAAGCTGAGCCTGGGGCGATTTGACGTAGACGATGTTTTCATTCTCAACACCTGCACAGACAAAAAAATAAAAAGCATTAAAGATTTGAAGGTTTGCATGCATGGTAAAGTGAGCACTAAGAGTAAGTTTGCATTAAACCTTGTGACAAATCTCTTTTGCGAGTTTGTATGGTTCTGAAAAGAACAGGAGGGGGATTTTTCAGGAGGTGTCCTCTGCCGTCTTTAGGAGACGTAGGAGACGTATGTAAGGCCAATGAGCTAGTCAAGCATTTTGCTCAAAATCATAAATGCTTAAACAAAAAAATTCTGCCACTATTTCCCGCCTTACATACCATCAGGTTCCTCTTTGTCAGATCCATCGATGTCGTCACCCGAGGAGGGGCAGGATTTCTGTTGAGATGAGTATTCCAGAAATGAAGGAAAAGTAGCTCTCATTTTTGTTTTGCAGTACAATTTATGATGCAAGGTGTAAAATGTAAGTTTATAACTGTCTCATCAATCAAAAGTAACACAGTTTGTATGTGAAATTCTAAAGACTTTTTGTGTGTAGCAAGAAAGTTTTAGCAAATACTTTAGCTAGAAGACAGGAAAAAATCCCCAAGCATTTATTACAAGGACTCAACCTTTAGGCCAACAAAAATAAGTCTCCGGTTTCTGGTATGGAGCTTGCCCAAAAAGTGGTGCGGCGATGCGGCTTTTTTTTTTTTACCTGTTTTTTTTTGCTTCAAATGTCGGCTGATGACTGCAAATGGTGCCCGACTAAACTTCGTGCAAATATATGGGAGTCCAGAGAGGCCACATAAAGCTTATTCTCGATCATAACCCCATCTAAAACACGTTAAAATTGTGCAGCAGCAGGATTCCAGTCAAACCAGTGAGTTTGGCGGTTTGAGACATCATCTTTCATTGAAAAAAAAACTGGCGCGCATGGCAACGGCGACGCGCGCGCATACCAGAAACCGGAGACTTTTTTTTTTGGCCTTAGGCAATTTTTTTTTAAAGTGTTGTAGACTTGTAGTCCAGCAGCCAATTTCACGAAACTTTACGCAATGGCATAAGTCCACTTGCGCCACAATTTATTGGGCAAGATGCGCAAGATTTCACACTGCGCAACATTTCATTTATGACACGAAAGATTCAAAGTGCGGAAGTCCACGACTTGCAAAGCAAATCATGGTGTAACTTGTGCATTTCATTTTAAGGTGGCATAAGTTGTGGCGTAGCGACTGAAAATGACCTATTTTACCAGCAAGTTTTGCTTGTCATGGAGCCTTCTATTGCACAACTTATCAAGGAGGATACAAGGCACTCACAGCTTTCTGTTTGGAAGTAACAGAATTGCTATTTAACTCATGACAGAGTTTTTCGAGTTGTTGCACGATTCCGAAGAAAGCTGGACAAAAACTTTTCAAAATGGCGGGCGGAGGTGATTCAACGGCTGTTTCATGAACAAAGAAAATAATACACACGCGTGTTGTGTAATGCACGTTAAAGAACCCAGTAACACTTGTCGCTAGCAAAAAGGTGCTACATAATGGGTCTCATATGTTCATATACTTCATTACCTGTCTTTCATCTTTCGTCTCATAATTTGCGCCAGGAGTGTCATATTGACAGATATGGCGCGGTATAAATGTTCATTATTATTATCATTATTACAAACAGCCGTCACGACTGCTGTCATAATCCTCGTCCAAGATGTTTATATTATGTAAAACGTTGCATAGCTACGCCAAGTTTTGTGAAAAAAATCGATTATAAATTTGCTGCGTAAGTCTTACGCACGGTGAAAGTTACGCACTGTTTAGTGAAATCGGCTGCCGGTACTTGTGACGAGTCCCAAGTTCACCATAAAATCTGGTCACAAGTAATTAATTGGCTGGCACGTGGGTTCGCATGAATTTGCATGCTTAGATATATCGGACACCAGACCAGAGACAGCAAGGAGTCCGTTGTACAACGGGTGATACTCAGACTAACTTGGAACATCTGGAATAAAAACCAAGACAATAAACTTACATTGACATCAGAAGCCTGGGTGGGTTGGGGTAAGGTAACGGCCGATTTCCAAACATGCGCTGTGCTATCGCCTGAGCCTGTGGAACAACAGTACAGTGTAACAAGCCTTATCCTTGCGTTCCAAACAAAATAAGGCAGCGTCTGAATTACTTGGCTACGGCTACTTGTTACACACTGTCTATGGGAAGTGGCTGCAGCCGCTTCCATAGACGCATGTGTAATGGAAAGCCATAGCCAAGTCATTTTGATGCGACCTATAATTGCTAGAAAGTGCTTACTAAACTGGAATCACACGAGATATGTAAATTTCACATTTGGATTTGGAGGACCTGTTGTTTCAACCTGAGAAGAATCTTTCTGGGAGTCAAACCATTACTCAGTTCTTGAATTTTCCTCATCACACTTATACTCAAGAGACTCATCATACAGAAGAAGGAGAAACAAATGGAATAAGAGACTTAAACATAGATGTGTTGTTTTGACAACTTACTTGTAAGAACCAGAGATTCTGTGGGATGGAACCGAATGGAGTTGACGGATCCAAGATGGCCAACGTATTCCAGAACACAAGCCCCTGTCTCAATGCACCACAGTCTGGCTGTACGATCTGCAACGACAGAAACTAACTTCAAATTTCCAATCTTAACCATAATAACTTGAGAGCACTGCAAAGGAGCGTTCCACAATTGACCATAAGCCCCTTCCAAGTTTGCTTTGTACACATTTCTTGCAGTGCTTGTGATAGGAGTTTGATTGGGCTACTGTGGTCACGTGAACAGAAAATCGTGATCTGATTGGTCAATGCGCTGTCTGATCGACAGGTAGGAATGGGTCCTTTGAAACGAAGCACTAGTACATGTACAAGTACAAAGTTATGATGATAAACAATACCTGCGCAGGCTGTTCCAAGCAGCGGCGTCTCCCCTCTGGACACGCTGACCTCCCAGACGCCGTCTCGGTGACCCCTGAAGTGTCGCATCAGCTGACAGCCTGAGGTACTTGCTCCTTTGAAGCTGAACACATTCTATCATGATACAAAACAATTCACTCAAAGTAACTGCTTTAGATTTCAACAACGAATAAGGCTGAATATTGCAGTGTTAACCCTAAGGCCAAAAAAAAAAAGTCTCCGGTTTCTGGTATGGAGCTTGCCCCAAAAGTGGTGCGGCGACGCGGCTTTTTTTTTTTTTTTACCTGTTTTTTTTTTTTTTTTGGCTTCAAATGTCGGCTGATGACTGCAAATGGTGCCCGACTAAACTTAGTGCAAATATATGGGAGTCCAGAGAGGCCACATAAAGCTTATTCTCGATCATAACCCCATCTAAAAACACGTTAAAATTGTGCAGCAGCAGGATTCCAGTCAAACCAGTGAGTTTGGCGGTTTTGAGACATCATCTTGTATTGAAAAAAAAACTTTTTCATTTTGCCGACGCGCATGGCTACGGCGACACGCGCGCATACCAGAAACCGGAGACTTTTTTTTTTTGGCCTAACTTCCCCACTCCATCAATATCCATCCCCCCAATTTTGGTGGATTTTGGGGAACTTGGTCCTGCAGGCCTAGTTTGACTACATATTGATGGAGTATGATGGACTTGGGCCTGGAGGCCTGAAGCAGTGCTAGGGGAATCCGATTGATTTTGCCTAGCATCCTGTACTGCTGTTGTCATATAAGCCATGTGTACTAAGTCGGTCGATAACCACCAGTACTTCAGTGGTGGATTCCATTATGTCATGTATTGGAAGCAGAGCGAGTGAGTGATGGATTTTTGTGGACTTGGTCCTCTACTTAGTAAGAGACAGAAGGCAGTTAGTCAAGTCCATCACAAGTCCTAGCGAGTTCATCACAAGTCATCCTGTCCCAAATCAAGTCACACGCTATTCCAATGACTGCTGACAAAGGCATCCCCTGATATTTGTAACCAGACTTGAGACAGTCACAATTGTGCAACCAAAAAGGCTCACAAAAAACTAATGCTTGCACTAACGTATGACACACATGGTTATACGTGCACTAACATATGACACACATGGTTGGAGCACGCAGCGTGGCATTGGAGAGATGCACCTGTTGTTGGCCAAGCATGCAGTGGGAGGGGCCTAACGGATCGTTCCATTATGTCACAAGGCTGATCCCTTAAGCCCTGCCCCCATAATGTTGAGACCAATCACAGTCACAAATGCACAACCAAGTGTATGAAAACAGTCTGATATGCATGTACTCATGGTTGACACTCAAGGTTGGAGCGTGCAGTGTGGCATTGGTGAGGTGCACCTGTTGTTGGCCACATGTGCAGTGGGAGGGGCCTAACGGATCGTTCCATTATGTCACAAGACCAATCCCTTAAGCCCCGCCCCCATAATGTTGCACTAACGTATGACACACATGGTTATACGTGCACTAACATATGACACACATGGTTGGAGCACGCAGCGTGGCATTGGAGAGATGCACCTGTTGTTGGCCAAGCATGCAGTGGGAGGGGCCTAACGGATCGTTCCATTATGTCACAAGACCAATCCCTTAAGCCCCGCCCCCATAATGTTGAGACCAATCACAGTCAAGACTGCACAGCCAAATGCATGAAAAGAGTCTGATATGCATGTACTCGTGGTTGACACTCACGGTTGGACCATGCAGTGTGGCATTAGAGAGATGCACCTGTTGTTGTCAATTTGGGTAGTGGGCGGGGCTAAATGGATCAATTAAAATTTTACATGCTTGATTTTGTGGACCTACCTTTCCAGTGGTGGGCTTGTACTTTGGCTTCAATATCAGGCTGGACAGCTGACTGGAGGCTGCGATTCAAACAGACAGAAAAGAAGAAGCTTCATTTGATAAAATACCACGGATTCTAAACCCTGTTTCTCTATCAATAAATCCAATCAGTCCAAATTTCAATCCACTTCCCCTAGTATACCTTACCCACAGGCTAGTCACCAACAGTTAGATCACTTTTTTGTAATGGGAATCATCATCATCAAGGTGGCAACGAAGAAAGTTAAAGGTATAGTCCATCATTTGTAATTTGTGCATTTTGTTTGTTTGAAGCAACAAAAGTTCTCAAAATCTAAAGTAGGGTTCTGAACAACTAACCTGATGAAGTTTCAGCTCAGCTTCAGCTGTATATTTCAAGAAAAGCAGCATTCTAGGATCTCGATTTCAAATCAAAAGTTGCTGAATTGTGTTTTGAATTGGGCCTGAATTCAGCGTCCGAGACACGTTCTTACCGAGTCAAATGCAGCTTACGCGATGTCGCGCACTGATCCGACGAATTATAGATGGCGCGCGTGCGTGTGCGCGTGCATTGCTGAATAAAGAAACGAACTACTAACAGAAATTTCCAACGGTGCGTCTTAAGAAGCACTGTTGGAAAAGCCTTCTTTCGTTGATTCCTTCAAAATGACAGCATGCCAGAAAGAATAATTTCACAGGGAGTTTAGTTCCCTTACTATCTTTTAGCCAAGTACATGTATGTTTTTCAACAATAACTACACCAGTTACTTTTTAGATATCTGCAAATTATGATGGACTCTGGCTTTAATGAGACTGAAGGCATCTGTTGAAAGTTTGCTCGAAATGTGACTGTATGTAAAGCTGTAAGCATCAACTCTACTATACAAATCACTGATATACAAATAAGAAGAAATTTTTTTTTTTATACTTTCTCTTTTCAGTTTTGACCAACCTCTGCTCTTGACACTTGAGCGAGCGCTCCCATCAATGCCATCAGCACCCTCAACGACTGGAACTTTGCCGCTCTGTAGTACCTCAAGTTTTTCTGTCAATGTTTCCACTTTGTCCTGCACTAAACACGAAGCATCAACAACAAAACACAAATCATATTTTTTCTTTTAATGGCAGGAAAACTCCAAAAATTCCAATGGGCAAAGAAAAGGTCCTCAATATTTCACCAACCAAGTTTGCAGAATCAATTCAATGTTTACAGAAGATATTTTTTCCATATGTTGCACATGAGAGGTAAAGACTAGACTGGTACATGTCCAACCATGGTCCAACTATTTGAACAGACTGACCTCTTCATTCAGTGTCACTAGTCAAGTGGCTGATTATGAAGAAATGTGTAATAAACAGAGACTAGTTCCTGGTTCATGCCACATGTTTCTTTTGGCATGGTTGATTGATGCAGTACTGAAGTGGTGTTGGACTGGTTGTTTCAGATGCCAGTCTATTTTCTTGTATTGCATGCTTCCAATACCTTAAGTTTTGGGACTCTCATGCATATACAGTATTGAGAGTCCCAAATTTTTGGACTAGGCATGCTTCTGCACGGAGTACAAACTAGTTGGCATATTTAAGATAATTCAAACTTCTCTCAGCCTTACACTGCAGGTTCTCAGCATACAGCCCCTCAAACTCATGCTCAATTTGGCTAAACAGCTTGAAGAGGCGCGCCCGATAGACCTGAGGGAGGATGCTATCCCCGGCATCCGAGCCTCGCTGTCTGGCCGCGGCCTCATTTTCTCTCATGCTGCGGCGTATAGACAGGCGTTGCTTGTTGGCTTTCTTGAGGTTGGTTTGATCTGTCGGCATCGCTGGGCATTACAAGTGACCCTACAATCAGAGCAGAGAACACACATTCTTGTCTGTATAAACAGAATTGTTTCCTCAATCAGTTCTATCCAGTGGTGCTATAAAGCTGCTTTAAAAAAAACTGGTTAATAAATACTTCATTCTTTTCATTCAGCAACATCTATTCGAGCCAAATGAAAAAGGAAAACAAGGTGTAATCTTTAAGAATACAGACAAATCCAAGAAATACGTAAAGCAAGATATATTGTTAATAAAAAATAAGCAAAAGTATAAATCATCATGATAATGATTTCAAATGCAACAGGAATTTAAAAGTGATAACCTGCAATGATAGGGTTGGTTGGTTGGTTGGTTGGCTTTTACAGTTTTACATATTTTATGAATTTGATTTGTTATATTAGTTTTTAAACATTGCCTAGTAATTGTAGCTTTAAATCCATTAATGAATTTAACAATAACATGTGAAACATCTTCCTCCAAAAGTACAAGTTTATTCCTTAGATCTGAAATTGGAATTTCTTTAGCAAGTTGGAGTAGGATGGCAATTTTCCCATGCATGGCATTGCAGCTTAATCGTGTTACTGTTAATTGAGCCAAGTTAGCTGGGTTTTCCCAGCTAAAGTAGCTTGAGTGACTCCAGCTGACATGCTCATATTCATTCACATGTAGCGCTGGAGGAAGGCCTGTGCGTTTCCATGTGGTAGCAAGAGACCCTAAAAAAATGGCCTCTCCCAAAAATTGTTCATTTTCACCTCTAATATCCCACCCCAGAGTTCACCCACATACCTCATACATTCAGCAGTTATTTACGAAGCCTAATGATCGATTTGAAACAAGACCAACAAAAAAAAAGTGAAAAATCTTGACGATTTCGGTGGCTTGTCCGTAAAAATACGCCTGTTCCAACGGCTGTATTCCATTTTGTTTTGCTAATTATATTAATGTATGCATCACGTGATGACATAAAAAAAATCGGCGCGCACGATGTATTTGGGTACCACACCGCTTTCAGGCGCCGCAAGTGAGTTCAATTTTCGTCTGGTGCGTTGCCGTGGAGAGCATTCTCGTTGTCTTGCTTTCCGCGACAACGCACCAGACGAAAATTGAACTCACTTGCGGCGCCTGAAAGCGGTGTGGTACCCACATACATCGCGCGCGCCGATTTTTTGATGTCATCATCACGTGATGCATACATTAATATAATTAGCAAAACAAAATGGAATACAGCCGTTGGAACAGGCGTATTTTTACGGACAAGCCACCGAAATCGTCAAGATTTTTCACTTTTTTTTTGTTGGTCTTGTTTCAAATCGATCATTAGGCTTCGTAAATGACTGCTGAAATTATGAGGTATGTGGGTGAACTCTGGGGTGGGATATTAGAGGTGAAAATGAACAATTTTTGGAGAGGCCATTTTTTTAGGGTCTCTTGCTACCACATGGAAACGCACAGGCCTTCCTCCAGCGCTACATGTGAATGAATATGGAGCATGTCAGCTGGAGTTACTCAAGCTACAGCTAAACACGCTAAAGCACGATCAAGATCAGTACAGCACGGCTCATACTTACCAGGGATAAAGTAGCAAAAAAATAACTTCGTTTTAATGGATATTAACAACAATTTGTTAGTGTTAGTTACTATCTTGTTAAATTTGTTATTTTTGTTGCTCAAGTTGCTGTCAGTCAAAGCTGAGTTCTGATGATCAGTGCAGTGGGCTGGTCGCGTAGAAAAACATCCGTGAAAAAGTTGTCGTGATCCCATTCAGTTGCTACATGTTTGTACCTTGTACCAGAAAGGGTACCAGACTGTTTTCCCCCTCTTTCGATGTCATGCTACCAGACGTCACCTCAGTTCCTCTAACTGGGCAGGAGACCCAACAGGGTGGGCACCCGACTTTGATCGTTTTGTAAACACGGGGGCGTGTCATTTAGCAAGAGAGGGGGCGATATAATTAAACGATATTATTATATATTAATACATATGAAGATATTCATTTTTGCCAAAAGGACAAAAGCATAAAAAGTGTTAACCTTTTTTTTTCCGAGGAACAGGCAAGGTCAGGTGTGGTTGACCCTTTCTCACCATCTAATAATTAAGGCGGCGTTGGGGCCACTGGGAAAAGGAAAGGGTTTGTTTCCTCTTTTTTTTCTTCAGAATAACAGAAAATCAAGGAAACTTTCATTTATTTCATAGCAGTGGCACACCCAAGGGGGGGGGGGGGGACGCTCGGGGGCCATGAGCCCACTCCCCCCCCCCCCCCAACCAAATCCTGGGTGCGCCACTGTCTTTGTTTAATGAATCGGGTAGAGATAGCTTATGCCAGCAATTAAAGGGAAAATACAACATTTGCAAACATCAAAAAATAAAACTACCAACTCATTTTGAAATACCTTGCTGGACTGTTAGTGAATGACAGTGTAAAGCATCCTGTAAAATCATGGCACCTGGTATACTGTCATTTTCAAGAAAAGTGGTATTTTTGTATCAATTTCCAACGTTGATCGGCCGATCAGCGTTGGAAAAAACTGGCTTTTTTTCAAATACTGGCCCCAGTTGACCATAGCACTTGTTTGCAATCGATTACACACCTATGAACGGGTACAAGCCAGCTAAACTGGTTCCCTGACCTTACAATTCCCAAATGTATGTAAACTGCTCTGTTTCTTCTTAAATGGAGTCAGGGAACCAGACTACAGGAAAATGATCGTTTTTCTTGGTTTTTATAGCATTTTAGAACCCAAAACCTCAAAAAAGTCAGTGTAACTATATTTGCTATATATTTCCAACCCCCCAATTCCATGCATTTCTGAAAATTACAGCAAAAGCAAATGATGTACATTCCCTTTAAACCGTGACTGTGAACAAAAAAACAAGCACTCTGATGTCTAATTTCGGGTTTGGGGGCAAAAAACAATGTTCGAAAGTTTATCAAGTGGGCATCAAAGTGCCTTTTCACAATGTGATAGGCCTACTCAGGCTCAAGCGGCCGAGAGGCGCCGCACTATTTGGCAAAGTCAGACTTGAGTCAAGTCTAACCTTCTTGCATTGAAAAAGAGACTTGCAAAAGAGCAATTTATACATTCGATGGCACTAACGAGCTTTCGTAATTTATACATTCGATGGCACTAACGGGCTTTCGTACAGTTACACTAAAAATTGAGGATAACAGGAAACCATTCAACCCCGTTTCGTTATTTATAATGTATTCTGTTCGAACAGTACAGTAAAGAGACGTGTATGAAGTCTACCTTTTCACTAATATTGAATATTCATCACATAATATCTATTATAGCCAATCAGATCTCGTGATGGAGCAGCAGCATCCAATCATTAGTCTCGAAATGACAATTTGCATATTGAAAGCATTATCGGGAGAGTAGTAGTGCAATCAAGCATATCGCATATAGAAAGGCATTTTTAGCTCACCCATGACCTAGTACATGTACATAATCTTTGAGATTGTAATAGATCAATAAGATAATACATTTCACCAAATTAAACGAATTCCATTAAAATGATTGAGATATAGAAATACCAAACGATTTTCAATGAAAGCCATCAGAATGGGATGGAGAATGAACAAGAAAAATGTGGTAAAAAATTCTGGCTGTTTTGTATTGAAATTTGAAAGACGTGTTCTGTAATTAACATGCTTGATCTTGTATACCTTTTGGGGACTTATATTATAAGCTTTATTTTCCCATGTCAAAATTGTCGTGAAAATCAATTCATGGGTCCAAACAATATCGAAGAACAGGGGTTAGAAGGTAGTTTGATTTTTTTCCCCTGCAAAACCGGAGAGTATAAAGTTGTCCATGGTGAAATGCTGTGATGCCTAGGGTCACCAATAGGGTACATCATTTAAGACAACTTTTTATCCCGTTTTAATCTCTTTTGAGTTTGGAAAATCCCAGCAAAACTTCAAATGGCTGTTTTTAAAAGGCATTTTAGCAACACTGACTGCGATTTTTCGGTATTTGTGTGTTTTTTGCATGCTAAAGTAAGTTGAAACACACGAAGGAAGTGAATATGGATGTGCAGAAAAAAGCCTTGCTGAGCTAGCCTGTCGATGATGGCAGCCTGGTTAGCCGTGTGTGTTGTGTCGCCACATGCATTGTTTGATGTCATTCCTCTTGCGCCGACCAAATTATGCACAAACGCAGCACGCATACACGGCAGCCATTTTGAAAGACCCGACTGTGCCAAATTTCCCGTCAAATTTCTTCGCCGTATCGCCCAAAAATATCACACAATCTCAGCGGTAAGTTAAAGAGTAGATATTATTATATTAGTAGAGTCAAAATTTTGGCGGTTATTGCCACCGCAAAGTCGGGGAAATGGAGGTTATTTGTCCAAAAAATTCCTTTAAATGAGATGTCTTTTCGTGGAAATTCCCGTGTCCACGCCCGTATTTTTCACTCAGCGAGATTATGAACTTCAGACCGCGCATTTCGCGTCCCATTCCGGTGATATTTTGAAGCCAAAACATCACAGAAGTGACCATTGTTTAATGGTGAATGTAATTAAATATTAGGAAGCTCATAATGGGGATTATTTCGCACATATTCCATGTTACGTTTGGTTTAGTTGGGTGCCTGCTCACAAGTGCGTGGCATACCGTTCAAAACGTCTAGTCTGGTGGTGGCGGGGTCCGACTTCCGCGCGCGAGATAATGAATGAATGTGAATGGAAATTGGAATAGTGGGGTTGCGGTTACATTTTCTTTTCAGGAATTTTAGGTTATACTCCCTCTTTTTGGGAAGGAATAACCTGTATAATTTGAATTTGGCCCTGAAATATTTTTAATTATCAAGTTCTAGGCCCTATTTACTTAATTGTCCATGATGCTATGTGAACAAACTTTGATTTTTTTTTTTTTAACTTTCATTTCAAAAATCTAATTGGAAAGAAAATGTTTAAAAGCCAAGGCAAACACATTTGTGTAACTTGTTATCTATGCCACATTTAAAACATTTTTGTCTTGAAAAAATATTCAAAAAGTTAATATAAAGTTGCATAATTAATTATTCCACGCATTCAAAATAACACTTAAAGTTATATAGCCTGCTTTTCATTTTGGCGTAGGCCAACGCGAGTTGATTTGAACAAAACAAGAAATTTTACTAGTTGAAGATGACAGCCACACATATCTACCCCAAAATACTCTGCATCGCCGTAATTTTAGGCCAAGAAGAAAATACACATGTGTAGTGTAGGCCTTTCTGAAATGGCAATAGCCAAATAAACATGATTTGAAGTATACCAAACAGTCAGTTGGACAACAAGTTCTCTGTCCCTGGGTGACAAACCATTTTGGCGAAATTCAGGAAGGCCCCTGGCCAAAAACCTTTGGATCTTCATTCGCATCGGTTCATGTTTAAGAGTTTTGTTGATTTACAGCCATTTGACCGAAGTTGATGATACATGTACAATCTTTCACTAAACTTTTCCTGTACTGTTGGTTTTTTTTGGTTCTTTTCACAGCCAATGTTGACTAAAAAGTAATGTATGAAGGCAAGCACATTCACTTCTCGGAAGACCAGAAGCCACTGTGTTCTTGCAGTACCAAAGTCTGCAAACAGCGCCGAATCAATGGCTACGCCTTCTGCATCCGTCACATTCTGGAGGACAAGTCCGCCCCCTACTACCAGTGCGAGTTTGTCAACCGGTACAACGGGCTGCCCTGCACAAACCCGATAAAGCGAGGGGGAAACAGCAAGTACGTGGTCCAAATTATGATGAGAAATGAGAATGTGATGAATCGCTTTTTAATGACCATCTACAGAGAAAATGAAACATGAACAAATTTGGGATAAAAATGCAAAGTAGTATGATGAAGTGAGCATTTATCTCAAGTTACATGATTCTTCCATTATTTTCCAGTCAACTTATCATGTACTCTGTCAGTCAAAGTCAAAGAAATAGATTCTCCGCACAATAGGAAAATAAAGTTGAGAGAAATTTCTCAAAACCTGCTGATGAAACTGACGATACTGGTAATACATGACTTACATGGTTAGACCTTCAACTTGAAGCTATAGTCCATCATTTGCAGCAATCCGAAAAGTAACTGGCGTAATTATTCTTGAAAAACATACTTGGTTGAAAGATAGTAAGTGGACTAAACTCCCTGTGAAATTATTCTTTCTGGCAAGCTGTCATTTTGAAGTAATCAACGAAAGAAGGCCTTTCCAACGGTGCGTCTTAAGACGCACCGTAGGAAAATTTAAATTAGTAGTTCGTTTTGTTATTCGGCAAAGCGCGCGCAAGCATTGGCACGACGCACACGCGCGCGTGGTTGCTATAATTCGTCTGATCAGTGCGCGACATCGCGTAGCTGCAATCGGCTCATTGACAACGTGTCTCGGCTGCTGAATTCAGGCCCAATTCAAAACGTGATTCAGCAACTTTTGATTTGAAATTGAGATCCTAGAATGCTGTTTTTCTCGGAATATACAGCTGAAGCTGAGCTGAAACTTCATCAGGTTAGTTGTTCAGTATCCTTCATTAGATTTTGAACACTTTTGTTGCTTCAAACGAACAAAATGCACAAATTACAAATGATGGACTATATCTTTAACACCCTGAGGTGTAAGAAACCATATTTTGTGCATTGGTGATTGGTCACCGCTGTTCGCGAGCGTGGTGCTGTATAGTAGACACACACAACGTGTATATCGTACATTGACTGAGAACGACAGGACACGACTGAGAACGTATTCGTACTCCGTCGTGTTAGATGTAAACAACCAGGTTTTTTTTTCTTTTCTTGGGAAGGGTAAGACATTAGGTTTGTTTCCTTTCAACCAGATGTTTGAAATTGGATAAGTAGACAATCCAAAACATGAACATTTTCTGGGATCTCAGGACCTAGTGCCCCTTTAATTAAGTCCATTCGTCATGTTGACTGCATCACTAAGCCAGCTTCTCCGCGTAAGGTTTCTGCTGCACGTGTTGCACTTCCATTATTTCCACGTGCAAATTATGAAAAGGGCACGTAAGTGCGGCATGTAAATGACAACAAACTTTTTTGAAATATAAAAATGGGTAATATTTCCCAACATTTGGGAGTGAAATAATCAAATTTAAATAACAACGCTTGCGGAGTGTTAAATCACAGGGCATAGGAACTGTATAGCAAATGTCAGCAATTTCAAACTTGTAAATTTTAGGAATTTCTCCATAACTATATTTTCACGGTTCTGCAACGTGTTTTTCATGGTATTTGTCACAGAAGATGTAGACAGAATCTGACTACTTCAGCATTTATAAGCAAGCTTTTGTTACTGGATTTCACCAGAACACAAAGCTGTGAGCGAGACAGTCATACAACATACAAATACAGAATGACTGCTTTGTAATGTCTACAACTCTACATTGACAGAACAAATTTTATTTTGTTCTCAGAATCACACCACCACTGTGAACTGACATTGACTCTCAAACCTAATTTGATTTACATCACCTCGACGCAAAATTCCATCTTATGAACAAACCTACTTTGAATTCTCAATATCGTGTACAACATGTACATCAGAGTGTAATTGGGAACCCTTACATGTATTATATGTTGGTGAATCTCCTACCTTCACCCACTTAACTTCATTCTTTGACAGCAGAGAGTTAGTTCAATATTTACAATATTTCCATTGCAGATTCTGCGTCAGCCACTTGCAGGTCTTGGGCCTGGTCCCCAAAAAAACCAAAAAGAGCAAGGCTGGAGTTGTCTCCCATGAGCAGAATGACATCCCCAGGATAGAACCACACAATGCCGTGATTGAAGAGCGTGCCAACAGGTCTAAAGTGCCCAAGGAAAAGAAGAAGAAAGACAAGCACAAGCGCAAGCATGAGAAACACAGGAACAGATCCAAGAAGTCGGATGCGACACAGGCTGAAGGTGCAGTGAGCGACAATTCTCTGACTTTTAATCCCCTGGAGTTGCTGTTGAGATCCTCCCCACACCTGCCGTCGGTAGAATCAGCAAATCTTCCCTCAGCCGCCACCCACAATGGTCCTGACGATGGCAGCGCCGCCGGCGCGACTGAAAAACCAAAGAAGAAATCCCGATCGAGGCAGTCCTCACTGCAGGACCGGATGCGAGACAAGCTGGAGAAGAACAAGGTGCGGTTAAAACTGCAGCGGGAGCGGGAACTGCAAGCCAGGCTGCAGCAGGCGGCCAAACCTCAGTCGCCAGATCAGTGCACTACCTCGCCCGCACCGTCGCTCGGTACCCCGTCCTCCAGTCTTTCCCATCCGTCGCTGTTCGCAGACTTCGGTGACCATCTGCCCTCTATGCCGCCTCACTTAGCACATTCCAAGACGAAAGCGGACACCGCCAACTTGCCGTTTGCTGTGACCAACCTCCCACCACTAAGTGCCTCCGTTGTGCAAGCCCAAACCAAGAAACCCAGAACGTTGTATACAAAGAAACTAGGACTGAAATCTTTGGATAATCTCAGAGAAATATATCAACATGAAGAAGAGAGACGCTTGGATCTGTTTTCATTAGGTAAGTACCCTACATACATCATTTACTATCGTATTATTGTTTTGCTTTTGTAGTGTTGAATTATTGTGGTGCATAAATGCATGTACATTGTACATGTACTACATGTAATTTTTCAACAAATTGGCAATAATCTTGGTTGTGCAAACAAGATTCTTAAAGCTACAGTCCATCATTTGCAGCTATCCAAAAAGTAACTGACCTAATTATTGTTGAAAAACATACTTGGTTGAAAGATAGTGAGGGGACTAACCTCCCTGTGAAATTTTTTTTCTGGCATGCTGTCATTTTGAAGAAATCAACGAAAGAAGGCCTTTCCAACGCAGCGAAGTGCGTGCAAGCGTTGACACGACGCACATGCGCACGGTTGCTATAATTCGTCAGATCAGTGCGCGACATCGCGTAGCTGCAATCGGCTCTGTGAGAATGTGTCTCGGACACTGAATTCAGGCCCAATTCAAAACATGATTCAGCAAGTTTTGATTTGAAATCGAGATCCTAGAATGTTGTTTTTTCTCGAAATATACAGCTGAAGCTGAGCTGAAACTTCATCAGGTTAGTTGCTCAGCACCCTTCTTTTTTTGAGATTTTGAGCACGTCTGTTGCTTCAAATGAACAAAATGCACAAATTACAAATGATGGATTGTACATTTAAAGAGATTTTAAGACTCATAAATGTATTATGTACTGTTGTGTGTGTGTATCCTATGATGTATGTCACTACTAACCAAAACAGGTGTGCAGTGCAGATGAACTCATATCATTTTCCTTGGATGATAGTATTCTGGAAACATGTATGTATTTTTGTGATAGCGCTATACTCGGACTCAAATTTTATGAACAGGTACAAATTATCTGAGAATTTCCCTAAAAATTTGGGCTTCAAAGTTGAGAATTTTTGTTGAGTGAAATAAACCCTGAATTATGACTCAGCAATGAATCTGTCTAGCCCAACAGGTTATTTACCATATTTACTGGGTCGTAAAAGCAAATTAATCAGGTGAATGAGTTTTGGGTATGCAGCTTGAGTACAGCCAAGAATATTTGAACCTTATGCGTGGGTTGCGGTCCCTGTGTTGCAATAAAAATAGTAATTACTAGCACATCATGACTTCTTTTTTTTGGGGGGGGGCGTGTTTGTAAATCTAAGAAGACCATAATGCAGAGATTACTTTGAAATCGGACGGAATGTAAAACTGTTTACAACAGACTTCAGAAACGAAAAGAGTGTGCATCGATCTTAGTAGATGAAATGTTGATGAACTGCCATAAATACAATGTACATGCAGACAAATCCAGCGTTGTAAAAGGCAGTGTAATGTCCATGACAGAGCCAATTAACCATGATATCTAATTAATAATTCAGAGAGGTGATCCCAAACTCCTCCTCATCTGTTATCGCTTTGATCATTTCCAGATGATGGATGTATAAGATTTAAAAAAAAAAAAAATACATTTTTAGGAATGTAATTTTTTTTAATGCAGTCTGTGAAAATGCACCTTTGTGTCCCATTTAATCCAATTTTCAATTTTCATTTTGCCATTTGCAAGGGTCTTGTGGTGCCTTATTGGTGTTTGTGCTAATGCAAATTTCCGAATTCTGGAGCAAAATTGTGGTAACCTCAATGTTGCAGCATTTTCAACACCAAAAGTAGCCAGAATTTTGGATACTTTGCTGTCCTAAATTTTCTTTTTCTTTGGTGATTCGTCGTGTCAATACATGGCAATGGAAGCCAATGAGCAAACTTTTCTCCCAAGTATTGCAGTGAGCACACATATTTGGGTACACCATTGTAACAGAAAACCCATAAACTGAACTGAAGTGACATCACAGCAACAGCGCCCTCACTTGTCCGGAAAAGCATGGACAATTTTAATTGTCTAAAGAAGTAAACTTTTCAATAAAATTAACCAAAAAGGGGATGTCAAATAGTTTTCATACATTTAAGAGTCCAGAGTGGAAAGTTGCACAAAATATGTTACTAAGAAAAAATTCATTGCATGGCCCTTTAATTACAAGCTCGGACACGGACTTGGAATTGTCGATGTATTTATAACAGGATTTGTGTACAAGCCCAAAGAAGGTGCCTCTGTGATCTGACAACTTTAATGAGATAATTCCCTTTTCTCCTAAAAAAAGAACCACATGTGGTGACACATAAACAGCACTCGTCTTAGTACTACTTATATTTATACACAGGGCGTATTTGTGTTGGGGTTGAAAATGTGGGGAGTTAAATGTAAATGGGGATTTAGTTGAGAAGACATGCAGTAATAGAAAAGCAATTTCTGTGGAGCGATCTGAGGCAATTTCTGACCACGATAGTAAAACCACTGTTTGAACAACTTAAAGATCATCTTTTAAACATCATATTCGAGTTTGGAGTCATTGAATCAGCTATTCTGAGCAAAAGTATATTTTAGTAGGCTACAATTTTTATTCGGGGAAGAAAAAGTGCGGGGAAGGGGGGACAAAATGATATTCCCCGCTTTAAAATGTTGGGTTAGGGTCCCGTCCCCCACCGATTGATGCATGTGTATGTCACCCAACAAAGCATGCTGTAACATGTGTTTTAGTGTACATGTACCTCATTTAAAGAATAAGAATTACATGTTAAAGGGGATTGCATCCTAGGATGCACCTAATTGGTCTACAAAATGCATTTTAAACAAAATGATATTCATTGGAAAGAGCATTTAAAAGTAGGATATATATAAACTTCCACACAACCACCCTTTAACACCTTGGCGTTTTTGTGTTATTCTTACGAGAACCATGCGAGATCGAATTTCGGGGGTCGAACTTTTAACTCTCAAAAACTGAGCTGTTGAGTGCTGGTTGTGAATCCTGCCACACCGTGCATTGTATTCTGCAGACGTGCGAAAAACAACATTTGTGTATTGCTGCTGTATGCATTATGTGTCACACACAGACACAACATGTATCGTACGTGGAATGGATTTGGCTGGAAGTACATATGCGTATGCCACAAAATATCCGCAGCGTCTGATGTTTACAAACAGCTCAGGGTTTTTTTTTGGGGGGGGGGGGTCTTTTCTCGGGAACAGTAAGACATTAGGTTAGTTTCCTTTAATTCAACCAGAACTTTTGAAATAGGATAAGTAAACAATCCAAAACGTAGAATTTTTGGGATTTCAGGCCGTAATGTCCCTTTAATTAACCCTAACCCACCTCACTCCTCCAAAATCCTCCTGGCGGTTTTGGAGGATTCTAGAGGATTGAGGATGAATGGTGATTGAATCAAATGAGGATTCTGGAGGATTGAGGATGAATGGTGATTGAAGCACATGAGGATTTTGGAGGATTGAGGATGAATGGTGATTGAAATTTGGAGTTGGTTTATCCTTCATTTAAACACGAGTGCAAAATTTTGGGATGAGGAGGATTTTGGAGGATTGAGGATGAATGCATTTTGAGGCAGGACTGTCCGATGATTTTGAAGGATTTGGAGTTGGTTTATCCTTCATTTAAACACGAGTGCAAAATTTTGGGATGAGGAGGATTTTGGAGGATTGAGGATGAATGCATTTTGAGGCAGGACTGTCTGACAATTTTGAAAAATTTTGGAGGATTTTGGAGGATTGAGGATGGTTGTAAGCAACAAGGGCCTAGGTTTTTTTTAATGGCATCACTATTCACTCCTAACAAATGTAAGACTGTGCCCATAGTTGAATCTGTTGACCCACTTATAAATGTGTTATGGAAATGAGAACGCAAAGAAAAACACAATTGCACATCAATTTATTATTCCGTCCTACATGTACATGTACGTTACATGTATACAGTTGCTCCGGATATGTTTTAATTTGGATTCATGACTTTTTTTATTAGAGAGGGTACTTGATTGTTCAAACATTTGAAATACATGTATTATGTTTTTGAATGATAATTTACCTGTCTTTCAACAAATGCACTTGCATGTACATGAACATAATTACAATGTAGATTCAGAGTACACTTGCTTGCAATTGTATCATGTTCATGAATGTCACAAAAACACTCAGTCAGACAAACAGGCACAACTTTCAAAATGCAAGCTTGTAAATTTATACAGTATTTTTATGTTCATTAAGCTACACGTAAGCTACGAGTGTACATATACACGTACAGCAATGTTATGTGCATTGTACAGCATTAATTAATTAATGTTGAACATGTACTCGTACTGTGTGTACAGTCCGGATTTATTGTGTTGCCCTAACAAAGTTCGGGTGACACTTACCACTACCAGTCCAAAATTCGTTATCCCCGTTAAGTAATCCCCGTACTGACCAGGACCACTTGTGGGGTACTTCTACAAAGGGAACGGTACCCCACATTGAAATCTTAAGAAAAACGGTACCCCACAAGTAAAATCTTTAGGAAAAGGGATAAAAAGACAATGATGCTCCTACCCCACAAGTCCTTCCCACATGAAGTTATCCGTACGACAGTTTGATCGCAGATCGTATACATTTTGTTCATGAAGTTTGGGTTAAGTTTTGGAGTAAAATTTATTACTTCGATAAGCTTTCATGGATTTTGATGAAACCTGGATGCAGTGACCCTTGGGTGGGGTGACACAATTCTTCATTGGATTACTGAGGTCAAAGGTCATGTTTGGGGTCATTAGAGGTCATTGTTTAAATATGCTTCAAATGTTTCTTTGTCTACAGAATTTGATGGATTTTAATGTCACTTGGATCCTTGATGGGAGGGGGTTCGTGACAAGTCTTCTGAAATTGGAGGTCGAAGGTCATCTAGGGGTCAATTGAGGTCATTCTTTAAAAATGCACAACATTTGACTTTTTTTAAGAACACAAAAAAAACATGTATAGGGACCGACCGCGAAGAAAGGCGACACGTGCGATCCGTGGGCCACTTGTTAGATGTACACGTATACATGTTGCCCACTAGATTAAAAATAAATGTCATCTCATGGCCGAGAGCAGCAACATGATACATAATACATGTACATGTCATCAACAGTTCAATTAACATTGATCACGTCTGTAGACAATTTGTGGACAGGTGGCATAAACAGAATGTGATATTGATCTCTAGTCCACAGGGGATTCCCCAGTTCTTTGCTATTTTAAACGGTCGGCACAAAAACACATGTATGCGTGAGTGGTTCCCGGAAGTTGCCATTTATTCAATGGACACGTCCGTACAAAATGTGTTTACTACACGTGTACACGCATATATATCTGAATTCATAGATAATTGGAGGGCAACAGTGAATATTTAATAGCATGGTCGATCAACGTTTTTTTTGTCATATTGGTTTTTTAAGTGAACGCCAGGGAACATTGTATTTTCAGTCGATCGTTTATCTGAAACAGGAATCTGTAGAGACATTCAACTTGAAAGGTGCAAAGTGTGAGTCTTAATGCTTTTATTAAATGACATTTTGAAATAGCCGCATTGACGGATGACAAAGCACGAAAGTAGATCAATAATTTTCAGCTTCGCGACAGGAAAAAAGTCCTCAACTTGTGCCGTTGTGGACAGTGAAGTGACAAATTAAAAAATGTAAATTGTATTTCAGAACTACCCCAGAAGGAAAATGCCAAAAAGACTAAAACGGGACCAAAATTAAATAAGCAATAGTTCAGTTGAATTGTAAGTTATAAATGTAATAGAATTTCCTTCAAATTACAAGGCAGGCATTCACTTGAACATGTGCATATTTCATCGATAACCAATTATAACAATGTATCCCGATAGCTGCAAGTTGATTTGAAATTTATTTTAAGAGGTTTGGCATATTGATAAGATGTATGAAATTATAGTGTGGAGTTAATAAACGTACATGTACGTTTACATGCATTTTATACATGTACATAGCGTTAGGCGAAGTAAAAAAACAAACAAGTTTCTCGTCCCCGCCCGCTTCCTTTTTGGAGGCCGCCTGGATTTTTTTATGATTTTTTATTTTTGAAAAATGTAGTAGAAACACACCGAAAAAGTCAACAAATTCATTGGAAAATAAATACCAATACAACTCTAAATGACACTGTAAATATGTTCAGTTCTCTTGTCCAACTTGTCTTTCATCTTTAAAAGTGTCTTTGAACAGTGGAACACCAATGGTTGCAGGAAATTTTGAAAAGGCGGTCATCTTGAAAAAAATAAAAAATAAAAAATAAAAAGCCCCACTTCCTCCCTTTTTTCAAAAACCCCGGACGAGGAAACTATTTTTTTTTTTACTCGGCCTTATGACCGAGGAAAGTACATGTACGTACATGTACATATGATGGTCATTGGTGATACACTGTATAGATTAAAATCATGTGCAGCAATCAAATGATGCAATACTGCAAAAGTAGGTCTGTTTGTAAATTTACATGCAAACTGCAAACTGAAAACAAACATACATGTATCGTGAATAGTCTGAAAGGTCAGTTAACTTTTAAGATCACTTAGCCCACCGACGAGTTCTTATCAGCAAAAGGCCTTTGACTAAAATTCAGACGATTAATAATAAAACTGTCCCTCTGTGCTGAAAATTATTATTTTTCTACCCGTGCATGCGACTGATTCAATTTTCAGATAAAATGTCCTGATGTTATCAGTAGATTTAATGGTTTTATTTGCAAAATATCTACATTGTAGGTTTATAACTTAAATAAGTAATGGCAAGTAATTACAATTTTTTTTGTAATTGGAAAGTGGGGAGTGGAACTCACTTTTGAAAAATAATTCATGAGATTGGGGAAAGGTCAGCACAGCAGATTTTCAGTGTTATACATATTTTTTTGTTTCCTTAAAAAAATTAAATATTTATAAATTGATTTTTTTATCGCAGGGAAAATAAATTAAATAATTGTAGGTTATGCGGGAATTCATAAATGAAATTTGTTTGCCTGTTTTTGAAATTAGAGACGAGAAAGAAACTTGCACATTGCTGCACGAAATGCCGTTGACAAAATTCGCGGCATGCATATCGTGGCCCCAAGCAGCCAAAAAATGCAAAAATTACCATCACCTGTTAACCCTTGAACGCCATTTACATTGTAGAGTCGCACCTACGTTCATGTTTGTATACATGTTTGTTTTATTTCATTCATACAAAGCATAAGGATACAAAATATGTTAGCATTTATAAAATAAAATAAATTAAAAGAATGTAGTAACGTTCAATACTGTAACCTGAACGGATGGAAACCGTATACGGCACGTTCAATTGAAATATTGGTTGGATACACCGTGCACTGTTTGCCCATAGGGGCCGTTCTTGTGACATGAATGAACTGGTGTTCACATGTCCCAACGGGTAATATAACTCCTTCACACTTCAGTCCCATGAGCGCAATTAGATTAAACAAGGAAAGCGCCCCCAGCAGGTATCGCACTGACCCAATAGGGAGTTATCTTGATCAAGCCTGTGTTTTGAAATGTAATCAAATGTAATGAAATGTAACGAAAATGTGATGATATGTATTGAAATGTAACAACGTGTAATTAAATGTATTACAATGTAGTGAAAGGCATTGAAATGTAATTTTGATTTATGTGAATGCAGAGTAATAAGGATGTCTGTTTCATTTTCATTTTTCTTTTGCAACAGGTTTAGAATACTCATCCGACGAAGATGACGAGGACCGATTTCCTCATCGCAGATATACGCCAAGATTCCCCGACTATAGCAGCAGTAGCAGCAGTCGCAGCAGTCTGAGGTATGTACACTTTTATGCATTTGACCTTTTCAGCTATCTGCTTTGATCTTGCATGTATAAAGGTCTCTCTCAAATGACGTCATTTCCTACAGACCAATCACATGCATCGGCATTGTGAGCGTCAACTTGCATAACGCGCATCGGCTGCGTCGTATTTCGAACACATTTCGAGCAGCAAGCGCGCGTGCTTGGAACATTTTGAACACTGCGCAATGCGTGCTTGTTTGCGTAAAATGCGCAGTTGCAGTTCTCCTACAGAGATGGCTGTCTTTGAGAGAGACCTGTATTGGGAATTAAGGTTTACCATTACAATGTAAGTGTTTTTATCATTTACAAATTAAATTTCTTTCTTAATTAATTCACAGGGGATAATACATTTGGTGGATGTTTTTTCAGCAGAACATGGACTTTTTAAGTAGACATGTAATGATTCATTGATTTCAATGAATTTGTTCACTTGGCTATGCATTTTTAAAATAGTTTTAAAAAAAGGAAAAAAAACCTGAAAAAGACTATTTTAGGCACCAGAAGTGCTTATTAGCAGACAGACATCTTGTACTTGTGAAGAAAATAAAGTTTCAAAAAAATAAGAAAAATGGAACCAAAATTTACTGTGACTACAGTGTTTCACTACGTAGTTTATTGCAAACAAGTGATACCACGGGGAAAAAAAACAGATTTCTAAAATTGAAAAAAAAATGAAACTCAATACTAACATTAACAAAAACAAAATTGTTTTTTCTTTCACAGTAGTCCATCGGACCGATCCAGCAGACAGGAACGCCTTGAAGAGCTGAGCTCTCGTCTAGGGAGCCAGTGTGCCTGCCTGGTCCAGTCAGATCGCTGCCAGCGCAGTCAACGGCTCAAGTCTAAGAGGCTGTGCCTGGCTCTCATCAAGGCGGCCAGGGAGCATTCGTTCGGTGCCGTGGTGTCATTACTGGGATTACGCAGGCAGCCGTTGACAAGGTGGGTGACAGCGAGTCGGCCTGTTGAAGAGATTTCTGGTTGGGGTTGGGTGAGCTGGGAGAATAGCTGGGCAAAGTGATGTGGGAAAAAAAATTATCAATGGCAAATGTATTTTAAGTTGCCCTACCCGTGCTATTTTTTAGTTCAGCCTGAAACAAAAATATTTTAAAGCGCCCATGAAATGAATTGTTCTTGGGAACATTTTTTGTGCAACTTTCTACTCCTCTAAATAAATGTATGGAAACTATTTGACATCCTTTTTGGTTAATTGTATACAAAAGGGCACTTCTTTAAACATTTTTTAAAATTTTGATGCTTTTCCGCTGTTGCTGTATAATGTCATATCACGAAGACACTGTTAAGTTTAGGGGTTTTCTGTTCAAATGTGAACCCATTTATCTGCTCATATGAAAACATTTGCGAGAAAAGTTTGCTCATTGGCTTGATATTGCCGTGTGCTGACGCAACAATGAATCACCAAACAAAAGAAAATTTACAACAGCAAAATATCCAAAATTCTGGAAACTTTTTGTGCCGAAATAGCTGTCACACTTTTGCTCATTTCTGTAGCAGTGCTAAAGTTATTCACTTATGAATGAGACATTGGTCAAAAAATCCGCCAGGTTTCATTCTGGAATAATTTACAAATTTTGACATATTTGCAGAAAGATTCAAACTCAGTGGGATTATTTGTGCATTAGCTAACCCTAACCCTGCTAAATGCAACGGAAAGCAACAATGGTAAAAAGTTGTTGCATACTGTTGCATACTGTTGCATTTAGCAGCCAACTCAAGTCCCCGTGCTTTGTTGCAATCTTGTTGCATTTAGCAGGATAACTGCTCATAGTGCCAAGGCAATACAACAGAATCCACTGTTGCATTTGGGTGCCAAGGCTGGTATGCACTGGGTTCACTGCACAATGCAACAGAATGTGCTGTTGTAATTTGTTGCACGTAGCATGGTTTCTATTTCAGCCAAGTTGGATTTTGTTGCATTTGGCAGGGTGCCTAGAGAAAACCTGTTGGGGGTTAGGGTCAGTGACTCAAACGCATCCCAAACTAAAGGCCATGGTGATGATTGGCATTCTGTTTCAACATTGAATAGCATACAACAAGTTGAATATCTTGTAAGGAGTTGGTCTTAGTATTGCATTGTTTGTATGTTCTGTGTTTTTCCAGGCCCAAGGTAGAGCTCCCACCAGATAGGACCTGTGTCAGCAAAGAGGAGAGCGGGGAGGCGTGTCAGGAGGAGGCTATGCCGTACTCCGGACACTGCTATAGACGTATCCTTATCATAACAGTCAATTGAAAGCACGGTGGTTGCTTAAAGCCAGAGTCCATCATTTGCAGCTATCCAAAAAGGAACTGGCGTAATTATTGATGAAAAACGTACTTGGTTGAAAGATAGTAAGGGGACTAAACTCCCTGTGAAATTATTCTTTCTGGCAAGCTGTCATTTTGAAGAAATCAACAAAAGAAGGCCTTTCCAACGGTGCTTCTTAAGAAGCACCGTAGGAAATTCAAATTAGGATTTTTATTTGGTGAAGGGCGCGCAAGCATTGGCACGATGCATACACGCGCGCGGCTGCTATAATTCATCGGATCAGTGCGCGACGTCACGTAGCTGCAATCAGCTCAGTGAGAACGTGTCTCGGACGCTGAATTCAGGCCCAATTCAAAATATGATTTAGCAACTTTTGATTTGAAATCGGATCCTAGAATGTTGTTTTTCTCGAAATATACAGCTAAAGCTGAGCTGAAATTTCATCACGTTAGTTGTTCAGCACCCTTTTTTAGATCTTGAGCACTTTTGGTGCTTCAACGGAACAAAAAGCACAAATTACAAATGATGGACTATACCTTTAAAGCCATTGCTCTGCTACATCCTCCAACTCCCTACAATATTTACAAAAAATTTCTTCACTTTTTTTGTATTGATCTCCAATATCTGCCTCTGCACTAAGTGTTAAATTCATAGCTCAATTGCAGTAACAGACTAAAGTAAACAAGTCCCCCACCCACCCAATTCCTCGAAATTTGTAAAAAAAATATTTATCAGCAAAATAAGTCATCTAAGATTCTCCAGAAGATACTTGGGTGGTGAGCCAAAGTGTCCTCCTGTTCACTTCAACTAGAGTTCATGTACAGTACGTCCAACTGGTATGGGCTAAATTACACCAAAACGAGCAAGGGTAAAAGGACCATCATTATGATTAATTGTGAGTCCTTTACATTGGTGTATTTTTGATGTAATTTTCTAAAAATGAGTAGAAGTGAACAATCCTATTTTACATTTCTCTTGTTAGGCACCAAAGTGACAGACGGTGTGATTTATTTGCATACAAGTATTTTTTGTTTCTTCTTTTTAAAAGTGTTTTCTTTCAGGGGATTGGAAGTGAGAAGTAGCAGAGAATGTAATTTCTTGCCCTGAATCCTCTCAAATCCGCACCAAGACTTTAAAGGATATTGAAAGATGCAAAACTGCAACGCCTAGCCAAAATTATTCTTAGCCTGCATCTGATTTACTTGGCTCCGGCTTGCAATTACGCATGGGTTTATGGAAGCGGCTAAAGCCACATCCCATAGACACATGTGTTTCTCCAAGCCACATCCCATAGACTAATGTGTTTCTCCAAGCCACATCCCATAGACACATGTGTTTCTCCAAGCCACATCCCATAGACACATGTGTTTCTCCAAGCCACATCCCATAGACACATGTGTTTCTCCAAGCCACATCCCATAGACACATGTGTTTCTCCAAGCCACATCCCATAGACACATGTGTTAATTTTTCCAAGCCACATCCCATAGACACATGTGTTTCTCCAAGCCATAGCCAAGCAATATGGATGCAGTCTTACACAAGGCATACCATACAAAATGACTACACAGTGTCCGGTTGTTCTTTATGGGGGGAATTTGAGGGTTTTTTAGTAAAAAAAAAATGCCTGGGGTTATTGTCCCTGATACTTCACCAGCCACGTTGTTTCTCCTTAACCAAGCAATCTTTCAGATATCCTGGAGGATGAGCATCAGGAGCTTTTCCACCAATGCTCGGCTGAGTTTCCTGGGGGCTTCCGCTGTATTGAGCCTGCCTTCGACATGCAGAACGATAACCCCTTGTGTCTGGAACACTGCAAGAGAATGGTAAGCTTTTTTGGGGGAGGGGAGGGGGGGGGGCGGGAGGAGAGGGGATTGTGGTTAGTCCAGGGGGCCCGTGGTTAGTCCAGGGAGCCTTTATGCCCCTGATTTGGGAGTAAGCATGCCCATCGGACTCCTTCATTCTTGAATCTTTTGTCTAAATTTAAACTAGCGCTCAACTCCTTTTTGCTATACTTGTATTACGCTTGTACTCTAGTACAGCATAAGATGCTTCACTGCGTTTACAATTTCTTTTGTCTGAAACTTTTTGAAATAATTATGAATTGTTATTTTGAGCCAAATCCTACCCTTTCAACCTTGACAGCGAATGCAACCAAAGCAGAAGAAGCCGCGAAAGAAGACGAAGCCTTCCGCTCTGACGAGACCCAACAAGAAGAAGAAGATCCGACGCAACGTCAGACCTCAGAAGCCAATCCCCCCAGCAGGTTGGTAGTTTACTCTCCCTGCAAAATAGATTCCAATTTTCCCGTCTTATGTTCGAATTGGAACGGGGAGATTTGGACAGTTTGATTGTATCAACAGGGCCTAATTTCGTGAGCTCCTTGTCAGAAAATATTGCTTAGAAAATGTACATGCTTAGCAAGAATCAGTTGGGAACCAGTCACAGGCAATGCACAACTTGTGACATTTTGGCTGGTAACCTGATTTCGCTAGACAATTTTTTAGCAACTTTCTGTGCTTAGCAGCTCCATGAGATTGGGTGCATATCCATCGAGTCACATCCATCCAAGTTACAGGCATCGTAACTTTATAATTCGCGCAAAACCTTAACCTTAACCGTTAATACTGGTGTAAGTTTTACAATTTAATATATGAGCAATTCTGAACATGATTATGAAAACGTGTAGCATCTCTCCCCCTTTTTATTTTGGTAACTAACATGACTAGCGGTGGCTGAACATTATTGAAAGTGGAATGGCCAAAGCACTGCTAGTGCCGGCTCCCTTTTCCAAGAGTACGCTATTGTGGGACCTAGCAAGAGTGGGGGGGGGGGGGATGCCACCCCCAGTGGAAAAAATGGGGGGACAACGGCCCCCGGCTCCACCGCTAATGAACATGATCACTTCCTCATAATCAGTTGCACTTTATGTTGGGCAGAAAACGGTCAACATTTGAACAGAACTGAAGAACATAATTTTGTATTTTTAATGATTCTCTCCCATCGCGAACTTCCAGTTCCACAATCCAACAGCGGTTTCCCGCATTCGTTCAACATACGTTCAACCTCGTTCAACATGCCTCCACGCCTTAGCCTTCCCGAGGACATTGACCCCAACAACATGAACCTTGACTTTGGCATCGACACCTCTGACCTCCGGATGACCTCGGACGCCGACAACTCGGATCTGAACTCGGAGGCCGGCGGCAGCGATCTGTCGGAGATCCTGCCCAAGTTGCCCATGGACATCCCGGACCTGTCCCTCTTTGAGCCTGAAGAGTTCACAAAGTTTGTCAAGGAGCACGAAGAAGGTAGGAGTCTTAAGATGGCATTGTCACGATGCCTTTTGTAATCATCATGTCTTAAAGGGAATGTACATCTTTGGCTTTTGCTTTAATTTTCAGAAATGAAATATTTGATGGGTTAGTACAATAGATCAAATTATTGTTACACTGACATGTTTGAAGTGTTGTGTTCGAAAATGCTGGAAAAACCAAGAAAAACCAAAATTTTCAAGTAGTCTGGTTCCCCGACTCCACTGAAGATGAAATAGATCAATTTATAGATGCCGGAAAATTGTACGGTAAGGGAACCAGTCTAGATGGCCTGCACCCATTCATCAACATGCAACCAATAGCAAACAAAGTTTGGACTGAAAAAAAAAAATGGTAAATTTGGAGCAGTAGTTAAAAAATAGTTAGGTTTTTCCAACGGTGGTTGGCCGACCACCGTGGGAAATGTATACAAAAATACCATTTTCTTGATAATGACTACACACCAGGTGCCATAATTTTACAGGATGCTTTAGACTGAAATTTACCAACATCCTGCAAGGTATTTTGTAAAAAGTTGGTAGTTTTATTTTTTGATGTTTGCAAATGTTGTATTTTCCCTTTAATTGAAATGTCAAATTGATTGGCCGCGCAATGAGCAAACTGACTCTCAAAATGTTATGTCGGGAATTAAAGGGAATATACAACATTTGCAAACATCGAAAAATAAAATTACCAAGTTTTTACGAAATACCTTAATAGGATGTTGGTAAATGACAGTCTAAAGCATCCTGTAAAATTATGGAACCTGGTATACTGTCATTTTCAAGAAAAGTGGTATTTTTGTATCAATTTCCAACGCTGATCGGCCGATCAGCGTTGGAAACAACTGGCTTTTTTTCAAATACTGGCCCCAATTGACCATTGCACTTGTTTGCAATCGATTACAAATCTATGAACGGGTACGAGCCAGCTAGACTGGTTCCCTGACCTTACAATTCCCCAATGTATGTAAACTGCTCTGTTTCTTCTTATATGGAGTCAGGGAACCAGACTACAGGAAAATGATCGTTTTTCTTGGTTTTTATAGCATTTTCGAACCCAAAACCTCCAAAAAGTCAGTGTAACTATATTTGCTTTATATTTCCAACCCCCCAATTCCATCCATTTCTGAAAATTACAGCAAAAGCAAATGATGTATATTCCCTTTAAGTCTGGAGTGTGCAATTGATGGGCTTGGAAATTCAGCGAATCTCTTCAGATTTCTCAGACAAAGTGATTGCCTTCAGCAGGATTTGAAGCTGCTTACAAATTTGGAGGTCGTAGGTACAGGTCCTGTTCCAGTTAGTTTTCGTTTTGGAACATTCTAATTTCTTAAAGATAAGATAGTTTTGTAAAGTTAGACCGCAGGATATTATTGGTAATATTTGTGTGACTTGATTTCTTGGCAGCTGGCAAGAATGGAGACAGTGACTACATGCCCATCCCGATGCCCACTAGGGAGGAACAAGAAGAGCTAGAACGTGCCATCCTGGAGGTCTCCAAGACAGTCAGCTCAGTTCAAGAATCACTGGACCAGCTGTCCAAACATTCAATGGACCAGCATCTTCCAACCAGCAATGCCATGTTTGACGATCAGGACAACAGCGGGGATTCTGGCGATCAAGACGGAATGGACGGGTTACCGCGAGACCTCCAGTCTGCCGCCAACCGGTTGTTGCAGGATACCATGCGCCAGAACTCGGTGGAGGCGATGGGCGCCTCCATGCACCACCCTGGGGACCTTGCCAACAGTGTGTCGACGAGTAATATGTCCGTGACTCAAGCATCGGGCCCGCTGCACGTCATGACTAGCATGTCGGGGCAGCCTGCTTTCCACGACACTGGGGGCCACTTCAGCGGAGTCGGGGGGCTCATGGGTCCGAATCAGAACGCTCTACCGGTGGCGCAGTTGCACAGTCAGCAGTTGGAGCCCTTGCGCATGCCCAACTCGGTCCTCATGGGCAACGGAATGGTCCAGATGAACAGTGCAATGTTGAACCTGCAGCGGCAGATGGCCAACTCGCCGCAGTCCCCTCACGGCAACCCCATGTCACCTCACCACGTGCTGACGCCCCACAGTGCCCAGATCAGCAGCGCCATGCTGCAGCAGCCTAGAACGTTAGCGGGTCAGCCCAGCCCCATGCACAGTCCGGCCATATCCATGGCGTCAAGCAACAACCAACAGATGACGCTACCGAGCTTCCGACAGACGTGGAGCGTAGCCCCCTCACCCACGGCTCACATGCTATCCAACAGTAACCTCCTGGGTGTGATGAATCAACACAGTCCAGACTCCACCCCTAGTCACACCCCAAACCACGCCCCAAACCACGCCCCGATCCTCTACCCACAGATGAATTTCCCCCAGAAGTTTGGCTTCCCACCGGGCGCCAGTGATCTGGCGATGGCAAAGACGCTAGGCATGGCCTTCAACGCAAACAACTCAACCACCATCAATTCTGCCGGTCAGAATCACATCAGTTACGTTACAAGCTTAGCACAGACCCAGGACAGTAGCGCTGCAAGTGCCACCGTCAGTACGGTGGCGTCAAACTTCACAACGAAAGCGAGCACAGTCACATGATACACAATGCCAATCTGCACATGATACTCGGCAAGTAGACCGCACCAGCTGATGGTAGGGGCAATATGGTAGGGGCCATATCCCAAGGGCAGCCCTGACTGGATCTGAGAAAACAACCGAAGTCAACAAAAACTGAAAACCCAGATTTCGACTCCTGAAATACATACTGTATACTGGCTCCTGTGCATCTAACAACCTACAGACTACAGTCAATTGTAAAGCATCCATGACTGTATGGGCAAAAAAAAAAGATTTGAGAATTGATGTAACACCATAATGAAATTAGCAGGTATATACAGTCGTCCAATTTCTAAATCTGGTTTACTCTTTTTTGTTTCTTCGGCCTGTTTTTTGTCTTTTTCTCAGACCCAGTCACATAATTTGCTTTTGTATCTAAATTTTTAGCTTCCATCGCTAAAAAGAATTGTTCGGTTTTTTTTCAAGTTGTTTGATGCATCGTCAGTTTAACTCATCCAAGAGCAGCTAGGAAGTCATTCGGGGGAAATAACAGATCTGGAAAATTTAGAGCCAGTCTAAGCCTGAGATCTTGCTGACATTGATGTGAGTTCACTTAATTGGGGTCTGCGCCAAATCTCTGTCTCTTTGTCTATTTTAAAAATGTTGATATTCAGAATCCAAGTCAGCAGTCAACGTTCGTTAGTCAAGTTGGGTTTTTTTTGCATTCAGAGTTAGCCAATGTTTTCATGTAGTTTGTTTCTGAATATTGTTTGTTTCTGCTTTAATACATACAGGGTGAGTCCAAAAAAAAAAATGAAACCCAAATGGCAGGACCAATTTTGAATGAAGTTTTGCCTGTAGCACTTTCTAAATCTAGGATATGAAAGCCCAATCAATGAGCTTTCTTTTAGTACAAGAATCATTCAAATCACTCCTGTACTTTTCAAGTTACAGAATTTTGAGCACAACACTGTTTTAAAGTTCTGTCCACAGATCACAAAAAGGTTTTCTTTCAGCAAAACGAAAAACAATTCACATGCATCCTTATGAGAATTGTTTTCATTTTGCTGAAAGAACACTTTTTGTGTGATCTGTGGCCATAACTTTAAAACGGTGTTTATGTTCAAAATTCCGTAACTTGAAAAGTATGTGAGTGATTTGAATGATTCTTGTACTAAAAGAAAGCTTAATGTCTGGGCTTTCATATCCTAGATTTTGAAAGTGCTACAGGCAAAACTTCATTCAAAAATTGGTCCTGCCATTTTGGTGTCATTTCTTTTTTACTCACCCTGTACATGTGTAAATGTTGTTGCCTTTCTTTCTTTTTTTCCTTTTTTTTTGCAGTTAAAATAACCAGTAAGAGATACAAATACACTGACAACAGTTTGTTTAAAGTTTGCTTCGCATATCTTGCCTATTCAGTGGTCCATCGTAAAAAAAAAAGCCAGATTTATTGACACAAATATTGCTCATTATTGTGATCAAAGTTCTGTGGTTTTGTTCATTTGTATATGACTGAACAAAACAGGCCTTCAGTCCAGAACAGATTTGTCTCAAAACCTTTGTTCATATAAAAAAGATATCCTGACTCGGAAAATTCTTGATGGGTTTAGTTTTCTGCGGAGTTGTAAGCACATCAATCACGTGTCAATCACATGTCATCCAGTCTCAAGTCATGTGACATGGCGTTCAAACTTTCAAATGAACATGTGACAAAGGCACTCGTTTGTCATTGTCCATCCACAGTTCCTTTTGACCTGATATGTGATTTAACGTGTGATTGACGTGATTACAATTCTGGTTCTCATCTAAAACGGTTGACTTTATCCTTAGCTCCTGCCTTAATATAATTTGCCTTTCTCCGAAGGAAAGAAAGTGTCAATGATACTTGTGTGGCAGGATTCACGACGGAGGTTCTCTAGCAAGAGGTGTTCTCTTCAAGGATTTTTGCCTTTTGGGATTTTGGAGTTATAAGAAAGTTCAGCTGGCTGCTCATTTTTCCTTTTTTTTCTCTTGGTATTCCTAAATAGTGCATAGTGTGTCTAATTGCATTTGTATTCATTAAAAATATGGCATAACAAAAGAATAGACACCTACTTCAAAGACGGTTAAGTGTCTTCTGGCTGAAAATCGAATAATTGCCAATGCTTTGTTTGGAGTTTTACATCTTGGTTTTGCTGCAGTTCCGAGTTTTGAAATGAACTTATTGAATTTGCCGAGCCTCTGGTTTTTTTTTTATTTTAGAAATCATCGCTTTTTTTTTTTTAAACTTCTAATGTGGTTGAGGAAGGGGCTTCATGTTCATTCGGGTATTCAATTGAAATGGAAACAATTGTGTGTTATAGGTTCGGGCTTTGACGATTCCCACTACTTTTTGAACACCCAGAAAAAAAAAACTGAGAAGGTACACGCTGTTATAACTCACACGTAGCAGGAAACAATTTGTGCTATTTCTCCACGATTTAATTTTAGAGAACTTAGATATCCAACATGGCGCTTTTTTTTTATATGACATACTATTTTTGCTGCGAGATTGTTAAAAAAAAATGCAATGATATGTATACATTTATTAACAGAGAAGCTGTACAAACTGTTTTAAATTGTTCGTCTTATCCACTGCACTGATGCAACATGTTGGCGGGAAATTATTAAAAGAATTAAATAGTATTTTTGTTATATTGGATGGGGGAAAAAAAACAACAACAGTATATTGGAATTTGGGGACCGTGTTAATGGTTCGTTCAAACGGAGACAAAAAAAAATATGTATTTTGTGTAATTACGTTTTTATAAGAAAAAAAGAATATATATGTATATTGTAATGCATCAACTTTGGTAGCAATAAGATTGTTTTTCCTGCACTCCTGGGATAATTGTCACACTGAAGACGAAAACCAGTTTTTTCATCTTTTGTGCCAACACAATAATCTTCATTTTTGTATGTTACACATGTAGTAAGTGTCCTGCGTTTGTTTTTACTGTATTTTGTGTGAAACACAAATTTTGGTTTGGTTTTTTTTTTTTATTTTGTACCTTTTGACAAAGTTGCCCAGTAGAGTCTGCTCATAATCTGCGGTCACTCTAAAATAAGTGATTTTTTTCTTCCCATTTTCTCCCCATTTTGACCCAAAATTGACATTTCTGCAACAGGGTCTGGTTTTGTCAACCCGTCTAAAAACAAGATAGGCATGTAAAAAAATGTCACAAGCTAGTGCAAAGAAACAAATAGGCACAGTGCGTAAAAGCGCTTGCCTCCCACCACCATGGCTCGGGTTCGATTCCTGGCTCGATTCCTGGCTCGGACCATACGTGAGTATGCGTTGGTTCTCTCCTATACCACAAGGCTTTTTCTCCAGGCTCTCCAGTTTTCCTCCCTCTGCAAAAATCAAACACTTTTGATCTCTGGCTGTGCTCCGTGGTCATATATGGGTCTATGTGGCTGGCTGCCGAAGGCACCTTTACGTGCCAGCAGCTCGACCACGTTGTAGCCCCATCCTTCGCAATTCAGCTCAGCTGCGAGTAAGGATGATTAGCCTCCCAAATTATTATTATTATAAAAAAAAGATTTATGTGTGAAGAAAGTGATTTTTAAGGAGCGAGACTAAAATGGCTCATGTCTCAATTTCGTGAGATCCATACTTTTTTGCCCTGTATTGTTTCAGCCAACTTCATAAACCAACAAACTTTGTATTGATTAACAGAAATATGAATAGTTTTTCCTTTTTCGGTTTTTCCATAGCACTACAGTTTTATCTTGAAGTGCATTCGTCTTCTGAAAGATTTGGACAGAATATCTGTTGTGAGATCTGGTTTTGTTTTACTTTTGCCCAGTTAAAATCGTTTTGTTAAAATTTATGGACACACCTTGATTTGTCTAAGTGGTCGTCTTATTTTTTTCTTTGGATTAATTTTTGTACTTGATCAACTTGAAGTGCAGGGAATTTTATTTTCATCCTAGACTCAATGTGATATTACAGAATTGAAAATACATTACATTCAGTAATTATTTGAATGCTGTCTCTTGTCTCAGTTTGTCACCCCCCCCCCCCCCCCACACCATCTCTTTAAATTTGTATTTTGCCAAATTTACTTCATTATCTATCAAGCAATCAATTTAAGAGTAAACATTTGTTAAATGAATATCGGCTAATTTAGTTTCATTTTTATTATAACAAATTTCCCACTAAGTTCGTTTTAACTCCTGCACTCCCATAACTCTCAACCCTTCCCTATTTAATGGAAAAAAATTAAATCGTTTTTAAACTCTTCCATACTTTTTTATGTAAATTTAAAATGAAAATTAATTTTTGTGTTTATCATTTTCATGTTTCCGTAGTTGGTACCAAATTTATTAACGTGTGTTGAGCCCTTGGTATACTGCGTACCAGGGACATGTGACTCTCCATTCGTAGCCGCATGGTGGCGCTATTCCATGCAACGTCACCGGATGCTCTCTGCACTTTCGAGATCGTTGTTGACGAAGGTAATGTGCAAAAACTGTATGTGAAATGTCTAATTTGTTCATATAATTTGTTTATTAGTGGTCAATTCAAAATAGAGGGAGTGACAATGAACACACCTCTTGTAGAGTAGATGAAAACTGCTGTAAATTTCGTCGTAGAAATGGGCAAAATTGCCCACTCTTCACACCACAGCTGTTCTACTATCATGACATGCATGAGTATTAAAATGCTGAGTGAGAATGGATGGACTTGCCATTCATTTCCAGCACTTTTTAGTAGCAGTAGTAGGCCTACTCTACTGTCGGACTTTTTGGGTGATTAAAAATAATTGTGGAAATACAGGACCCTCTTTCATTTTTAGTCTTTGTATAATTTATATGCATATATATATAGCTGGAGTTACCCAGCCCTGAGTTTTATCATTGCGTTGTCATGGTTGTCTATTAATATTAGGGCTGGAGCGAATTTTTCTCGTAACTTGTAGTATAGGCAAAAATTTTTGGAAAATGTTCAATTTTGTCCCCGTTACACACTAATTGCAACTGCAACTCGCCCCAAACTTGCCTGGAATAACCATTACACAGGTCCTTGAAGTAAAAAACGATCCACGATGAAGATTCAGCCTACAATTGCAGTGAAAACAGGAGGAATAACCGCTAACTAGACAACCTTGCTGGATTGGCCAGGACCGCAATTGGTTTGTGCACACAAAAAATTGTGTACAATGAATGGCGGTCGATTCGATTAACAGGCACAGAGAGCGATCGCTGTCAACTACTCGTTTTTGCCGGCTGCGCTGGCTGTTGGCGCATGACGTCACGCGGAAGCGTAACACCCAATGACTGTTTCATGCACTATTGGTTGCGGTTCCAGTACCAAAGCTGTGATGCGAGTGGTAAACCTTATATTAGTGCATGAAACAGTCATCGGGTGTTACGCTTCCGCGTGACGTCATGCGCCAACAGCCAGCGCAGCCGGCAAAACCGAGTAGTTGACAGCGATCGCTCTCTGTGCCTGTTAATCGACCGCCATTCATTGTACACAATTTTTTTTGTGCACAAACCAATTGCGGTCCTGGCCAATCCAGCAAGGTTGTCAAGTTAGCGGTTATTCCTCCTGTTTTCACTGCAATTGTAGGCTGAATCTTCATCGTGGATCGTTTTTTACTTCAAGGACCTGTGTAATGGTTATTCCAGGCAAGTTTGGGGTGGGGTGAGTTGCAGTTGCAATTAGTGTGTAACTGGGACAAAATTGAACATTTTCCAAAAAATTTTGCCTATACTACAAGTTACGAGAAAAATTCGCTCCAGCCCTAATAGACAACCCAATGATAAAACTCAGGGCTGGGTAACTCCAGCTAGCATATATATAATTTTTGAACAGGGGTCTGGATGAACACGTCATTTTGATGACTGTTTTATACTTTTGTTTTTTTCCTTGACATCTCTTGTTCATTTTAGTAAATGTATCACATTTTAAATGTCAAAAGATGTAGGCCTAGGCCTAAAATAAATAAATAACTAAAGCATTATATTGTATACTTAGTTTTAATTGTAATGACCCCTTTTTAAATAATTTTAACAGTTTTCTAAATAAAGGAATGTCAGACAACTCGACCGTTGAGACAACACAACTCGGAACAGCTCGACTGTTGAGACAACTCGACCATTGAGACAGGTCGACTCGGGACAACTCAACCGTTGAGACAACACAATCACATCCAAAACCTGCCCGATCTCTTCTGTCCGCCCATCCCGTGTGCCCATGAATGGGATAGCAACCCCAGCCCCATTAACCCGGTCCGATCCGACCGAGCCAAGCAGGTTACCCCCAACCGGCCTGTACCCCACCACCCCAACCCAATGGCAATGATCAAACCCGAACGCGGCGAAAAATCCCCGGTAGATATGAATATAGCCCGACTGCGTCTGGCCGTACAGTACTATCGCAAGCTCTGTAGTACGGCCAGACGCCCGATGCTTCCACAGAGACTGAATTTTGTTGGCCGCCGATGTAGCCATTTTGCTACATCTTTCGATCGCGATTATCTTTTCATCCAGGACACAAATTTCCAAAGTTAAGGTTCGTAGTCGTAAAGCAACTCATACCTTTTCGAAAAAACGTTGTTTGGTCTCAATATTTTCATCCATCTGGCCACAAGACGAATTTCAGTCATCATCTTCCACAAATATCGTCCCCCATGCGATCCCCCATGCGATTTCAAAATGGCGGCCGCGCTGTAATGTATGCAATATGCAGGCGCGCCCACGCAAATCATGAATATGCATAAACAGTCTGTGACATATGACCTCGTGTTTTTGGACTTGCGTGCGGCGGGGCCGTACTTCCAAAAACACAAGGTCATACGTCACAGACTGTTTATGCATATTCATGAGTTTGCGCGGGCGCGCCTGCATATTGCATACATTACAGCGCGGCCGCCATTTTGAAATCGCATGGGGGATCGCATGGGGGACGATATTTGTGGAATCTAATGACTGAAATTCGTCTTGTGGCCAGATGGATGAAAATATTGAGACCAAACAACGTTTTTTCGAAAAGGTATGAGTTGCTCTACGACTACGAACCTTAACTTTGGAAATTTGTGTCCTGGATGAAAAGATAATCGCGATTGAAAGATGTAGCAAAATCGCTACATCGGCGGCCAACAAAATTCAGTCTCTGTGGAAGCATCGGGCGTCTGGCCGTACTACAGAGCTTGCGATAGTACTGTACGGCCAGACGCAGTCGGGCTCATATGAATACAACTATCCCCCGAAAAATTGCGAGTAGACTTGTCTTAAATCAAATTAGGTTTTGCCCTTCACCGACCTTTAAACACTGTATACTTAGTGTGTTACCTCCCGAGTGAAAGATGGCAAAAATCACTCGGGTGGGACTCGAACCCACGACCCCCTGCTTTCTAGTGCAGATGTCTTACCACTCGACCACCGAGCTAACGGGATCGGTTGGCTGGTTCGAATCTGATGTACATAGCAGCGGGTACCGCATAAACTATTATAAGATGATATTTTGCGTCGGGGTGATATAAATCAAATTAGGTTTTGCCCTTCACCGACGTTTAAACACTGTATACTTAGTGTGTTACCTCCCGAGTGAAAGATGGCAAAAATCACTCGGGTGGGACTCGAACCCACGACCCCCTGCTTTCTAGTGCAGATGTCTTACCACTCGACCACCGAGCTAACGGGATCAGTTGGCTGGTTCGAATCTGATGTACATAGCAGCGGGTACCGCATAAACTATTATAAGATGATATTTTGCGTCGGGGTGATATAAATCAAATTAGGTTTTGCCCTTCACCGACGTTTAAACACTGTATACTTAGTGTGTTACCTCCCGAGTGAAAGATGGCAAAAATCACTCGGGTGGGACTCGAACCCACGACCCCCTGCCCCAGCCAACCGATCCCGTTAGCTCGGTGGTCGAGTGGTAAGACATCTGCACTAGAAAGCAGGGGGTCGTGGGTCCGAGTCCCACCCGAGTGATTTTTGCCATCTTTCACTCGGGAGGTAACACACTAAGTATACAGTGTTTAAACGTCGGTGAAGGGCAAAACCTAATTTGATTTATATCACCCCGACGCAAAATATCATCTTATAATAGTTTATGCGGTACCCGCTGCTATGTACATCAGATTCGAACCAGCCAACCGATCCCGTTAGCTCGGTGGTCGAGTGGTAAGACATCTGCACTAGAAAGCAGGGGGTCGTGGGTTCGAGTCCCACCCGAGTGATTTTTGCCATCTTTCACTCGGGAGGTAACACACTAAGTATACAGTGTTTAAACGTCGGTGAAGGGCAAAACCTAATTTGATTTATATCACCCGACGCAAAATATCATCTTATAATAGACTTGTTTTAACGGTCGAGTTGTCTGACCCCCTTCTAAAGTTGTCTCAATTCAGGCTACACTGGCTCGGTGGCTCTTGGTGTTGCTTGACTCATAATAATCCTCGGTCAAGCAACAGCCGCCCTACAGGTGTAGCTTGAATTTAGGTTTCTATCATGTCTATGAAATTAGGACTCATTGGTAGTATTGCACATGCTTAAGTGAACATAATTCATGATAGGTGACTAGACCCGTTGAGGTGGCGTCAATAACAACGCCACGTTCCAGCCTCGCATAAAACCACTCGAAATTGTTACACAGCACGTCATTTCGCCAGTATAACTTACTTTCATATAGGGCTCGCTCAAGCCATTTCTGTAGGAGAACTGCATTTGCGTATTTCACGCAATCAAGCACGCATTACGCAGTGTTAAAAATATTCCAAACACGCGCGCTTGTTTCTCGAAATGTGTTCGAAATACGACGCAGCGGATGCGCGTTATGCAAGTTGATGCTCAAAATACCAATGCACGTGGATGGTCTGTAGGAAACGACGTCATTTGAACGAGACCTATAAAGCTTTCTGTAAATTTATGCCAAACGTAGGATCTTGCAAAGCCAACAAATTTGAGGGGAAAAAAACGACCTCAACACAACAACAAACGTACGAGCACAACTTTTTATTTTCTGAGGTCACGCACGATACGCTGGTACTCTGAGTCATGCACGCGCCAAATGGTAGGAGCCAGCCAGGTACCGTAAAATTACACACGTCGAGTGTTTCTACGCAACTCTGGAGAGTGGAGTTGTTATTGACGCCATGTTTACGGGTAGGCGTAGTACTAGTTACGTGACATTTAAGATGGCACAGGTGTGGACGATATTTATGGAAGTAGTCCAGTAAATTGGCCACATTTATGGGGTTAGGGCCTACTTAAATTTTTATATATCTGATGAGTTACAAATTTAATCAAATTTGATGTCTTCTTGTTACAATTTGTAGATTTACCACAGACCAACGTAACAGCAGCAATGGATCAGATCCAACAGTTGGTTGACCCTGCCAAGCAGTTCGCTAAGGACTCACTCAGACTTGTCAAAAGATGTACCAAGCCGGACAGAAAAGGTGGGGAGCAAAATAATTAGGGTAACCAATTTCGTAGCACACAGGCTTGAACACAGTGTTGGCACATATATATTTGCCCTTGTAATCCTTAAAATGTAATATTGAGTGATAGAAATTTAGTATGTTTTAATTATCAACGTATAGGTGGCCCGGACATCCGGGATTTTTTTACATTGGCTTATCTAGCTCCCAGACCTATTTTCTTGAAACTCAATGGTTCTTGAGTCTGGAGTGCTGAATGGTAACACATAGCAACAGATAAAAACACGTGTGCAAATGAATAGATGTTTTCATCGGATGACGTCGGCCCGCCCCCAGCTATTGTGACTTTTGTTCTCAGTTCATGGCATACATATGACATGTCCTGACATATAAAGCTCAAGAAACTTTTAGCCTTAAGCTATTGGCTTTTTTTGCTTATAATTTTTACCCACATTCTATTAGCAAGCCTAATGTGGTGTATTGATGATTAACAATTCTTTCTGTTCATTTCTAAAAAAAATTATAGAATTCCAGAAAATTGCCATAGCAACAGCCATCGGTTTCTGCATTATGGGATTCATCGGGTTCTTCGTCAAGCTCATCCACATCCCCATCAACAACATCATTGTGTAAGTTTCCCAGTCACTTTTTGACTGCAAAATTTCTTCCCACATACAACTTAACCCTAACTCCCTAGGCCTTTTTGCTAGGATGTAGCCTCAATCCTGCAAAATCCTCCAATTGGCCTCATGGAAAAATAGCATATAGCCTCAATCCTGCAAATTCCTCCGTTATTTCTTGAATATGGTCCATGGAGGGATGACCACTGCCTGAATCCTGCAAAATCCTCCGGCTATGTCTGTCAATAGGCTGAGGCAGAGGCAGTGACATCCTGGAGCAGTGCGGAGGATGTCAAGTATAATCAAGGACTAAATTTATGCTCGGCTGAGCATAAACAACACAAGGTCCGGCCCAAGACCTTGACACAGTGCGTACTCCGAAATCAGCAACGCACTTTTGCCATGTAACCTCAATCCTGCAAATTCCTCCAATTTGCAAAAAGGATTTTGGAGGATTCAGGGCGGTTAGGGTTAATCAATGTGATTTTGAAGCAGGTCGAACATTGTCTTCCTTTTGAAAATTGCCATTACAAAATTTGCATTACAAATTATACAAACCTGACACCTCAAGAAAATCTAAACAAACAAATAAAGCAAATGTTTAAAACTGCTTTTACAGTGACGAACACTATTAAAGACTATCAGGTTTTAGAAATCAATTTAATCTAACCGCCCTGAATCCTACAAAATCCTCTTTGCCAAAATGGAGGAATTTGGAGGATTGAGATTACATGGCAAAAGTGCGTTACTGATTTCGTAGGATGCACTTTGTCAAGGTCTAGGGTCAGACCTTTTGTTGTTTTTGCTCAGCCGTGCATAAATATAGGTCTGGATTATGCTTGAAATCCTCCGAACTGCTCCAGGATGTCACTGGCCAAGCCTCAACATATTGACAGTCACTGCCGCATGATTTTGCAGGATTCAGGCAGTGGTCACCCCTCCATGGACCATATTCAAGAAATAATGGAGGAATTTGCAGGATTGAGGCTATATGTCATTTTTTCATGAGACCAATTGGAGGATTTTGCAGGATTGAGGCTACATCCTAGCAAAAAGGCCGAGGGAGTTAGGGTTAATGTCTTCAAATTCCATAACAAGAACTTATCATTTTTTATTTCTTAAAAAAAAAAAAATGGGTCAAGGGAGTTTTCAAATCTTGATTTTGTTTTTCTTTTATCTTTCAGGGGATCGTAGAACATCACGGCCATGGAAGGACATCCCTAGATTAAGATTGACACCCATGCTAGCATCTCAGCCATGACATCTGGCGACACTCATATCTACAAAGCATGTTTTTTCCACCATGCAAGCCCCTTCAAGCAGATTTCACCCACTCAACTTTAGCCAAGGCATCAAAATTTCATCCTCGGACCTTAACAATGATGCTGCTATTTCAGTATTGCGCAAGTCCATGGAACCTGAAAAATAGCCATTTTTGAAACGATGTTTCCAATTCAGTGTCTGCCTGAGGCATACAATTTTCCCATGGCATAAGTACTGATCCTGTACTGAATCCAAGTTTTGGAAAATGTCCCATTAGTGGCTGACAAGATTGAAGAATCAGTATTTCTTGGATATTTTTCTTCCCAAATAGCAGACGCAATGCGGATTAGTAAAATAATTGTATCGATAATGTGTATTTTTAAAGCAGCAGTGTCGGTTATATTCTTAAGTATTTGTGATTTTTCTCATTGTTGGATCAGTGGGGGGGGGGGGGGGGGGGGGGGTTCAATTTGTAGTCCCAAAATATTTGTGTGTTTCATTGCCTATTCTACAACTGTAAAAGTAGGTTTTGTAAAACTTCATCTAGGGAAGGGGGGGGGGAAATAGGGCATGTTGGATTTCAGACTCAGTCTTGTACCGTTAAACATCGCAAGTTTGTTTTTATGGAGAACAAGGTCCAGTAACTAATAAACCAATTTTTGGAAACTTGAACCCACCAGTTTCTGTGTAAGGATGGATGTGTAAAGTCAAGTCTTTCACGAGCCAATATGGCCCATCAGGCCGGCTTTTATATTCGGTGTCAGTGGCATGAAATGACAGTGAACGGGACACAAAGCGTGCGCGTACCGGTTCAAACACGTATAGCGCGAAGTACGCACGACTTAATTCATTCTGAATGTACACAAAGCCAGTCTTCATTTTGAGTGCGGGCGTAGTTGGTAATGCGTCTCCCAGTGGTTTCCCCCCCCCCCCCCCCCAACTGTCCCATCCTTACCGTTGAGGGGGTACTTGCGCACAGAGCCGATAGCTACATGTACATATACTTTACATCAGAAAACGTCTAAAAGTGTCTGGTTTGGGTCTTGGGGGGGGGGGGCGGGGGATTGTAAGAGTTGCACATCTTGTGGAATAACAGAAAAAGGTAAAATACCAAACCCATTGGAAGGGAAAACAAGCTCGATTGGAGATATCCGAAGCTGCGGGCCAACAAATTTGTGTTCACACTGATTGTTGGTTGGATGACACTGACCATAACTAATGCACAGGCATGAGACACGCGATTGTGCCATGTAATTTCCGGAAGTAGTGTTTTGAGTAAAAAAAACATCAGGTTTTTGACCCCAGTGGCCCTATGATGACCTTTGACCCCAATTTGGTCATATGACATGTCGGGGCTGGGCTACTGATACTTTTAACAAAGTTTGGTTGAAATCGGTTCAAAATACGTAGGAGCAACAGACAATGTCTACGTTGTTAGTAACAGACTAACGGAAAGACATGATGATTTTGTTGAGCTGCTATCCCGCAACTAAAAATGTGCATAATTTCTGCATTTCTCTTTTTACTACTGGTTCCCTTGTCCCTGCACAACAAAATGAAACCTAACAAATTCAAAACATACTGTACTTCAGCATGACAACAGCCTTTTTATTTTTTTGTAGCCAAGCACACCCAAAATGAGGGAGTTTTATTATAAAATTATTATCCCAGGGAAAAAAAAACCTGTACATGGACATGCTTATTCAGTACACTTAAATATCTATGAACAGTTTGCACAGTTCACACGTATCAGTGCCAATTTGACCTTAGTTTTACATATGTATCCAGTCGTATCATCTGTCAAGAATGACAGTTACAGTATTGCGTCAGACTTACACTACAAATGGTATGAACATGATGGACAAACGTTGGACACTGCCAAACTCAAGAATTTTTTTTTAAATAACAACTGAATGTACAGTTATATCAAATTTTCCAATTTTCCTTCATAACTAAAACTAAGATTGACTTTCTACCAAAAGAATGTAGCATTACTGTATCAATAGAAGACGGCGTTTTTGGAATAAAGATGTTAAAATATCTTCAAATAAGATGCATTTTATGTGCTATCTCCCTGAGTATTTGTGGGTAAACTGTCACACATACACATAAACATACCTGTACATTGAAACTTTCCATCAGACAATTACATGGACTTGTTAAGCAGTATTAAAGTATTGAAGTAAAACACGGGTACCCGTAAAAGAAACTCAACCCAAAATTCAAATCCTGGCAGTTGCTGTTCAGATTACTCATAACGGTGCACACGATAACGCAACCACATCGGTGCAGCAAGATACACGTTTGCACAGTGCGGGTGAAAGGATTTGCAACTTGCACATTAAAGAGGTTGTGAAATGTTCGAAGACATTTCCGTCATTTTTCGGGTATATGTAGCCTAAGGCGTGATGAAATAAAAACGACTATTGTTTCTGTCATGAAATGAATACAAAAGGTACTTTTGAGAGCTGTTTTTCAGGTCCTGTTTCGACCCGAACATGCAATTTGTGTAAAAGTCGTCGTTGGGGGCAGCAAACAAAACATAGTAAATCGTGACGTAATAAACAGGACTCCCTATGCAGCGTAGTATAAAAACAAGTCCTGTTTATTACGTCACGATTTTTCTGATTTTACGAAGAACCCGACTGTTGATTTCAATTATGTGCTCGCCGACCAACAAATTACTCGATGAATTTCAGTTTTATAAACATATAAACACACATTACAAAAGAGTGGGAGTTTGTCATTATGATATATATGGGTCTACTCTACAATAAAAAAAAATATAAAAAACAAAACGACTTTCAGCATTCCACAACCTCTTTAACGTGAAATCTGTTTTAATTTTCCTTGTAGCCTGGTTTTCATTTTGAAACTTCACTAAAACTGGCTTCAAAGCCCTTTTTTTTCATTGCCTGGGAAGTTACTTAGTAAGTTATTAAAGTCGGTTAAGGGTACCCGATCCCATAATCCGGGCCCGGTTCCCGACACCAACGGTCGGGTACTCCGGTACTCCGGTACCCAGTCACAATACACACCACATATGGAAAACTTCATAATTTCTTTTAAAAACTTTGTGAGATGTGTATGCCTGCTACCTTGCTCACCGAAATGTCTAAACATGAATGTCACAAAAACTCAATTGAAATAAAAGTCGACTTTTGCAACTAAAAATTACACAAATTTCTCAGTCAAGATATGTATGCACCCTTCATTCAAAATGCATGATACTCTCTGTATCTCTTAAAATATATTGAACGTAGTAAATCTGTATAATGTATTTCCACTCTTTAAGAGCAATTTCTAAATATCAACGAACATCCTTTTTCAGGGTTTTAACCTTCACATGTAACATCAAAAATACACAACACATTTCTGTGTCTGCATTACTGCAAATGACATCTGTCCAAATTTCAGGAGTCTAAATCAACTAATATTGTGGGTCAATTTGTTTTGAAATACTGTCTAAAAAAGGTATTTGTTTTATACCTCGGTAATCTTCTACAATACTGCTGTTTATATCTAACTGATCTCTCAAACTATAGTAAAATAAAGTGAACCTTTCCTCCGTGGCATATATTTTCACATGCATACTAATTAACGAGTCACGGTCTGATCACCGACTACTTGACTACAGCCTCAGCAATGCCAGTAGTCTAGGAAATATACTATATGAACACTGTATCCAATTAATTTAACCCTCCTATGCAAACATACATTCTGTGCCAAGTTGTCCCTCAAGTCCAAATCAATCAAGTGAAGGTTTTTTACACTCCAGAGCTCCTAGCCTACATAAACATGATTGACCTACTGTGACTGTTTGTGTAACTTGATACAGCTATGATTTGACTGTAGGTGATTGATAAGCCAGCTGTGCCTACCAGTTGCCTGCTTTTGTCTGTTGACTGAATTTGACTAGTCAGAGTGCTTGCTCAATATATGTTCTGACTGTTGGTGACTTGCCTGTGAAAAAGACATGGCAGGCAAAGTGGATGGAATTTTTGACTGTCTGTGACTGTTCAGACAGCAGGAGGGTTAAAAGAAAAAAAAGGCCAAAAAGTGTTAGTGCATGGATGAAGGAAAAGTAGGTATGTGAGAAAGAGGTAACTTTTCTTTATATATGCCTAAATGCAATGAAAACTGGACCAACTTCAAAGCAAAAGCCTCGAAGTCGAAAGAGTTAGCGTTCATTAGTAACCAGTGTACGTGAAATACCACGTGCACTCCCTGAGTTCAGACACTGTTACTGCATCACATGATTACATTAAACATGTGACATTTACCTGTGGCATGTTAAAACATGTCTGCAACCAATACAAACTGGTAGTAAAAGCAAGTGTTAAAATATAAATCTGTTAAAAGAACTTGGTACATGTACTGTAGACCGATCCGTTAGGCCCTGCCCTGTGATGTTTCGACCAATCACAGCACTGAACAGCACATGTTTTTTGCTTCGCGGAAAAACTTGGCTATTAGATATATTTTCTTGGTCCTGATCTATTTAATAACAAAGGGACCCTGTGTTTTGTTTACAATGTGCCCAGGACTGTCCATGAGGCGGGTCCTGTGCCGGTCCGGACTCGCCCGGTGCCGGTCCGGGCTCACCAGACACTCTGGAGCCGGCGTGCCAGCGGAAGGGGCCCCTGCTCCCCAATCCATCTTAGGCATGTTCCCTTATATTGAGTCAGGTGTCTTGGACTCCGAACTTGACTGGTCATCATCCTTGAATCCCATTGTCCAGAATAACGGCTGGTCAGTCTGGACGGTCACTTTCTCAGCTCCCTCAGCGTAGGTGTTTGACGTGCTGATCAGCCCGCCAAACTGCATTGGCTGGTGGTCTGCAAACGGAACGTAGAGAGCAACAAAAGACTTTACAGATCCTGTCAGCCATACGACTGTGTCCTTCTATTAGAGGTTTTGGGAAGGGTGGGCCATCCTGCTAAAATTGATGAGTGTACTCTCCACTATTTCCAGGCAGCATCATGTACTTGACACAATGGCACCATTTACTTTTCCACTGGCTTTTGCTTTTAATGTTTAAAGCGTGGTAACATATCACGGACTTTTTTGGGGGGGGGGGGGGAGTTAGGGGGGTGGGGGGTAGTTAGGAGCCAGACAGTCTTACCTAGATTCCACTTGAGACCAGTAGTGGTGACCTGTCTGCATTTGTTGCCGATGGGTACCAGACCGCACCACGAGTCCTCAAGACCCGTGTTTACTTCAATTACATGCTTACCCTGTTGAATAAGGATATTGACAAATCAAGAACTGTAAAAAGGGCACCAAAATTTTGAAAGGTTGGGCAAGAAAACAATAACCTCTTTTGGGGAAAGACCAAAAAAAATCAAGAAATTGACGTTAAAACAATGTGAACTTGATGACAAAAGCATTCCAACCTGGAGCCCAAATGGTACAAACCCAATGGAAACCCATGTCAGAGACAAGGTGAATAAAATGGGACCTCAATGGGACCCCAGCGGGAACCCAACGGGACCCCAGAGGGAACCCAATGTCAACGCAATGGGAACTCAATAGGAACTCAATGGGAACCCAATGGGAACCCAGTGGGAACCCTAAGTGCACCGAATGGGAACCCAGTGTCAACCCAATGAGACCTCAGCGGGAACTCAATGGGAACTCAATGGGAACCCAATGGGAACCCAGTGGGAACCCTAAGTGCACCGAATGGGAACCCAGTGTCAACCCAATGAGACCTCAGCGGGAACTCAATGGGAACTCAATGGGAACCCAATGGGAACCCAGTGGGAACCCTAAGTGCACCGAATGGGAACCCAGTGTCAACCCAATGAGACCTCAGCGGGAACCCAACGGGACCCCAGTGGGAACCCAATGTCAACCCAATGGGAACTCAATGGGAACTCAATGGGAACCCAATGGGAACCCAGTGGGAACCCAGTGGGAACCCTAAGTGCACCGAATGGGGATCCAATGGGAACCCAATGTCAACCCAATGGGAACTCAATGGGAACTCAATGGGAACCCAATGGGAACCCAGTGGGAACCCAATGGGAACCCAAAGTGCACCCAATGGGAACCCAATGTCAACCCACAACCGCCACACTGTGTGCATCTTAATTAAACCCAGTTTGAGCCCAGTATCAGCCCACTCACCGGCCGGAGCAGACACCCTAACGATCGATCAGCGAGGAGGTACACGGGAATCTTTGTGTTGACATTGGCCTCGTACAGAGTGTTCACATTGGCTAAGGTTTGATCAAACCGTTGACCGAACGCACCCAGAACAACTATTGTGTCCACCTGACGTGAAAAATTAAGGAAATAATAATATTATCGAATAATCCAAACAACTTACAACAATGGGCAAGTTCTTATTACATTTGAACATTTTGATACTGTGATAGACCTGAATTTTAACTTCATGTATTGATACAGTTTGATACAATGTTTTAATAAAACCTAGACACGACACTGACTCTCAAAACTGTTAGCAAAATGCTGCGCATATAGAATACACCAACGCGCATAGTGGACGTGACGTGAACGCGCAAGAAGGCGTCGCATTACGCGCATTTTAAAATATTATGTGATGATCATTCAAAGCCACAGGACTTTGCGCATCACGTAACATATCATTACAGGCCGCGCGATGCAGCCTATTTTGCTAACACAATTCACAACGTAAAAGCATAATATATGTCATGTCTAGGTTTTATTAGATGTCCATGACAACAGTTTACTGAAGACCGATATAAAAGGTGCACACTGATTGGTCAAAATCTCGAGGTCAAGACGCAGCCTTGTTTTGCATAATTAATCGCCGAATCTGCTCGCATATCACAGACCCTTGCAGTGCAAGGGGATATTCCATAGACTAGATTAACCCTCCGACGCAGAAAGCACATTTACTAACACGCTTACAGTAACGGGTCCCTCCGGGGACCCAGATATTTAACGCCTTGGTTTGAGGCTACACAACACAGTATCTATATGTATACAATCTCGACATGTCTGTAGACTATAAATAAGGAGGTCATTGACAGGAAACAGATGTTGTATACATAGTCTGTGGTTAAGTCGTGCACTTGGCTACCCGCAAGTGACTTTGTTTTGTGCACGTGTATATGGGCAGCCCAGGTTGTCAGGCTCAGATATGCCTGACCCGGGGTCACACACTAAAGGTGACTGCATATATCCGTAGTGGGTGTCTCTGGCTAGGATTAGATGGAAGATCACCAGAATTGGTTGGAAATTTTTTTTTTATTAAGGTAATTAACCAAATTGGGTCCCCAAAAGGGCTAGTTTCTGCGTCGGAGGGTTAATATGTGCCCATAATGAAAAGGTAAGCTGTATGATTCTCATAATTCAAAATTGAAACTACTGTATCTGGAGCCCAGACATACTCACACTTAGCTTATTGCACTGTATCGTATCTAGGACTAATCTCAGGCACTTGGTGAAATCTGTGTAGTCCTGATCCGGTGTTTGGATGATTTTGGCACCCTGTAAAAACAAACACCCATTAGGCCCAACAAAAAAAATATTCGGTCTCTGGTCAGACCAAAGTTCCGGAATTGACGCGGCCACGCGGCTTCTTTTTTTTTTTCTCTTCAAGCTTGGATTGTACAGACAAGGTGGGTACTATTTTGCTTTTTTGGTGTCCTCATGTACATTGGTGTCCTCCATAATTTGCCTTGGTGCTTTCGATCATTTGCCTTGGTGCAATTTCCCATTCCTTGGTGCTCTTTTGTAAAAAAAATTGAGGAGGTGCGGAAATAGAGGGCGCTGTTGAAGCTACCGCGGAACATTTTGGGAAAAAAAAAGATCGACGCGCATGATTAAAATCGACGCGCGCGCTGAACAGAGACCGACTTATTTTTTTTTTGGCCTTATACTTCATTAGCTAACAATTTGCTGGTATGATTGCCATCACTGCTCTCTTTCAGGTAAGCATGTACATGTATGTAAAATTTTCCACTCAACAGAACCACACAAAATATGCAAAAAAAGGAAAACGAAGGGAACTAGGTTTTGAAATGACGGAGTATATTATTTATGGACACTCACTCGTCGTTTGTAGTACAGTAGGATCTCCGGTCTGATGGAGTCAAAATCCCCCGTAATCAAATCTGGAATATAGCTAGCAGCAAACAAAGAAGGTACAATTTAGAAATCGGAATAAAACTGATTTAGTTTTAGGGTAAACACAGAAATTCAATCATAGAGAATTCTGACCTCACCCTCCAGAATACTTATAAGTGTTTGTCGGATGGAGGAACAAACAAGACTTCGGACAAGAATAAGGCAAACTGCCCAAAGCTTTGCGAGGGTTGTGTCACATGCATGCACACCAAATGTTGGAATATTGGATTATCAACTGAACATCCGAATAATATGTTTTCGATTAAAATATTCGAAAAATGTAAGCGGTCTCAATAAATGAAATATTTTTAATATGGCCAAAAAAATATATATTTCTGCTTCCGATTACACGGTATTTGAAAATAGGGTAGGTAGGTAGGGAATTTGTTTTTTGGCAATTTTGTTAATGTTTACAATCATGTTGAGGTGTCTGTGTGTAGTCAAGGTAGTAATTGATGATTTTCATTTTTTTTCCTCATTTTTTCCCCAACAAAATTAGGGTAGGGGCTGTAAAAGTAGGGTAGGTAGGGTAACCGGAAGCAGAACTTTTTTTTTTTGTGGCCTAAGCTTTGTTTCCTAGCTCTGTTGCAGTCTGTGGTATGATTTGAATGTGATTATTTCAATTTTAGTCCAATTCAATTTGGGGAAATGTTTTGTTATTGAACCTTGCACAACATTTCCTTCAGATGTTTGTGATCACTTTCTGCCTCAGAACAAATTCAAATTGAACATGCAACTTTTAATCTCCCCTTGTTATGACCCTACTGTAACAAGAAAGTTAAGCGTATGTACCTCTGGTGATTTCCCATCATGCACTCGTACAGTCTATTTGAGCCGCCATCTGCCACTGCTTTCAGGACAGAACGACTCCATAGAACTTTGAGTTGTTGTCGTAGCGCCACCATCGGCTGGTTCAGCAAAATCAGTGCCAACTTTAAATCTAAAACAGATAGTTATATACATGTACATTAATTGAACAAAATGGAAACATTCCCATATCTGGCCATCACTAATTTTTCCCTTTAGTGACCTATCAGCCATCAAAAAGTGCTAACATGCCCTAAAAAGTCAAATTTAGAAGGGAAAATATTGAAGTATTTACTAAGAAGACACTTAGAAATTTTCAGATCAGTCTCATAGGGTTTGTGCACAGGGTGACAAGTGATGGCCAGATATGGGAATCTTTCCCTATTAAATTTTAATTTCAAAACTTTAGCAGTGGTAAAAATGTTCATCAGTGCTATAAATGTTATGAAAATGTCTCTCTATTTCAAATGCTTAAACATTTGCTCGCTATTTGGCTACATTTTTTAAAGTGGGAATTTATATTTTAAATGCAGATTATTAATCTTCAAACTACAGACATGATGGATCTGCTAAAGCCCTTTGTAGTTTGCATGCATCTCAAATGTTTTCAGAAAGCAAGCTTAAACGACATATATATGACCATAAAATGTTCTTGTATTTTGTAATTTGTTTGTATAACTCAGTCCTATTGAGCTATATTAATTATAATATGCAATGTTTAGCATTTATAAAAGAGTAACAATTTAAGTAAGAACTGTTTTTAAATAGCTGTACCTACTGACAAACAACGATGAAAGAGAAATAAAAGGTAAAATATAAATGCATTTTAAAGTAACAAAAAGTGGACGTTCATGAGAATAGTTTAACATGTTTAATTAGATGAAATTGAGGGGGTGATTACTGACATGTAGGCTATTTCAACTTTGAAATAAAATCAGTTTAACATCTTAAACTTAAAGAGTTGTTGAAATGCTATCAGTAAACTATGTACAAACTTGTTTGATTGACATTATTGACATTATTATGCAACTTGTCCAGTTGCATTTCCTTGTTGCAATGGCGAGTGCCACTCCCACCTTTCGTTAGTACAATTTTTTTTTTTTTTTAACTTAGGCCTAAACTTCTGCTTCAAAATGTTCAAATAAATTCTACGAACACATGCTCAACTAGTTCTATGCTCAAAGTAAATTAACCCAATTACCGCTTTGATGTCTTTCCAGACAAGCCAGCGGTCTCCTGACACAAGGAAATGCCATGCCCACTGCCGAACCGCTGGTCGATGGGTCGTCAGCTGCCGCACAGGCCGCGTCTGATGATGCCGTCACACGCAAATCTTTTGTCACCTCGCTTTCATGACTGGCTTTTTGACTGCTGGCCGGATTAGCTGTCGAATCTCGACCCCTTTTTCTCCCCAGCCGACACAATCGCAACAATCCTTTCGGAATTTCAGGCATGTTGTTTGTGTAGCAGTTGAAAGTATTTTAGTGAAAACCCTCCGTCTTGCATCAGCAACGATGTTCATGACGGTAAAAAAAACTCACTCGTGCGTACTATAGTCAGTACCTAAGCAGAAATGCCCCTTCAAATCCGTTTATTGAGCTTGGGTACATGACTTCAGTGATGGTTTTTTTTTTAATAGCGCCACCAATATTATATACTCTACTCGCATTTGTTGCGGGTACAAAAATGTGCAAGAGCAAGGGGCGGGGCAAGGGCGTAGCCACCTTTGGGGGAGAAAATAATAGTCCTACGCAAAATAATGAAAAATAAGTCTTTGTGACGCCCAATTAAACACTGGATAAATTAACACTCAACAGAACACGACAAAAGAAACATAATTGCTGAACGAATAAATAAGGTGCAAACTTTGGGGGGGGGGGGGAACGGTATCCCGGGCGAAGATGGGTTTAAATAATATCCAAACAAAATGACTTTTATTTGTATACAAAGAAAAGAAAGGTGTTACAGTCAGGGATTTCAATTTCATATTTCTAGGTCAGGCCAGCCGATGAGAGATTATAACCCCACAATATTTTCCTTTGTAATAAAAGTTTGCATAATGAGTGAACAAGTGGGATGTGCTGGCCCACTGGCGCGCCCCACTCTAAATTGGGTAGACACGGGTGATCCTCTATCTGGTCGTTATGGTATCTTCTTGTGAGAAATTCCTGACAAATATGACATGGATGGAGAGCTGGATAGTGTGACAACGTCCAACAAGTTTGAAGCCCTTAGACCCAATAGTCGGGGAGAAAATTTGACATACCAAGAATATTTTGCCCGAGTTTCGTGTTGTGTGTAAATTCCTATAGGCCTACAGTGAGCTGTCGGCCAGACTTATCCCGCGTTGTATTTACTTTTATCTCGACTTTACGGGATCTTCTTGAGAGAAATTCCTGACAAATTTGACATGGATGGAGAGCTAGCTGCATAGTGTGGCAACAACTTCCAACATGTTTAAAATCCCTAGACCGGCGTAGAGAAAACTTGACATACGCAAGAATATTTTGCCGGAACATTTTTTCTGTGTGTAAATTCCCATTATGTGCTGCAATCAGGCTTCCGCCAACGCTGTGTTTACTTGATATATCTCGACTTTGAGGGTATCTTCTTGTGAGAAATTCCTGGCAAATTTGACATAGATGAAGAGCTGGAAAGAGTGGTAACAACGTCCGACAATTTTGAAGTCCTTAGACCCAACAGTCGTCGAGAAAATTTGACATACGCCAGAATATTTTGCCCGAGTTTCTTTACGTGTTAATTCCCATACAGTGGGCTGCGGGCCTTATTATCCTACCGCGCTTTGTTTACTTCCTATAATTATCTCGTCTTTATCGTATGTTGTTGTGGGAAATTACTGAAAAATTTAACATGGATGGAGAGTTAGATAGTGAGGTAACAACGTTCAACAAGTTTGCAGTCCGTAGACCCAATAGTCTCCGAGCAAATTTGACAGACGCAAGATTGTTTTGCCCCAGTTTATTTCTGTTTAATTCCCTTTGAGTAGGCTGTCAGCGGGCCTTATCCCGCGCTGTGTTTGCTTGATACATCTCGACTTTAAGGTATCTTCTTGCGGGAATCGCTGACAAATTAGATGGAGTACTGGGTAGTGTGGTAATAACGTCCAACAAGTTTGAAATCCGTAGACAAAATAGTCGTGGAGATAATTTGACATACACAAGAATATTTATTTATTATTTATTCTTTCGTCTGTTTTCAGGGGGATCTAACTTTCAGAAAACGGGGACCGTGGTGAAATGGGAGTTGGGGGATTGAGTCCAAAAATGTACATCTTTCAAACATTAGTCAGCGGGGGGGGGGGGGGGGGGGGGCGCTACTAATCTTGTTTATTATTATAAGGCCCCCAATTATTGCCGACATTGCATATCATTAAGTGGATAAAGACGGGTTTTTCACTCTCAAAGTATCATTTTCCCAATCGCCCCGTATCGTAATCTAAAAGTGCCAAACATAATCATCACCAAAATGTTAGGTTCCGTGTGAAACGTATTTTACACACACGCCGGCAAGTTTTGTCAATTATATTCATTTTTAAAGCCAATTACCGCTAGCCGAATTCATTTCAGTAATATTGGAGGATATTTATTTCGCTTCGGATTTGAAAACTGGCACCGATAATTCATTCATATTTTTTTAATGATTTATTAATATACCTCCTTAAATTTAATCTAACGGTAGGCGGCAAGCTTTAAAGTGGAAAATTCTGAATTCTATTCAAAGAATCGCCATAATATTAATCAGTTGAGATGTAACAGGCGCAATAGTCATTTTTTAAAATTGCGTTGATATTTGAAAAAAGCGGCAAAATGGGTGCAGGGGGTTGATGCTTAGCAGACGAAATGTAGCTGCTCTCTGACGATCTTACTCCAACCACACTCCAATCTGCGAAGCAATCAACATTTACATTACAATACTACGTTATTTACATATAATTTACATATCTACATAAATTACTTAATAATTAACCCTACACCCAACTAACTAGGCCTACACTACTGGATTCGAACCCGCGCTGGTGACCTGATGGGCTGGCCACTGTCCTGGACTTATACTACTATAAAAAATTGGGACTGATAAATATGACATTGGCCTCATTTTAAAATTTGGCTGAAACACGGCAAAAATTGTAATTCAATGTGCCTGTAATGCTGTGTGGAAACAGTCTCATTACTCAAAATGCACAATTTCTGAATTAAAAACGAGAAAGAGTTTTTTTCGTTGCGCAATAGTCAAAATGGTAGAAATGAATAGTCATAACGTTAACAATGATCGCAAAAATCGGCTATACAGACAAATTGGAAGTACGAATTCGATTAGACATAATCCGAATGATGTTTTGATTTTTAAGGATCCAGATTAATACAGTCGAATGAATTTGGCGTCAATTAAAATGAGCATTAAGTTTAAATCTGTGAACAAGGATGCACTCTCATACAATCACGAGAAATCCCGTCGACGGGAACGTGATTAGAGTATATAACTGTTGCGAACGTTTTCGTCAAATGTTGCCACATTGAAAATTGTCGTCTTATTTTTCAGGCATTGGATATTTAAAAAAAAACACAAGACTTGTGTGAAATTTTCAGTTAGTAACAAAACCTCGCGCCAACGCGAAATCTCGTAAAGTAACGCGCTACGCGTTATTTCAAATTTAGGGACATGCGCATGCGTGCTATTAATTATAGGCCCAAAATTGCCTACGCCGGCTAAATAATATTTTTTTTGCTATAGCCGAGCATTTTGTGGGCCATTAACTTGATGATTTGTAATTAAGGGTGGAAGCCATGAACGCCGGACTATGGCGTGTCAAACGTTGCAATATTCAATATTTTGCAATATACATGTTGGATGTTCAATATGTGTTTGTTATCTTTTACATTTATGTGCGATGTTCAATATAAATGTGCGATGTTTTTCATTATTTGCGCGATGTTTAATATATTTGTGCGATGTTTTACAATATATGTGCTATGTTCAATATATGTGTGCGATGTTTTACATTTATATGCGATTTTCAATTTATATGTGCGATGTTTTTGACGATATATATGTGCGATGTTTTCAATATTATGTTCGATTTTTTGCATTAAATGTGCGATATTTTTCGATACAATTGTGTGTGTTGTTTTACAATATATTTGCGATATTCTCAAATATGTGAGCAATGTTTTACACATATGTTTGACATTTCGAGCTATTTGTATTCGATGTTTCATCGGTATGTTTGCATTCGATCTTTTGCAATATGCATTTGATGTTTCCCTTTTCATTCGATGTTTCGTTAAGAGTCAAAGTCTGGTTACTAGACCGCGAAAGTCCGACTATTTTGCCTAAAGTCAGTATGTGAGACGTCAGGGGATCGCGTAAAGTGATTAGAGCCAGACCTAAACGGTAAAAACCGGAGTTGTGGGTAATTCTTTAAGCATACGCAATGCGTTCATCATTGTTTGGGCAGTACCCCCAGCTGCAACCTCGTCCCCAGGTTGTCGAGCAGTACGCGCCCACCACTACCTGCTCTCTCACCCTGGTATTGGATCATTTGCATGTGCACGATTTTTGAACACGTATGCAAATGAGGAACAGTCTGGCGCCTGGATATGCGTTACACATTAGCGTTTGTTTTTGTATGCGGTGTCTGGGGTAAAAAAACAGAGTCAATTCGTAGCAGCGCGAGCATGGCGTGAGTTACGAACACACGATTTTTGAAATCAAACTGTTACGATCTTATATCGAGACACCATGCAGTATCATATTTCATATTAACATGAGCAAATTGGAAAAGAAATTAGTATTTTCGAGAAGGCGTGGACGAATGATCGCGAAAACACGTACGGCACGTTGTGAATAATAGCACCAAGTACACGATAAAAATCCATTGATAGCAAATTGCGGTATCCAATCAGGATACAGGAAGAAAGTTTCCTATCCAGGGTTTACTATTGGAAACGCGGTTGGAAATAAAGTAAGCACTGGGGACGAGGCTGCCCCAGCTGTGCCTGTACTACCCATAGTGTTATGTGCATCATCTATGCATTGAGGAGTGCATGACACATGGTCTGAGCTCCAAGGCCGATGTGCACCTGTCCCGTTTAATGATCCAGTTACCTGATAATTTGTTAGCATAAGCTGATGTAAAATTGGGCAAAATAAGATGATTATGAAAAAAAATCAAATCGTAAGGGGTTAACCTTGCATTTTTTTAAGCAAAATCGGGAAAAATCAGATGTTTCTGGAAAATAGCAGATTGTATGGGGTGAACATCATGATTGCATATTTTAGCGAAATTGGGCAAAATCAGATGTTTCCGAAAAATTTCAGATGTAAGGGATTATCCTTGCTTGTTTAGTGAAATTTGGCAAAGTTAGATGTTTATGAAAAATTTCAAATTATAAGGGGTTAACCTTGCATTTTTTAAGCGAAATTGGGCAAAAAATCTGATGTTTCTGGAAAATTGCAGATTATAAGGGGTTAACCTTGCTTTTTGAATAAGATTGGGAAAAATAGATGTTCATGAAAAAAATTCAAATGGTAAG